TTAAGTTGGAAGGTTGAAGTAAGAACATAGTCTTACTTAGTGAGTCCAGAGAAGAACATTTCCTAATTATTAACTTAAGAGGAGAATGTAACTCTTAGTTAATAATCCATGAGATCAACACTTGTATAGTTGACTTCCCAATAAACACTCTGATGTGTATAATAAAACTAATTAAGAATATTGCGTTTAATATTCATAAATCCATCTAAGACTACACAACGAGATAATCCACGGTGTCCAGAAATTTCTTAATGCCGGGACACAACAATTTCATAATTAATTTTTAAAGTTAAAAATTTGAAAGTTCTTACAAATACTGAAATTATTTATTAAATAAACCCAATAATCAGTTTATAAATAAACTTATTGATTTTAATAAATAATGTTAATAATGTTGTAAATTGTTATGTTATGTATTGAGAATAAAAGTAACAGAAATAAAAAAATGTGTAAAAGAGAAAAGAAGGGACTTTTCCAATATGCCGAAGAAGTGCTTGGTTATAGGTTTATTCAAAAAAATCAAAGAAGTCTAGTTAAAAGTAATCAACGTTCGCTGTACTGGAAAATATTCAAATTAACTCGTCTTTGGTTGCGATTACTAAAAATCTCGGAAGCGATGCGCAAAAAATACATAATCACACACATACACACACAGACACAAACAAAAACAGGGCGTCGCGGAGGGCCCTCAGAGATGGACGAGGGAGCGAAAAAAAATGTAATTTAAAAAGTTTTTAAGCGCCAATAACTTGTGCACAAAATGGGGGTTTCGTCGCGGCGAATTTTCAAAGCGGGATTATCCTACGGGCGACGTCGAAGCGAAGTCCGTAAGTGAATCGCACGTGATTAGCTTTGATTTGCCCGCGGTTACGTAACAATGTGCTGGATATGCCATGTAAGTAAACTAATTTCGGTTTTCGGGGGATGTTGGAGCTATTAAAGGGCCCCGCGCTCCATCCGATGGGATACGATACGGTAATGGGATTACGGTTCCTGTGGGCGGTCTGAGATGTACCTAACTAACCGCGATATCCCATCAAAGCGACACACGTCTCGCAGAATGTGGAGGATGTAGTATATATGACGATAGATCTGGTTGATATATACACACACACATACACGAGACCACTCAACCGCTTCCGACGGCATCCATTCTCTTCTCTCTATCTCAGTCTTCTCTTTATCTTTATCTCATCGTCCTCTTCTTCGATCCTTTCCTACCGTACACCGAATTTTCAATGATCCTTTTGTTCCACTCCCAATGCAATTACCTTCAACGTACCTCCACAGACCTTCATAGACTCTATACTAATAAAATATTTAATTAAAGTAAAGATTATACTCATCCAAAACTAAGTTCATTAGATATTAACAGTTGAAATAATTATAAAATATAAGATTTAAAACAAATCAAAAATGTGATTTTTAAAACATAAAGATTTTTTGTGACATTACTTATCTTATAATAAAAATCTGAGCTAGTTTTCACCAAACTATTGAAATGGAATTTATTACCATTCTTGTAAAATGTTTGATTAAAGAGAAGATTATCATTTCGAAATACAGAATTTCTTTTAATCTTTTAAAAGAACTTAACTTAAAATGGAATACGTCTAATATGAAAGTGATTAATAAATTAAAGTGGAAAAGTTGTATCATTGCGGCATTCTTTTAAAATATTTCAAACTTATCCACTTACAAACAAAATCTCAATATTCTACCTTAGAAAGTTCATTATTTTTTACTATAGTAACAGCTAAAATACTTGAACATTATAACTTGAAAAAAAAAAGGAAGATATTTTTACATCATTATAAGAGTAGAAAGATTTGTTGTTAGAATTAGAGTAAAATTTGATATATAGAATTACATTACTTATTTAAATTATTACGAAATCATTAGTGTTACAAAACCGTTGAAAATTGAATGATCTTCCATTTCAGTTTTTACTATGAAGTTAATTTAGGTGTACGTTCTGGTAAGACAAATTTTCAGTAATATTTTATATCTAATATGAAACTAATTAATAAATCAAAGAGAAAAGTTGTATTTGCACATTTTTACTATTGCAGCATTCTTTTAAAATATTTAAAGCTTATCCTTTTACAAACTAAATCTCATTTTTTTGTCTTAGAAACTTCATTATTTTTTAACATAGTAACAACTAAAATACTTAAACATTATAACATGAAACAAATGTTATTTTTACACCTTTATAAGAACAGAAATATTTGTTGTTAGAATTAGAGTAAAATTTGATATACAGAATTACATTACATATTTAAATTATTACGAAATCATTAATTTTACAAAACCATTGAAAATTGAATGATCTTGCATTTCAGTTTTCACTATGAAATTGATTTAGGTGTAGGGTACGTTCTGGTACGACAAATTTTCAGTAATATTTTATATCTAATATGAAACTAATTAATAAATCAAAGAGAAAAGTTTTATTTGCACATTTTTACCATGGCGGCATTCTTTTAAAACATCTAAAGCTTATCCTCTTACAAACTAAATCTCAATTTTTTGTTTTAGAAAGTTCATTATTTTTTAACATAGTAACAACTAAAATACTTAAACATTATAACATGAAAATTTATAAGAACAGAAATATTTTTTGTTAGAATTAGAGTAAAATTTGATATACAGAATTACTTTACATATTTAAATTATTACGAAATCATTACTGTTACAAAACCGTTGACAATTGAATGATCTTCCATTGCAGTTTTTACTATGAAGTTGATTTAGGTGTAGGGTACGTTCTGGTAATTAATGATTTCGACAATTTTTCAGTAATATTTTTAGCGAGCTTATTCGAATTGTAATTAATTTCGATCATCAACGGCAGCGACAGAACATGAACATCATCAACGAGCGATATGAAAAAAACGAGTAATAATAACGCAGAAGCACATTAATTAATATCCCTTTTGGCGTGTAGAGAGTATAACGAAAGTGTGGATCTATTAATTTGTAGCTAATATCAAAAGGCCGGTCGGAGTAGTAGTGGATGGGAGCAAAATGTGATGGCAGTGATTTTTGTGCTGCGCCTTCAGATTAGTTTAGACAATAGTGAACTAATGATGTTTGGAGTGGCGGCTACTTTGCGAGAGGCCGAATGCTTTGTACGATGCCGCGCGGGAGCCGCGGACTATTAGGCCCCCATCAGGCCCCACAATAGCCATCCTCGACCACGACGAACCTTCCGCCGCCGCCACCGCCCTCCCAACTCTCTCTCTCTCTTTCCATCCACCGACTGTAATTAATTAACGTCCGCGCACAAAACACTCGGCGCGATGCAGCCTAAATTAAACTCATTTCCATCGAGCGGTGGAAGCGGCAACGAAAAAGGGGGGCTTCGAATGAAGAGAAGGAATGCTTGGAAAGAAAACCATCCACTTGCACAATCGAAGGAATTAACTCCTGCGATGATGCGCGGGACGTCCAGGTGGCATCACCCCCCATCGAAGAGAGATGCATCTCGTTGCACAGGAGGCAATTTAAAATGGTTTCGCCGAAAAATTCCAACTCGGTAGCCTCCGCACAAAGGACTCGCATCGTTATTAATTGATCCTTTCATAAAAAGTAACAAATTAATATTTCACACAGCTCGCAATCATAATAACGATGCTAATGAAAATGGGATACTAAACAAAACAACAAATATGGAACGGGTACAACAAAATCATCCTGTCTCTAATGATTCGACTCGAACATTTAGAATACCTTATCTTAATGACCCTACGCTCTTGTGAAGATGCATCAATCTACTTTCACGTTTAACTTAATTAAAATCTTTCACAACAAATTAATATATATTTTGGACTATAAGACGCATATATTTTACGTAGAGAATTGGACTTGGATTTAGATTTTTATATAAAATATTCTTTCAAAATCCAAAAACATATTTTTTTTACAAATATTAATTTCTGGTTGTTAACTTATTTATCTAATCGACTGTTAATCCATTAATCCAATCAATTAATAATAGTAGATCTGTTTATATAAAAAATGTCATTTTATAGTTCATGTCTATAAAACATTAAGAATTCAAAATTTGTAATTTATTGAAAGAACTTAATAATTATAACATTTGTAACTTATCAGAAAAAATAACAGACACATATAATATTATATTTCTTCAACTTCCTCGGTTATAGGTATTTTTTACATGAGCTTATTTTTATTTTAATTGATTTTTAATTTAATCTCTATTGTGCAAATTCATTTTAAATTAACGTACAGTTAATCCGTTCCAAAATTTCCGGATTTTTACTCGTATAGTGAAATCAGAGAGTCGAACCGTAAACCGGAATTATTCACTTAACCGGAACGAAAAATTGATCAATTGAAAAACCGAAACCGGAACAAAATAAATTTCGGTTCGACTCACTGAGTGAAATGTAGCAGGCGCTCAATCCGGGACTTCTCTTCTCATCGCCACTCGTTATGCGAAACGTACCTCGTTATGCAAGACATTTTTCTTACAATTCATTTTTCTCGTTAAGTGAGTTTCCACTGTATATCTTATTGCAGGCATTCCCAAAGTATGTTCCATTAATAAACCTATTTCGTGAAAACTTGTAAGGAAATAATTACAAATGAAATAATGAAAGTTTTTTCTCATTTTTTTTAACTTTATTGATTATATCTTTCGTGAACATTTCAGGAATTACGAAGTGTTCCGTTGAAGAAAACGTTTTGGAAACCCCTATTGGGTTCTATAATTTGTAAAACGAGAATTCGTAAAGCAAAAATATAATTCATTTCAGTATCATTATGACATCTATGATTCAGAACCCAGACTATTCAAGCTCAAATAGTCTCTGATTTATACATATAAAATTGTCTTAAACTATTATTATTATGTGATAACATATCTTAACGAATTATGTAATAGAAATATGAATAAAATATTGCATTTTTATGAATATATTTTTTTTAAATACAATTGGATAAAGTAGGACACTGTCCTGCCAGATGTAATACATGACGTGTGTTGTGACGTGTAAATAATAACCTAAATAATTATAGATAAATTTCAATTGTGTTGTTCAGTTCGGTCTAGTTAATTGCAATAAAGAGGGTCCTAATTAATGCGAAAATGGTGCTGATGACAATGATCGCAAGGATCGCCGATGGTCTTCCATTGGCGGCGACTATGCAGGAAGATGAACAGGTTGGCCCTCAACATTTGTTTATAAACTATGACCCTTACTACTCCTCAATTTATTTCAGAGTGGTCGGAATATCTTAGATTACCAAAACCAAGCGAAGATGCTTTTCAGGAAACTGGGACCACAGTCACCAGCCAGATGCACAATCGAAACAGGCCCATTCCTATTCCAGTAATGCTCATTAAAAAAAAAACATATTGAGCATAACTAATTTATTAAGTGATTTTTTTTTAGTTACCTCATAGAACATGATATATGCTATTTGTGTTTATGTGAAAAGAATTATTCCAAAAGACTGGCTTATTCATATTTGGATGATATTGCACAAGAATTCCACAGGCAGTATGGAAAGAAAGTGAACACAGTGACTAGACCCTACACATTCATTGAATTTGATAACTACATTCAAAAAGCTAGGAAGATATTCATGGATTCTAGATCGAGGAGGAATCTGAGCAACATCAACAATCAGCTGCAAGATGTACAGAGGATCATGGTACAGAATATTGATGATGTTTTGCAAAGAGGAACTGTACTCTCTGGTAATTACATTTTAAATGAAATCTTATACAAATACTTTAAATATTGATTTATTGTTTTATAGAATTGGATACAAAGACCCAAAATTTATCGATGCTTACGCAGAAATACAAGAAAGATGCAACATATTTGAACACCAAATCGATGTACGTGAAAGCGGCAGCCGGTTGCATAGCTTTGTTGGTTTTCATTCTGTATTTTTGGGTATTGTAAAGGTTGTTAATAAAATGGATTTCTGGATATTGGTGATTGTTGCGTCATAAGGGGTTCTGTCGACAATACTTGGACTGCTACCACTTTATATATTTTACATGATTGTATTTGATGGAGTTTTCATGAAACACATTTTTTTCCACACTTTATATACACTACTATTTAAGGATTGTTCCAATTTTATGTTAGTTTCTTGTACAGTATGCTGAATTTATGAAGTGATATGTGTATAAATTTATAAAGTAATATACCATGCTTATTTTAATACAACGAAATAATCGAATCATTTACTCATTGTTCATTTTTCCATCCATTGAATTGTAATAAAAAGAAACTTTCGAATCATTCATTATAAACAACATAACTAGTTGCAGCCTATTTAACACCAGTTTTAACGATTTCTTATTGCAATTTCTCTTTCCAGCCAATAGAAACTCAGAAAAACTAATAGAAAAAGTTATTTTAACTAAATAGAAATTATGTAACAAATTCAATACTTTTTCGAACTGACGTCTTTGATTTGTTATTATGTCATTTTAAAATGACAAAGAATACCAAATTTTCACTATTCAATTTGATTTTATAAAATGGGGAAAAAGAAGGAAGCGAAGCCTAGAAAGTTGAATCGCAAAGATCAGAGCTTGAAGAGACTCGAAAACTTCAAAAAGGAAATCGTCACCGATCATCATACTGTTCCAATAGGTAATGCGAGTAGAATTTAGAATTTAAACACTACAATAACTATTGCAGACGTGCTATGCTCGAGATTGGAAACGGATATTGAGCGTGGATTGAGTCAATATAAAGCGAGGCAGCTGTTTATGGAAACAGGTCCAAACGCTTTGACGCCTTCTCGTAAAACTCCCGAATATATTAAATTCATTAAAACAATTACTGAAGGTAACTTTGTACGTAATAAAATATAAATTTGAAGAACTAGTTTACGGTATAGGGTTTTCCTTGTTGTTGTGGATTGGAGCTTCCCTGTGCATCATAGCAGCAGTCATCGAATACGTTTATAGGAAGAAAGTGGATACTGATAATTTGCTTTTAGCTGCGGTATTGGTTTTGATAATCATAATGACTGGTATATTCATGTACTATCAACAAAACAAAAGCTCGAAGGTTTTTTTAATTTAAACAAATATTTGTTATTGGAAATCTGCAATTATGCCTTCTAGATTATGGATTCGTTTGCAACAATGATTCCCCAGAAAGCGGAAGTTATTCGGGATGGTCAGCAAATTACGGTTAATGTTAAAGATTTGGTTGTCGGAGACTTGGTGGATATGAAATTTGGGGATAGGATACCTGCTGACGTTCGGATAACGAAGAGCCAAGGTTTTAAGGTGGATAATTCCTCGATTACAGGCGAAAATGAACCTTTGTTGCGCACAAATCAATGCACCAATGAAAATATTTTGGAGACGAGGAACGTAGCTTTCTTTTCTACTAATGCCGTCGAGGGTACTGCTCAAGGTATTATAGAATTCGAAATTATAGTAAGCTGAAAATGAGATTGTAATTAATTAGGTATTGTTATAATGTGCGGGGATCACACGGTGATGGGGAAAATAGCTGGTTTAACAGCAAGGCTTCATCCAAGTATCACACCTCTAGCAAGAGAACTGAACAGATTCATGACGATAATAACGTTTTGGGCTGTAATCTTGGGAATCATCTTTGGCGTGGCTTCAATAGCCATCGGCTATCCTTGGATAGATTCTGCTCTCTTCATCATAGGCATAATAGTGTCGAATGTACCAGAAGGTACATTTATAATCAATAATAATATTAGCAAGAAAATAAGATCATATTTAAAACAGGTTTATTAGCGACGGTGACGTTGAGTTTGACGGTAACAGCTAAAAAGATGGCTCTGAAGAATTGCTTGGTGAAGAACTTGGAAGCAGTCGAAACTTTGGGCTCCACGAACGTAGTCTGCTCCGATAAGACAGGAACTTTGACCCAGAACAAAATGACCGTTTGCCATTTGTGGTATAACGGAGATGTCGTCCAAGCCGATATCAGCGAGGACCAATACGATGCAAGAAAGTACACGGAAACGCCCGGTTTTGATATCCTGATTAGGTGCGCCACTCTCTGCAATAGGGCCGAGTTTATAAACACCAGAACACCTCGGAAATATATTATGAAATGGGAAGTTCGAGGCGATGCGTCCGAGGCTGCTATACTGAAATTCATCGAACTAACCAGATTAGAAGGTGATCCCGATGAGTTTAGAAAGGCGCATAAGAAACTAATCGAACTTCCCTTCAATTCCACTTCAAAAATTCAAGTAAATTTCTGATTAAAATTAGAAGAGATCTTTAATATTTCTTTTTGTATATAGCTGAGCATTCATGCTTTAGCTAACAATTGCTTGATGGTAATGAAAGGTGCACCGGAGCGGATTTTAGAGCGCTGCAAAACTATTTTCATTAACGACGATGTTGAGGAGTTGAGCGACGAATTGCGGCAGACTTGCGAAAAAGCCTGCTTTGAACTTGCAGCTAGAGGTAATAAAAGATCAATAATGAAAAAATGTGATACAATAAGTTTTTTTAGGTGAAAGAATTTTGGGATTTTGCGATATGGAAATGAAAGATACTTACACCTATTCGTATCCATTCACGATAGACCCATTGCCAAATTTTCCTACGGAAGGTCTTCGCTTTGTTGGATTCATATCGTTAATTGATCCTCCAAGACCTGAGGTCCATAACGCAGTGGAAACGTGTAAGACCGCTGGTATCAAGGTCATAATGGTTACAGGCGATCATCCTGTAAGAAGGATAGAATTTATTAAGATAATATCTAATATCAACATTTGCCAGGTGACAGCTAAAGCTATAGCTAAGGAAGTCGGGATAATCACAACGGACTCAATTGAAGACGCCGCTTTATTTTATAATGCAGATCATGATGAAACCAAAGATGCCATTGTTGTGTCTGGAACGACGTTGAGGGAATTGCAGCAGGATGAGCTGGATGCTATTTTATACACTTACAATGAAATCGTCTTCGCTCGTACTTCTCCCACGCAGAAGTTGCAGATCGTCGAAGGGCTTCAGAGACTCAAAAATATTGGTGCATATGAAGACAAAAATCGAAAATAACAGTAATAATCATTTTGCAATAACAGTTGCAGTTACCGGAGATGGTGTCAATGATTCTCCTGCTCTGAAGAAAGCTGACATAGGTATAGCCATGGGTATATCCGGTTCGGAGGTGTCGCAGCAATCTGCCGATATGATTTTGATGGATGATAACTTTGCATCGATCATAACAGGAATCGAGGAAGGTAGAAAGATCTTCGACAATTTGAAGAAATCGATAGTTTACGTTCTGGCTTCAAATATTGCTGAACTCGCTCCCTGCTTGATGTTCATCGTCTGCAACATTCCTCTACCTTTAGGAATTTTGGCAATTCTCTGCATTGACGTCCTCACAGATATGTTGCCTGCAATTAGTCTGGCTTACGAAAAAGCAGAAAGCGATATTATGAAGAGAACACCTAGGAACCCAAACGTGGATAATCTCGTTACATTCCGATTATATTTCCTAGCCTATTGTCACATTGGAGTATTGGAAGCTTGCGCTGGATTTTTCGTGTACTTTTTGATCATGTATGAGTATGGTTTCAAGCCTAATCGACTTTTTGGTAAGATAACTTCTTTAATAAATCTTCAATTCTGATTGTTGAGATCTGAAATGTAGGTCTAAGGCCAGAATGGGACACGTATTATATTAACGATTTAGAGGATTCTTATGGACAAGAGTGGAGTTACGAAGAGCGAAAGCAGTTGGAATATACGTGCTCCACTGCTTTCATGATCGCAGTCGTCGTATGCCAATGGGGCGACGTCTTGGCTTGCAAAACTAGATTGAATTCAATTATGGTTCAAGGTATGACCAACTGGTTTATGAACGTGAGCATCCTCATCGAAACTTTGTTGGCAATCTTCCTCACCTACACTCCCTACATGTCCTATTTGAAATTCTACCCAGTTGGGCTACATTGGTATGTAACATTAATACTTGAATCATGGTTTTTATATATTTCTTTACAGCTGGTTATATGCTCTTCCTTTCTCTGGACTTATTTTGCTCTTTGACGAGTACAGAAAGTTTTGCATCAGAAATTATCCTCGTGGTTATTTTTACAGGGAAACATATTATTAAATTTAATATAATCCCATATCAAGAAGTACTTTCTTTTAAGAATGAAAAATATAATAAAATTTTGGCAATAAATGTGATTTTTTAATTGTATTGCTTACGTTTTTTATGTTTTAGAGTTAAGTAGAAAACATATATGTATTCTGAAAATAAAACAATTTTTGGTTGCAAATGTATCAAACGTCTTTTCTTTTTCATTGAAAAACTTAGCTTTATCAGATCAATATTATTTCGTAAAAAAGCGACGTTTTATAGTAAAAATATCTTCTTGACTTGAAATATACTAGTGCACAATACACATTAAATTGAACATGGAGAAAACACTGGCTGAAAATCCAAAAACGACTTTTGATGATGACAAGAACTCTGAACTGCATTTCGCAAGTTCGAAGGGAGATCTGGACGCAGTGACTGAAGGAGTTGAGAAGGGCCAGAAGATTGACCTCGAGAACTTCGCAGGATGGACTCCGCTCATGATGGCGACAAGGAATGGACACGTGGAGGTCGTTCGTTACCTCCTGTCGAAACGAGCTGACGCCACCAAGAAAAATAGATTCGGTAAAATACGAAGCTCTACAAAATCATTTTTTCATCCGTTAATCGATTTCAGGTGCGAGTATATTTATGATGGCCGTTGCCAGTGGAAACATGGACATTCTGCGTGAAATTTTAAATCACCTTCTATGCGGAGGTGTTTCGAAGCAGAGCATGGAGAGCAAATTCTCCGCTTTGTCTTTAGCGATCCTTTTCAACCACGAGGACATCTTTCGTTATCTCTTGGAGAAGAATTTCAATGTTAACGCAACGATACCGAATATCGGTAACATCTTAATAGACATTGCGTAGCAATTTGATTAACCATCTGCTTTCAGATTTGACTCCTCTCATGTTCGCTGCAATCAACAGGAATCCCATTTTCAGTAAACTCCTGCTGAATATTGGAGCAAACGTCAATTGCAAGAACATCAACGGCGAGACCGCTCACGATATTTTGGTGCGGAAGCAGGAAGTGAAAGTACAACAGCCCGTTGTGCAGCCGCAGCAGCAACCGCCTCCTCAACCACCTCCTCAGCAGGTCGTCTACAATCAGCAGCCAAATTTGGTCTACCTGCAACCACCCAATCCGCATTTCATGAGGAAATCTTCCGAAGTTCTCACACCCAACATCATCCTCTCGCCTAACATGTCGCCGATTCCTCCCATGTCCTACCATCCGCAAGTTTTCTTCCCACCGGAATTCATGCAGCATCATATTATGCCTCCGCAATTCAATTATCCCCATGGCACTATCATTTCGCCAGTGCCTAACTTCAATTTGTCCTCACCTTGCGGAGGCGCATGTTCATGGTATCCAGTGTATCCTTAAAGAGATGCATTCACAGACTTATATTTATTTTACAAAGTAATTTTTAACAAATTTTGACATTTTAAATTCATGTTTGTTTGTCCCCCCACCCCCCTTAATGTTGAGCCAAAATGTAATTATTGTATTGTTTAATGAGTTCAAGATTGTAAAACATTTTAAAAAGTTAACTGTATTTATGAAATAAAGATTCTACACTAACTACTAATTGTATAACTTCAACAATTTTAATAATCATTACAATATAATTGCCATGTTCTTTTTTGTAAATATTTCTAGATATTTTAAAATTTGGTAAAAATTAGATGATATTAAGGTTCTAAAATATTATATTTATCGAAATTAGTAGTTGATTATCAATAATCAAAAAATATTCTTGTCAAAGATATCCGGATTTTTCTACATAACACAAATGAAAATACTCTGTAGCTAGTGTTTTGTTATTTTCGTATAAAAAAAACACAAATTCCCACAATGCTCTACGAAATCGAGCAGCCATCGAAAAAATTGTTATTGGCGAATTTGAAAACAACTGCCAAAAGGTGCCTTCCTTGCGGATTCCTATTGGTTTACACTTAAAAAAAAATCCTAAGGATCATTGAACTAGTGTACAATTGCTACTCAGTGCTCATCCACACTTCTAGCGTGCAGCAAGTTTTGGCTAAAGCTAGTTTCGATGTCTGAAAGTGAAGGCGATGATGGTTCTTTGTATTCGCGAAAACGAGCGAGGCTCGATACTTCGCAATCAAGAACAGATAGTCCTAGTCTATTTTCAGATATTTCGTCCATTTCCTTCGACACTTCTGGACTACGATCGTCTACTTCTAGTAAGTATAAGAGATTGTTTTGAACACTATATTAAATGCGAGCTTTTCTTTACAGCTACCAGCTCGGTCGCCATCGAGAGATTACCTCTTCCTGCGATCAAAATTAAAAAGATCGGCAAGGATGCGACCCGATTTAAACCGATTAACAGAGATAGAATGTATTGGAAAGTTGTGAATAACCCAAATTCATTGCAGGTAATTTCATTGAAATTGATTTCAACATATTTCTAATAAGATCTAAGCCAAATTACTTATCCGAATTAACTAAAACATAATCAATAATATTTGTGAAATCGCATATTGTGGATGGTTTACGAAAGTTAAACAACGATTTAGTGTTTGGATAGGTGATCGATACACTTCTATCATTAAAAACGCATAGTCGATGACCAAATATAGGGAAACAAATATACTGACAGAAACAATCACTTGTCTTTGTTTTTAGAAATAACAAAATAATTGTTACAACGATTGAAAAATTTAAATAATTACGAATTTGATTTATTTTAAAAATGAACTCGTTTCAATTTTAGCCAATAATTAATGAATGGGTGTATGAGTATCAATTTGATGGTAATGCTTTATTCGCGATACTGCAATTCATAATCGACATCATGGGTTACCAAAGCTTCGATGTGAAAGAAGCTTTAACCGATTGGGAAAACCTCCACGAAATTAACGGTCAGCTCGAAGAATGGTCGTCTCTTCAACAAAAGGTAGTCCTCAATTTGAATTACACGAAAAAAACCTATACTTATAATTATATATTTCTCAAGGATTTCCAATGCGTTTTAATAAATAAAACTACGTACTGCAAATCGGTTTCGAAAACATATTTCAACTTCATTTATTATTTGATGAAAACCTGCAGCAGTTGCAATATTGTCTACGATCATTATTTCTTAGATAGACTACTCAAGATTTTAATTGTGATGTCTAAGTCTATGGTTCGAGTTGTTCGTCATACGGCAGTAATTACAGGTAATAAATAAAAATGAATACTTTAAAAAAAAATAAATAAATTTTATGGTTTTTAGTGGTAAAATTATGCACAGAGCTGATTTCGATCATGCAAGATATAGATAAAGACGAAGAGAAACAGGCGTATTTACATACTAAAATAAACTCGTGTTTAAACGTTTATTATATGAATTGGTAATTGAATTAATTGCACGTTTAGATGAGGATTTTAAATAAAATTTTGTTTCAGTGGTTTATCAGATGCGAAGATGAGTTATATGCGCACTTCGTGTTTGAACGAGTGCAATAAATGGATACATTTAGCTCCAAATCTTATGGCTAATAAGAAATCGTTGACGGTCTTGAGGCGAATGTTGCTTGATATTGTAAGATCAAATGTGTAAGTTCATTTACTTTAACTATTAAACAATCGTATCGTAGCAACCGGTCATTAGAATTGCTGCATTGACTACAATCAAATGTTTAATGCCGAATCTACTACGAGATCAATTTGAAGAGCAAGAACTGATACTTTCGCGTTTAATGAAGGAAGTAGAAAATCGTTTGGTGGATGTGAATCAAGTCGTTGTTGAACAAGCTATATTAGTTATCTACGAGCACACTAAGGAGTAAGTAGTGATTACCAAGAGCTCAAGTATTATTACCTAATATTTCTATTAATTAGATTATGCGTGGAGCATAGTTCGGACATTCGCAACTACATATTTAAATGCATTTATGTGGAGAACCGAAATATTGCGAGAGCCGCTGGTAATTACTTGTATTATTTGCTTTCCGAAGCTCTACCAGAAGAGTTCCTGAAGAAAATTGTGTTATTCGATTCCGCTAGGGTATGTTGATATATTGGATACTGATAGCAATAGTTATTATAACTGCTTTCTAGGATAAAAGCACTGCTTTGTTTGTCGATGCGCTGATCGATACAGCTCGTGAGTTTCAAGATTTCGATTTCATCCTCGAGTATTTATACGACAACAACGGTGAATTTTCTCAATATGAAGAGAACAAGCTGATCAAGATGTTCTATTATGCAGCTAAATATATGCTGACTGGGGAATTCAGTGGCATTCCGAACAACCGTAAAACGGAAGCAGCGAAATTTGCTGCAAACTACCAACAATTTATTGAACATTTCCAGCCCAAAATTAACTCCTTTATAGATAAATATAAATCTAGCAACGAAGGCCTGAAGTTTCTCCTGCAGACTATTTTACTCATCGACTTTTGCAGGACGGAATTTAGCCGTGGCGTAAGTCACATATAATAAATACTTGAAGATACCAGAAATTCATAAGCTACTTTGTTTGCAGGATGTAATCGAAGTGATCAATTCGTTGTTCGACATCTTCGAACAAAATACGGACGACGAAATTTTGGTATTAATAAACACCATATTTTCCAAGTTCACTAATGAATATTGCTCCACCAAGAAGCAAACTGATGACATCTTGCTCAATTACTTCAATACTGTAATTGAAAGCTACACGAACATTATCATACCTCTAGGAGACGTAAGAAGAGAAAATATAGAAATTTATTTACTTTAATTTATACTGTTTTAGTTAAGCAAAATTACGAATGAAGAATCCGAGGATATAACATCGCAACTTCGGCTGATCTCGTTGTTTTCCCAGCACTACTACCTAGAAAACATCACTTGGGAATACATCTATTACGATTGGAACGTTTCCGCTTACACAAATGAAGTAAGTTAATAATTAATTTTGATTGAACAAATCCAATTGAAACTTAATATTTTAGATTTTACAGTATCAAGTAGTCTGCTGCCTAAATTATCTTGTCTGGCGATACAAGAATGTTGATGAGAACACAAAGACTTTGCTTGATCAGAAATTAGAGAAGTTCATCGATTCCTGCGTCGGTGTTTTACAGCAAAGCTCCAACATTCCGCTTCAAGTATCGGTGAGTTATTACTAATTTCATACATTCATATTTACTAATCGTTATTTCAGATATTCAAGTGCTTGCATAATTTAGCGAAAACTTTGTCCTCCACCAACATTCATATTGTCAAGTTCAAAGAACCGAATGATCAAGTTCTCTTGGATTTTGTTCTTAAGCACTGTTTCCTAGAAGATAGTAATTATCATTATACAACTGCATATCCATTATATTACTACAATATTTTTTAGCTCCTGAAGTATTATTAAGTACCAAAAGAAATTTGTTGAAAAGGATAATGAACATGTGCACCATAGATAGTTTGAATTCTACCGTTATTCCATACATTTACGCTTATTACACAACTGTAAGTACTAAGGAGTTGATTGAATACGAATGATTACTAAATATTACATTTTCAGAAAAACTATACTGATATCTTCGAAGATAATTTTAAAGAGATGGAGCCGCGATGCAAATGCGTTATGATCTTATGCGTGTTCAAGTATTTATTAGATACTAATAATCTGCCACAGTTGAAGGTAAATAGAATATTTTATTATATTATAATACAAATTAATAACAAATTATCACATGTTTTGTATGCAGGTACTCGCTTCTACATTCGCTAAAATCATGGAAGCTGGTTCGATCATGAATCTTTTTCAGCTATTCTTTCAATACATCAACATAAACGAGAGCAACACACTTTTGCTGAAACATATGGTACCATTTATGAAGAAGATTAAAGCAGGCAACAAACGACAACTGTAAGATTACTTGAAGTCAACCAGTGAAAACTGTTACTGAAATAATGTATTTTTTAATTTGCAGGAAAATCTTTATCGACGAAAAAATCAGTCACTCGCTGCATGAAAACGTTGCTATTAAACAATTCTTATTATTGCTTCGTTAGTGATGCAATCAGAATTTTTAAGAAAATAAATGAAATTTATTTAGTCTAATTATTTCTGTAACTTTGATCTCAAGTTTTTTTTTTTTTAATTTTATAGTTGTTTATATTACTAGATTTATATATTCTGTTATTTATTACAAAATAAATAAAATACTTTTGTGAAAAACATAATAATCCCACAAATCCGTAAATTCCACAATCCGAATATTTCATATTGCAGATATCATAAACTATTTTCTTTCAAATAAACATTTAAGATATTTATTAATTTGTAAATATTACATCAGTAAAATTTCATCTAGGAATTGACTAACTTTCGGTGCATGAAATCTATCCTCGCTAACCGCCTCCACGGAAACAGCCGAAATGGCATTCATCATGTATTCGTTGGCTGCTGATTGCATAATATTACCTTTTTTTGAAACTTCATCGACTGTGCTATAAGTTTTTGTATGTAGCTCATCCAACGCGGTATTCAGTATTCCTTTGATAAATTCCTCGGTGTCCACTGTCTCCGTGGTCGACTCATCATTAACTAGCTCCTCTTCCTCAACCAAAACACTCGAAGAGTGCTCGCTCTCTTCACTTTCAAAAATGCACTCCTTCCGTTCGCAATATCTTTCCAAATACAGCTCCATATCCTGCCGGACATCGCATTGCGGCCTATTGAAAAACTCGTAAACGGTGTTGTGAATATCTTTGCGTGGCTTCTTCTTCAGCACGTACTGAAGAATCAAAGAAGAGAACGCTCGTACTTCTGGGTGAGACTTCAGGTACATCTCATCGCTTCGGATGGTATCGATTTTGAAGGTATTCAACTGCTTCTGCTGATTTTTCGTTAGCGAAGATGTGTTGAAGTACAGCGAACCCCTGGGAGTGTCACAGGAATGGTAATCCAGGGGCTCGATAACCTGCAGTGAACTGTCCATATTTTCCGTGTAAAATAAAACGCAAATATTACATTTGGCAGTTACTTTTATTACAAGTTCTCCACTGTCACTCACAAACATGCATACCGTGATTTTGATATTATCGATAATTATACTGGCTCATCTTCACTATCACAGCGGATTATTTCTATATTCTGTTTTATTTCTTTGCAACATTACAACACACAAATAAAAATAATGTCTATTATTACAAACGCAACCAAAGATGTTAAAAATTATTTATTACTGCGAATTTTAAGTCTTCTAATAGTGTTCACCCATCAAGAGGACAACCAAAGCGGACCAACCGGTGAACGGTTTGCAGCCGCTGCCTTCACCGTTTTTATCGTTGTACTGTTCCCATACGTAACCAGTCTTATAATATTGATTTATAACATTATTAATAACATTGCTTCTCAGTTTATTGTACAGCTCGAACGCCTTCTTCTGGTAAGGTCCTTCCTTTTCAGCGTAGTAATGCAAGGCCCGAATCGATAAAAAGTTCATGTTGATCCAGATTTGTCCACGCCAATATGGCGGGTCATGCTCGGTGTTCCTCTTCATGTAAAGTGGAGAACTTTTAGCTAAAGACCTCAACCCGTAAGGAGTCCAAAGTAGATTGGGATCATCGAGATTATTTAAAATCTTCGAAAGACGCGGCGAGTTTTCGTCCAGGATTTGCAGCAAGAACGGAAACAGACTAACGTAGCCGAAGTTGTTGTCGACCAAACGGTATTCCGGTGTCCTCGTGATTACCCTAACCATTTCCAAGTTTTGTGTTTGAGCTCGAGGATTCTGCTTGGGTCTCTTCAGAATGACCGCATCCGTGTGCAATCCGTAATCCGCATAGCTTTGCGAGTACTCGGACCAATGCAGAGCGTTCATCAAGTCTTCATCCTTCAAGTACGCCGCAGTCTGATCGTATTTGTAACCATCTTCACCTAAAAGCACCGCCAATTTCCCAATGGTATCTGCAGCAATCGCAATCCAACATCTAAGATCGATGTGCCTTTCGTCATCAGACGGATGAGAGGATCTCGGGTAATCATCTAATCCGGAAGTGAGCGTCTTCGGATTCAATTCGCGATTGGTGAAAGGATCTCTACCGCGCCACCTGTACGAACCACTCACTTCTCCTTTTTGTGTATTATTAAACCAAGCAAACCACGCCTAAAACTAACGATTAAACATGAATCACTAAAGTTGCAAATGATATTACCTGAAGTCGAGGATACAGCCTTTCGAGCGTTGCCAAACGTTTATTAGTTAAATGTTTTTCGTGATTCCTGAGGATGTGCTGTAAAGTTAGGAAGAAGGTAGGTGGATTAGCATTGCTATTCCGTTGTGTAACGAATTCTTCCGGAACTTTAGCCAGAGCTTCAACGCCCAGGATTTGCTCTCTCGGAATCCAACCTTCCACGTTCATCAAATCGAACCAATGACTCATAATATCCAATTCGATGTCCAAATCCCAAGTGGAGATCAGGAATCCGTGAAAACCTTCATCCCAGAGAAAACCGCGCGGGAAAAAGCTACGTGAAGGCACACCCGTATATAAAGAAGCCTTCCAATAAGGCACCGGATCTTTGGTGTAAGAACTTTGAACTCTTGACGTACCGTAGAAATAGCCAATGCCTCCTAACATGTTACTAAGCGCCGCTTGAGCAAATTGTATCTCCCGAGTTTTATATCTAAAATATTAATATTGTATATTAATATGTAATTAGTATTGTATTAATTTTACCCCTTTTCCTGCAAATTAAAGGTATCCTCGAAACGTTGATTAAATCGCAGTCGCTGCCATTGCAATTCCTGCGTGTATACATCACCAGCCAACATGTTTTCCCGAGAAGACACGCTTCCAGATTCGAAAACCACGTCCAAAGTAAACGGCAGCTTCGCCGTAATCTGCGTTGCAATGAAGTTCGGTTCCATGCGAGAATTCGAGGCAGGCATCAATTCTCCAGCAAGAACTACCTTCCTCGGTGATTTCGGATTATCCTGTGCCAACCTCAAAGACGAGATCACAGTTTCTTTAAGTAAATTTAATCCAGGTGCGACCGTCGATAAGTAAGACTCGTGTTCAATACTTCCTTAAAATAAAATGAAATTTTATTACTCCTAGCCTTGGTATAAAATTAACAATAGTTATTATACCAGAGTGATTGAACATTTTTATATTGAATTTCCCCAAACCAGGAGTATCGCCGCGAATTCCCGTTAACTCGCTCCCAGTATTCGTCGTCTTAATATACCCTTGAATATTCTCATCGAACGCGGTGTACCACAGCAAAGAAACCTCCTCATCGAGTTTCTTAGCATACTCAGGCTGAAAATACGAGAGAACGATATGAATAAAATCCACTATTCTCTATAATACATGTTAATCCAATCGTATATATATATTTTTTTATTTAAATTGGTTAAAACAATAACATGTGTTCATGAAAATACATTTAACAATGAAATCGCACTAAAAATTTAAGTCATCTTCCTCCGCAGACGCAGCAGACTACTAAAATGGTGGCAGCAACGGTACAAGCAATCACCGACGTCAGAGTCATTTCTTTGTCCAGCTTAAATTTAACGGTTTGGTCATTGTCCTGCGCCATGTCCAAACTCCAAAAGTTTTTTCCGAAATTTTCTTTGACAAGTTTAAATAACAAATATTGATGACAGATTAAAGCGCGACGGGCTTTATCTATTAGATCCGCAGCAACAGCACACTACTAAAATAGTGAAAATCACCGATCCTATTAGAGCGGATGACACTGTGATATCCTTGTCAAACTGTACTCTTTCGCATCCCACCGATTGATCATCCTTTCCGTTTGACATTCTATCAAATACTATCGATAACAACGTAGACTTGATCAATTGTATTTATTAATAAACATTATTTAGATTCTAGCATTAACGCACTTCTTCATTTGAATTAAAGTTATTGTCGTGGCCCTTTACAGAAACAGACGACTATAAACGTGCAAACGATAGTTCCAATAATAGCAGTTGAAACAGCGACGTGTTTTTCAAACGATGCATTTTCACAACCACGAACTTCCTCTTTTTTCTTAACACTTTCAACAATTTCAACCTTTTTAATTTCTCTCTTGAAATACTTTTCATAGATCTCATTGATCATAGATCGCCTTATATGAAACTCCACATTAAAGTATTTACATTATTCTTATAAGCGTCACAGGACGACTGACAACTAATCATATTCAAAATAGTCAAATGTAATGATTACCTTAACTTCCACCGATATTCTGGCTGTCCAATCTCCGCCGTGCAATCCTCCGAGTCTCTTGACAAACGATGTTGTCAGCAAGAAAGGTCCGTCGTGGATTTCCTGAACGCCAAAAGAAGTAGCGTCATGCTGTATCCATCCATATTTATCTAGATTGTCACCCTGCTCGCACCAATGCCTAAAGGACGAAACGTTACAAACGGTTCGAAATGCAATTATAACAGAACATACCGAATTCCATCGCCACCTGGCCTCAATCTCTTGGGAAAATACCACATCAATCCTGTAACCAATGAATGTGGGTCTCTGGTCTTAAAACCAAAGTATGTACCTGGTCTATAGGAACCCCAGAATCTATCTGGAATATCCAATCCACTTTGAATAACAATCTATAAATTTAAAAGTTTTTTTTTTAAATATATACAATATCCAATTAGAATCTAATAAGAATTACAACAAATGAATGTAAAACCATGGACAAAAAAACTATGGGCAGCAGTTCCAGTTTATATAGAATTCATAAACAATAAAGATCATTGAAATAAAGATTAGAAAACTAAACAGTGTTTTCCAACCTTTATGTAATAGAAAATACCAACCTTTTTATCATCATAAGGGGTATTTACACGAGTCTCCAGATAACCCATGTAACCTACAGCTGCAGCAAATATGAAGCAGAGGAAACCAATGTACTGTTTCCAATAAGATAGTATTGTCTTTTTATCCTTGACTGGTTTAACTGAGGTGCTCCCATTGCTACTGCTGCTGTTTGTACCTTTATCAGCTTTGCTGGCTTCTACTCTTCTTTGCCTGACCATATTGAAATTTTGCTCTTTAACTTTACACGTTTTCATCTAAAAGTTTCACGAAACGATCATACTTCAAAACAATCCGGCAGCAGCTATTGTGTTGTCTACGATCACTATATTGTAGGTTATTTTTATGTGTATTCCAGTAAATGTCACCTCTACATTATTCTTTATAAAAAAAAATGTTGATATTATTTACAAATAACATTCACTTCAATTTGTCATTATTAAGTTAAGCTTACATATTTTAAAACTTAATTTTACTTTAAACAAAAGCATTCGTTCTCGTAAATATTGTTATATATGCAACCAACTATGATTTTCTGTACTAAATACTAATGGTTGTATTTATTAGGTGAATGTCAAATGCTTAGGAAGAATTACATACAATTGATACAATACTAAATAGATGTTACCATTAACTGTGATTGGTTGTAGAGTATTAGTTATTGAAATACTATAATTATTATACTGGTATAGTATTTAAATAAATCTTTAATACTATACAGGAGTTAATTATTAATTGTAATTGTATATTTGAAGAAATAAATTGGTTGTAATTAATTATTATTTTGAAAAAATAACACATCATTTTTATAAATAAATAAAAAGATGGCTGATAAATCAGAAGATGTTGTTGACAGTGACAAGATGAGTAATAAGTCTAAGGAGGCATTTAACAAAATTATAGCGAATTTAACAAAAAGCTCTGATACAAAGCAACTGCTTATTGGAGTTGGATCAGGATGGTAATAATTTTGATATTATATAAAGAATAATGTTTATTTATTTTACATGTAAACATTTTAAGTATAATGTATGGAAATCAGAATAATTGATTATATTTGCAGGGTTACTGGTATTCTAACTTTAAAAGGGGCCAGAACAGCAGCGTTTGCAGTGGGTGGAGGAATAATCATCATGCAGGTAGCCCAGAACCAAGGGTTGGTCAAAATTGATTGGGGCAAAATTAAGGCTAAAGCTGATAAGGTCAAAGAGGAGAAAGGCATCAACCGGGTGACTCCAAATATTTTAGCCAAAGTAAGTAAAGCAGTAACATCAGTAGAAACATTCCTCTAATTAACGGTTTTCAGGTGAAAAAGTTTGCGCGGTGCAACTCCGTGTTTGCTGCAGGTTTCATTGGTGGATTCCTGATAGGCGTGGCTTCGTAAACGCAAACAACCTCCTCCCCAAAAATTATCCACGTGAGGGTTTCCGTCATGTCGCAACAATATTTCGGTGTATCTTCTAATTTATTTATACAATTAAATTATTTACAAATGTATTAGACAATAAAAAAGGAACGGCAAATAAATGTTAATAGTTCTTGGCCATGGGATGTTCCGGGAAGTAATGACCAATGTCCATCGTCCTTTGGGCAACTGCAAAATGCCCCGCATCGCTGTTACTTAAATAACCGATGTCGATGGCAGTGACATTAGCTTTGACTTTTAACACAGCGTTCATACAAATCGATTCCGTCAGCAATATCTCGTGCTCTGCATTTGTTAATCCTATACAATACGATCTTGAAACTCGAGCTAAAACAAGTAAATATTTTACTTTAAGAAATAACACTGACTTTCAACGTAGTTGGACGTACCTAAACTCGCAACCATTGCGTATATTTCCAAAATACAATCAGCTAATCTCATCAAATTCACATGTTTCGTAACGACTTCCATCCCTTCGTCAGCTAATAGAACCTCAGTGACGTATTGCAACCTTAATATAGAATACCTATAATAAACATACGATTAGTTACAACAAAAACTTATTATAAAATATTAATATTATTACTCTAATATATTAGCTTGATTCATCAACGATGGATGAAAATATTCTTTAAGCTTCAGATTAAGCGAAGGTCTATCCTCGTGATCTTTCCTTTTCGTCCACATTCTGATCAAATTAGCAGTCGCATGGTAAAACGGATTCCTAATCTTGCGCACCTGCTCTTGTATGATAATCTAAAAAAAAACATAATCCTAAAATAATTATCTTCCTGTTATAATTTATAAGACTAACACCGGCGTGCTGCAATCCTTGCAACGCAATCACTAGCTTCAAATGATCCATAGGTTCTACTAAAATCAAATTACTGAGCGAATTTCTGTAAATCTCATTGCACCAATGGCCTTCCTCAAAGCCCGGACTTCCAATTAAACTTAAACAACTGAGTGCCGCTTCGTGCGTGTACTTGGCGCAATATGCCTTCACGATAGCTGCTTCTAAGTCACAATCCTGATCCTCGTATTGGTCCATCAACGCTCCAGTCATATAAGTCATACTTTCCATCGCGTACAAAGAACAAGTAATCTACAAACAAAAACTATTATATTATTGTTCAACTTATAATATAATGCATAATTTACCTCAGCTACTTTCTTTTTTACAATCTCACTTGTAGCCAGGTTTTCTGATTTTGTGCTGATATCTTTGCAATGCTGAATAAACTTATTCAGCAGTGCTTTAGTTTGTACAATACTATATGATCCTGAACTCAACCACATCTCTGACAATATACCAGCAAGCATTTTTTCACCTCTATCCACTTTCCCTAAGACATTTTCTGAAAGAAATATATTTAACTTATTATTATTTTTTTATTTAATTAATGACCTCACCTGCAGGTATATGTGTGTTTTCAAAAGTAACATCAGCAATATCAGTTTCCTTAAGCCCATGGCACTCCACTGGTTTTGTTGTTATTCCACCAAATAATTTATCAACTATAAATGCAGTTACATGTTTTGTACCCTTCCTCACCTTATCCTCAGTTTCAGCAAAAACAATGAACAAATCTGCATTGCTGCCATTAATTACTTTTGTCCTGTGTCCATTTAAAATCTGAAATCAAATATGTGTAATAAATGAAGAATTATAATATTATGGATGAAATACATACCCAAACATTTTTGTTTGCATCAAATGTAGCTTGCATTTGAACTTCCATATTGGACATCTTATTGTCTGGAGTGCATAAAGTACATATACTTTTACCACTGATAAGATCTGGCAGATATTTTTTCAGCTGGTTTTCATTTCCCAGCTTCAATAAATTGTTTACTCCACATGATTCATGATGCACTGCACCAATGTTATTATACTGTTTTCCCATTGACTCATAATACCTGAGCACCTCTGAAATCTTCAGTTCACTTCCACCTTCAAGTTGTGGTGCTTGCAATCCAAATAACTTCATACTAGCTAATTTATCTATAACACTTTTTGTTAAACCTACACCTTCAGATTCCTGACTAAAATGGAAATCTACAGGTAACAAGGCATTTTCCAACTTTATCAATTCCTCTTTGTCAATAGCTTCAGGATATGCTAATAGGTCTGTATCAACTTCACCAACAAATAAGTTCTTGACGAATGGTGGTTTCTGGGGCTTCTTCTCATACTTCTTCTGGTATATTGAGGACAGTTTCTCAAACACTTTCAAACTCTCATTTTCTGATGAAGTTTCCTCTTTTTGCGCCACCTGCGTTGAGAGCCTCTTTGGAAATACGAGTCTGCGAGGTCTTAGATGCTCGGAACAAAGTTTTAATAAATAAACAGACATTTTTAGTCTTTATTGTTACTCTTCAAGAAAACATAACCTATTGTAACCTATATTTAAATTATCACACTCAATCACACTGTTTTATTGCTTAGCCCAGTTGCGAACACACTACATCAAACTTAATACTAATACCAACTGAACGTTTCAAAGTCTTATTAGAAAAATACAAAAATAAACTTTTTATACTCTATACATTCTATTATATCTTGCTGTATTATCAAATATAAACATATTTTCTTTAAAACTAAGAAATATTCTTTCATAATCTTTTACAGATGCGTTCGTAAACCATGAAAGACAGATTTAGTTTATTTTGTAAATAGCAAAAATATGCATTTGTTAATAAATATTTCTTCATCATAAGTTATAAAATTATGTAGTGTTTCTCTTGTAAATTGTGTTCATTAAACCACTATATTTCTCCAAAAAATGACAAATATAATAAGAAGCTGAGGAACAACACCTCTAGAATGTTAATAAAATAAGAAAGTTGTTTGTAAAAAAGTTTATTTCACTGTAGCAATGTTAACAAAAACTAACTACTTTGTAATTACTTGAAATATATACAATATTAGTAAATATACAAAATTAACACTATGAAATGAATTATATTAAATACATTCGACGTACTTTCAATAAATATTTCCTGTCGCATATGTATAAAAATTAAGCCATTCATTTAACAAAAAAAAATACTTTGAAATAGTGCAGCAGTAACGTAATGCAATCAATATTTACACTCTATATACAAAATCAACAATGCTATCACATTTCATCCGCTTAGTATAATTTTTTTTTTCTTCAAATTAATATCAAACTGTGTCTCACAACGAAACAACGATTGATCCCTTTGCAAAACTATAACCAACAAACAAAGAAAATGCCTTAGAAAACGAAAGAGAAATTAAAAGGAAATTAATGATAAACGAAATAAATACGAAATATGAAATGAATGTCACGCGGCAGTGTTGAAAACCAATTATCCAACATTAATCATCATGACGTCGAATTGGAAAATTTCAGTTGCTCCGTCAGAATCTTCACCTGTTGCTTATAATGTGCAGTCTCTATCTCAGATTTGATTAACTTTTTCTTGTACGTTTCTAGTAACGTGTGGACTTTCTGCAGTTCGTCCAATAGCGAATCGACGTTGTAATTTTCTATTTTGTTTTCTTTTACCACCTGAAACAAATTAGTTTAATAATTTATCGAGAATAATAAGTGCGTGCAAAAACTCACGTTCACTGCCGGCGAAATTGTCACCAATTTATTCTTCTTCATTACAATTCGCTTATTCTGGGCAGTCTTTTGCACGGAATTTATAAGCTTTCCGTTCAGCTGTTTCAATATGTTTGATTGGCCGTTTAACGAGCCTCCATTGGTCATCGCAAGAAACTCGTCTGCCGTTACCGTTATTATCCGATTTTTCTTTACAGGACTCACAGCGTTTGTTGTCGTTGCTGTCACTATTGGTTTACTATGTAAATACTCCGAAAAATCGTCGTTGCTTTCGTGGGGTTTTATTGAATTTAAAGCTTGTTTTCCAGCCTCTGCAAAAAACAACATTTAGATTTGATCATTTATATATTCGAAATATATTCGTATAAAATTACCAGTAAGAACAACGGAATGGCCACTTTCCATAACTGAATTCAAAATACTGCAATCGTCCACTGGGAGCATTGTAATACCATGCTGTTGAAGTAGTTTTAGGGAATCTGTATAACTAGTTTCATTCTCTATCGTCTCCATACTCATGCCATTCGCTTCATCACTATAATTTAAGGATTCGTCTGATATTTTAGGTTCCATATCATCCTCAATCATTATCGTTTCTGGAGAGTTGAAATATTATTTTAATAAATGATAAAAAATAATAAAGACAATTTACCAATAGGCATACAAGCTCCATCAATGTTTTCCTCGTCATCTTCTATTTCCGTAATGGTTTCTTCTGGAGCAGTACTCATTTCTAAAATGGGTTCTATTGCCACTGAATCAGCGCTATTACTATCGCAAATCATTTCTAACGCTAAATGCTCTGTGGCTGCCAAAGGATCACGCAATCCGATATTAATTATTTGTACAATGTCTGGTCGATTCATCTGCGTCGCTATATCCGTCGGCGTTAAATTGAATTTATTGATGCTATTCGTTGTAGCTCCATACCTAATCAGGATTGCTGCAACTTCAGCATGGGAATTCTGGGCAGCCCAGTGCAATGGCGTCATATGTAACTAAAGATATTTAGTTTAATATTTACCAAATTATAATAATTAATACTTACAAGGTCTTTGCAATCGAAGTCTGCTCCATTTCTAAGAAGGCATTCAACGATTTCTAGGTGTCCCTCATAAGCAGCCATGTGCAAAGGTGTTCTATCAACTTTTGTTCTGGCATCTCTGGACATGCCAGCCCTGAGCAGGATCTCACATACTTCCAAGTGGTTATTCTGAGCAGCCAGATGCAAAGGGCTTGTGCCTAACTAGAACAAACGTGCTTGTGGCATTAGCATTCAATTGGATTCTTTGTTGTTCAGCAAGTTTACCCAATCTGCAGAAAATGGTGCTCCCTTTCCAAGAAGCAATCTAATTTCCTCAACATTTCCATCTGTCGCTGCTTTAAGCAATTGCTTTCCCAACTCAGTTATTGTCAAATTATGGGGCATATACTAAATAACACATATAAATTAGCTTATATTCTTTTAAATTTAACTATTTATTATTAATTGTTGTTTCAGGTTGTTGTTTCTATATATATATATTTTTTTTCAATTTGTATATATGATGTATATCAAGTTAGGTCGAACCTTAAGAATTAGTAGTAGTCGCAAAAGTTTGTTGCAAATAGCATAAACTCACTGGTATAAGTTCTGCGTGTTCCAATGGCACATTTTCTGATAAAATAAATTTGGTGGCAGTTCCAGTTTGCTTGATGTTGCTGCGAGCATCGTGCTCCTGCATAATCTTGATCATTTTCTGCAAACATTTTTCCTGTGTTACAAAAGTTTTATTTGTTTATACTTTTTTTTGTTTTTGTTTTGTGATTTTAGTTTGTTGGTTATGTTATGTTTATTTTGATTTTTGCGCGTGACGTAGCACGGGAAAAATCGCGCCACCATCTTGGCACCCGATTTCCTGTTCCTGTTTTGTGGACAGGCGGAAATGGAAACGAAGCGGTGGCCATCATCCTCGAAGACGGATCGATAGTAGGCGGATGCCGAGTCGCGTAACCGTCTCTTGGGGTACTTACATTTCAACAATTTCGATTTTCGTACAAAAAATCACATCCTCGCAATATGCAGACATTCCAAACTCATGGAAACAGCATGTCACGACCACCACTCCATCGTTTTGTTATTCTCCGCCAGTCTGGGAACATTTCATCGCAGATGGTTGCATTCCCGACGCGGGAAATATTCAAAACACTTTCCCATAATGCCCTTTGTCCTATACCCATACTCAATATCCAGGATATCTTATTTATTTATGCATTAACTTTGATCAATTGAATATCTGTTATGCAATCTAAAACAATACTGGATGCTCACAATATTAAGTTATACATGTAATAATAATTATATGTTCTTTATTATATTAAAATTACAACAACACGAATTAAGTAGTTTCATTCAATATATACATATTTAATGATTTAAACTTGTAATTGTCATCTAAGTAAAGATATTACAGATTACTAACTTCATTAATATCCTAATATAAAAAATCTAATTTGAAAATTTTCCAAATACTTCCAAGTCAAATTAGCAACAGCATCTTCATATGAATCATCTTATAAAACTATCATTTTTTTGCCAATCGAATTGGGTTTTCCCAGAAATTATATTTATATACTTTGCATATCAACTTTGTACCTCAAATCGTAATATGTTTATTTCAGTGATTTAGAGGCCCCATATTTTTCACGACTAATTACTTTTGTTAGTTCATGTATTCGAAAACCCATTTAAACAAATACATCTGAATAGGGGTGGAAAGCTACTAGGGCTTCCATTAATCGGTTTACAAGTCAATGATGAAATTCTAGTTTATCATATTTAATACATACGTCATGGCCACCCTTGATATAGAATAGAAAATATTTTTTATGAACAACTCAATGTACTTTCTTAAATATGTTTTCATTCTATATAAGTTTAATGAATCATAATTTTCACTTATCACTTGATAAGTTTATATTAAAAACGCTATTAAAATGCTCAAACTGGTAATTCCAAATATTACCAATAAAATACATGTGAACTCTAGATCAAAGATACATCATTATTATTATTAGAACACCCAGTAGCGTAGCTACAAGGCTTTGTCGGTTTTTTTTAAATATCGGGTTTTTAAAGAAATTTATACAATTCGAAAGGCGTTTTTTTTAGAAACTAAAAAACCGGTATTATTTTATTAAGAACATAAACATTTTGACATAAAATCGTCTATGGCATAAAACAGGAATATTATTAAATACAGTAGAACCTAGATTAACGAGCACCTCGCATAACGAGCATTTCGCTTAGCAAGCAAAATTAATTGTAAGAAAAATGACTCGCTTAATGAGCCACGTTTCGCATAACGAGTGACGATGAGAAGAGAAGTCCCGAATTGCGGGCCTGCTACATCATATTATGTGCATTTTTGAATATGTTTCACTATACGAATAAAAATCCGGAACGGATTAAACTCGTTCAGCGAGGTTCCACTGTACTTAGTTTAATGAAACAAACATAAAATTGGAAACGAATTCTCACCAAAGTTGTTCCTAGAATTCCGTGGTAGATCAAAAGTTAAAATAAATATAGATATAATAATAGATATAATATATAAATAAATTGATGCACAAATTCCACAATAAATTTTCATTTTATAAGTGTACATGCACAAAAAAACATAAAATTAATTAAAACAAGAGTTGAAAAACTTTGCTCATATGAATATGTGGTCGAAAATGGAAGAAGGGGTAGGATGGTGTTGTCGGGAATGCGAGGATATTCATTCTTAACGGAAATCCAAGAAACATCTAATGGAACTTCGACAAAGTGAAGTTTTAACGTCCCGTCATTACTTAATTCTATAAATTCCTCTCGAATTTGCAGATACAGTTCTTCTGAAGATTTTATTGCATGGGTTGCAAAAGGATTTCGGATCTAATCATATTGTTCTGTATTAATAAAATCAAAATAGTTATCAAATTTCTGCTTAAATGTTGTTGTCTCAGATACACAATTAATTGCCTGTTTTCAATCGTACTCTGGTTGATCCTTTGGATCTTTTTGGATACATTTCTAAACATCCTTTTTGCAACTCTTCCTGCCAATGATCTAGATTTTTGGACTTGGGACAGCCAACGTACTTCAGGGTAAAATAATATTCATATTCAGTTCCTATTTCTGCGCAGACCAAATTTTCGCAAATTTAGGGCTCCCGATTTATTTATGTTTATGATCATTTAGTTAGAATATTGTCTTATTTTACCTGTATCGGCTCACGGCACACCAGTGTACCGTGGCACACCGGTTTCGGAGCACTGGTTTAGAGGTAGAAATAAAATAATAAATTCATAAAATATCTTCAAGAATCTGAATACATTCTGCCTAAAAATGAAATTTAGATGAATTATTTAATGCTCTAAAAATGAACAACAATAAGAAATAAAATATCTTAAAGTAATTTATTGTTGGTCGTTTTTCTATATTTCACTCTAGAATATTTGAGGATTTGTTTTTTTTGAGATTTTATGTTGACATATTTATTAATTTTATATAAATTTGCCGAAACGACACGATGCACAATTATCTCCATATGAAAAGTGAAATTCCCATGTTCAGTGCCCGTTACCAGAACAGACTGGAAAACCATCCCAACTGTCTCGCGTTATCCCTGCTAGACAACAGTGACACCCACTACAGACTAAAGAGACACAACACCTTTGACCTCCCCTTTAGAAACAAAAAGTTCGTTATGAATGTTGTGAATTAAAGTGAATATTTTTTAAGTTATTATTTAGTGTCGTCAAAATTAATTTTTGTTATTATTATCACATTAATTTTCAGTTAAATTTCAGTTTGTTTGTTGGAGGGTTTCCGATGGGAAATCTTTCCGCTCACTGCTCTATTTTGTTTTTCTGTATTTATTTTCTTTGTCTTTACATTCTACTTATTGCCTAAATGTGGCAGCTTGTGAATAAGAAATATATACATATAAAAAATATATTTATTTCATGAAAAGAAAGTAACTTGTCACAAACCTTTCTCTCTATTTTTTTTTGTGATAATTCGAAAACCGGTTATTTTTTAAATTAGGTTTTTGCATAAATCCTAGTAAGCGTGCACAGAAGCCTTCAAGACAATATGTGTATTTATTAGGGATAGATTCGTTACATGTGTTGCAAGGTGCAACACTATTTATTTGTTAGTGGAAGGAACACAAGAAGAAAAATAATTTATTGCTACGCCACTGTGCAAATTTTTATGTATATATTTCTATATATTTGTCCTAAGTTGTTTTGAATTACATTCGAAAGAAGTGATCATAGCTGGTAAGCACTGTTAGAATTTAATACATTTTATATTTGTAACAAATCTAAAGAATGAAAAGTTTTGCTGTATAAATATAAATTAAAAAAAAAATCTTATTGGATTTACATAATTTAATGTCTACATTACTTACATTGACAAATAATTTTAATAATAATAATTAGTGCAAAAAGACAAATGTGTTTATTGTTAATAGTGCTTTATGATTTTTTTTTTTAGGAAATACAATGGATTGCGCTCCGACCATCCCACGTTGCTGTACTCCACCCCTCCACGAAAGTAAGAATATATAAAACGGTCTAATCTTATAAGCTTTACATTATTCAATGGCTTTGAAGTACGCAATGAGTTGATAAATGATAAATAAATATTGGCATATTACTTTCCGGTCAGTCGAATATTTCAACATATTTTTATACATTTTTCGTACTTATAGGATACTATTGGGTAAAAAGTGATGCCTGCAGCGGAATACCGAATAATGCGGTTAGAGTGGGAGTCAATCGGTGCAGAAACTCCGTTTTCGTTGGACGTACTAGGCATGAATGTGATATCATTCCGGGGAAGTATGTCCCCTCAAAGAATGTTGTCTCTATCGGTTACGGAGGTGTAGAATACACCAAGTGTGAATATGATGTAAGTGTGAAGATAACACTCATAATACCAAGACTTGTTTGTTATTAAAATATACACGCTTATTGCTAATAACACAAGTAATACAAATACTTAGATCACGTAACTTTCAGGTATTATGCGAACAAAGATTCCGATGGGAGACCATCAATTGTGGTATCATCCCAAAAGGAGCTGTTGCAGGTGGGATGACACGTTGTGGAGAAACACTTTACATTGGTCGTGTCTATCACCAAGGAACTCATACAGTTGGAAAAGTAAATGATTGACAACTTTAACATTTTCAATCCTACAAAAATTCGATATTTTCTTTCAGGTTCATCCATCCCATCATTGCTGCTACATCACAGTCTGTGGCCGGGAATTGAGTTGCAATCAATATGAAATCTTAGTTTTGGAGTAATGCTACTCATTTAAGGAACACAACCAACCTATCGTTGCTGCTAAATCACAGTATGTGACAAGAAAATGAAATGCTATGAATATGAAATCTTTGTTTGGAATAATACTGCTTAATTAACGCTCAAATGAAGGAAAATTTAGTATAAAGATTATGAAATCTTAGTGTTGGAATTTAGCTACTAAAATAACGCTACTGCTCAATTAACACTGTCAATAATATGTTTATTCAATAAAAGTTTAAATAAATTTTATTACAGTATCGTAATTTCTCGTTTTCCTGAAAAAAAAATCATAAAGTTGTTCTACCTACGTGATTTGTATTCGTTTATTCTTAATAAATTAGTATATAAAATTCTAATAAATGTCACTGATCCAAAGTGCTAAGCCACTGGCAACACCTAATTTACTGACATTAAATATCAATTGAAAATGTATCGGAAAATATAATGCCTATTAAATTACTTTATAATTGATTATATTAAAGTTTAATGATGTTTAGAGAATCATCAATCATTAAGTTTTTTTTTTTCATTCTTTCCAATTATTCGCGATAATTTATAACTCATACGTGTATTTCTTTGTCTTTCATTTTAGTTAATGTAGAACGGTTAAGTTATTGAATTTAGAGCATCAATAAGTTAAATTACACAAATAATGAAAGCTGTGACTGTTTTGCAGAAAATATGCCATATTTATGGCATTTTCCCGTTACACAATAATATCATAAATTACATATACTCTAGCATCCTCATATTGCTGAATCTGGGAGTGCTCTGTTTCGTAATCTATGACAGTTTATCCATTGACCACTATCAAAGTATTGTTGTGATCCTACCTATACTAGCATTGGATATCATATTGGTCATTTCTCTGATCACAGCTATAACTAGTATAAATCTAATTTACGGAAAAATGATGAAAATGTTTTCGGCGAAATGCGCCAAACTGAAGGCTACGAGTAAATACAGATTCAGCAGAGAGTTCTACACAGCAAATGTTTTATATTTAATATATTCGTTGTACAACTTCTCCTTCGTCCAGCAATTCTTCAATGATACTTACGTAATATTGTACGCATACAAGACGTTTCAGAATTACGGTTTGTGCTTAATGCATTTGCTTCTGCGTTACTACGCCATGGTTCTATACTTCCTGCTTTTGCAATTGAATACGCAACTGAAGCGAATTGGTAAACACGGTGCCTCGTTACATCTGAAATTGATTTTCAACAAATTCAAGCATCTCAAGTTTCTCATCGCCACGTACAACAAGATATTCGGTGTTATATTCATAGTGCAATATATATACATAATGACCAACTTTCTGGTTTCTTTGAATATGTTGACGTACTTTAGGAAGGACGGTGACAGTGCATTCTTTCCACAGTTGACAGTGCTTTGCCTCATATGGGCTAGTTTTCCGACTGCAAGTATTAACTATGTAGTGTTATTTGTTTTCTTTTTATTTGATGTTTTTTTTAAAGGTTTTGGAATGGTTACTTCTTTCGGGTTGCCAGAAGATCTTTTTGGAGCGTCAAAGGACGATCAAGATTTGCTGCCATAAGTTTTATTACGTTACGTGTGTTCGTGAGCAACAAATGTTGTACGATTTGTCTAGTGAAGTGAGTAATAAGGAATACTCGTTTACAGCCGCTGGTTTCTTTGATGTTAACTATAATATCGTTGGGTCCTTGTTAACTAACACATTCACATATTTAATAGTGTTGATTCAGTTCCATTAGTACTTTATGTTATAAGGACCATCGGTTTTAATAAGATGTATATTTTTTGCGATTAAATAAATATTAAATATTTGTAAGACAATAAAATTATTGTTATTTTACAATTAAACTTTTATTGAACATACTTATTATAATCATTGTTGATTGATTCAATCAACTTACATTTCTTAATATTTCATATGTTTCGTATTGAAATGTCGTTCTACCGTATCCGATGGTACAGAAGTCATCATACTTGTTAACCTGAAACAAGTGGATCTTTAGAGGATTGTAAATGAAAAAGATCAACTATTTACACTTCCAATTTCATACGTTCCACAGCGATTGATACGACATATAAAAAGTTTTACACTATCGTCAGTCCATCCACCTTGAACAGATCCTTTAGGGATAAAACCGTTATCTTGGACCTCCCATCTCAATGTTTTTTTCCTCTCGCATAATATCTATATGTTGCATGTTTCAATTTTTATATGGATGTTACAGAGTTACTTATATACTTACATCAAATTCATCATTGTCACCAATTAATGGCTGATAGTTGCAGACACTATTTTTGACTGTAAACTTTATTGGAACATAATGTTCATGATACTTCATAGCTCTTCCAATGAAAAATGCTTTACCATCGTTATCGACACCTCCTAGTAACACATCATTAGGTAACCCGGTTCGAGAATTACCTCTCACCCAATAGTGCGCTGTAATTACATCATATGTTCAATATATATATATATGGTTTAACCATTAGCATCACACATAGTGATTTGAAAATGAATATAGTTCAGACTGAAATTTAGGAAAATCCAAAAATCTGATTAACAAAAATGCATACTAATTAAATATTCTATACCTTCTCCATACACTAATGCAGATTGATACTGTTGAACATCTCTAGAATAAATTAATGATACATGCAACAAATTTATTTAATGTGTTTAACGACTAGTTGTAAATTGTTAAAAAAAATAATTTGGTTGGAACTTTTAATATATTAACAGTTTCTTACCTTCATTGTTGGAAACAAAATCATCGTTGAAGATAGATTGATGATGCGATGACTCGCGTGACCTGTCTATAAACAAGAAGAAAATATTCATAGTGCTGTGAACAGTTTATGTATAACTATTTTTTTTTTTTTTAAATATTAAAATAACGTCTCACCAGTCATGTTTATTTAGTTTTTACAAAGATAACGCAAATTAAACATATTTGTGTATATGTGTGTAATACAATAATTTAAAATTTATTCAGTTACGAGAATAGCCAATATTAGTCTATAATAGATGTTCTCAACATCATTCCAAACAGCTCAATGCATACAGTATAGTTTGGAAAGTGTATTTTATGAATAAAATGGCACCATATATTATTGAATAAATACTCACCGGTGTTGGAAGAACTTGACATGTTGAAATTGTTATATGAACGATCCGAGCCGGGGTCCTGGCGACTATAAACAGATGGATGATCCCCGGTTAGGTTATGTAGTTATGTATTGTTTTTTTTATAAGGGATACAACGAGAAGTGCATGCTGATAATTGTTTAGTAAGATAATAATAAAAGTAATTATAGACCAGGAATGCATGATTGTTAAAGGACGGCTTTTGTGGACAGTATAAAATTAATGATGGTCTTGTATACTTCTGCTTTTCTTCTCCACACTTCACTTGGTTTGCGCGTCTTGCTGGCTTTCGCCAGCCGGTGTTTTTACTCATTTGAGATTTATTTACACTGGCCTAAGTTACTGGGGTCAGGGGGAGAAACATGTAGGACGACTACACCAAATAACAGCTTTCAAATCGGGGTCTCAGCGATTCAGTATACCGGTTTTAGGAGAGACCAGAGACCATCTCACCTCGGATGGATACTGTTGATTGATATTTGATTTTAGGGGATGTGTATGTGGTGGTCTATAGCGCTACTTTTGTACTCTTAATAAATTTTAACGGACACTTATAAATTTTTTCATTTTCGAATCTAATAAGAGTCCGAACTGATGTCGGTAGAGGGACATTGTTGCTGATCAATTCACTACATAGAATTTCGGAGGCTAGTCGATATTGATTACATAGAAAAAGATGTTATCAAGGGAACTCATGAATTCACAGCTGCATCTATCCAGATCTTAAACGACTGAGCACTACAATCTCCGATTGCCTATAGGTGTTTCCTGACAGTCTTGTTTTTTTTGTTTCTTATGAGACATCGACAGCTTAGGTCATTAGCCTCTTATCACAATCACAAAGGACTCATACAAAATAAAGCAAGAAGTAAGTTAAAAGTCCCGACTCGTCCTGAAACGATAGATTCGACGGACCCACTCTTGTTGTCGAGATCGACAACAAGGTCGCCCAGCAGACCCGCCATCGCGCGCTGTCCAGCGTGCTTTATACAGTCCTCGACGATGTGCTGTACCGTCAGAGGGACTCCACAGGTCTCACATATAGGGGCATCTGTGCCAGTGAGAATATGAGAATGAGTCAGGTTTGTGTGACCCAACCTAAGTCCGGTCACGGCCATCTGCTCTCTTCGGGCCATCGGGCACTTCCATGATTCAACAGTCCATTTGATCCGACACAACTTGTTAGTGTTCAGCATCTGCCACTCCATTAGAACACAAAGAGTCACATGGTTCCTAATGTCGTCGGGTCTATACAGGAAGTCGTTACCGACGACACCTCGCACTGCCTCTCGGGCTGCGGAATCAGCTGAGTCACTGTCTCCAATGCCCATGTGCGAGGGTATCCACACGAATCGAACAATACTACCCCGACACTTAAGACGATACTCTGTGTCCAGTACCGATTGTACAAGCGAGTCACCTGATTGGACATTTGTCAATCCCTGAAGTACGCTCAGTGAATTAGAACACACAATAAACGATGTATTGGGAGATCCAGCACAAAACTCCATCGCTCTCCGGATTGCGTCCAATTCGGCAGAGAAAACTAATGATGGACGGTAACGCCCAGGAGTAGGCCTCCCCCCGAAAACCACGGGGGACCCAGCACCCTCACCACCGACCGATCCGTCCGTGTACACCAGCAAGGACTCAGCAGCGACGCCAATAATCTCATCCAAGACCGATATATAAGTATCCGGAGATGTGGTCCCTCTGGAGAACTGATGCAAGTCTAGACACACATCAGGAAAAAGGAGCCATGGAGGACACTCGGAAAATCCAACAGGATGCATTTTGGGCAGATGCAAATTCAGTCGCCCACGCAGCTCGCAGGCACAAACGGCGACGGGCCTCGTGGTTGTTGGCCTACGTACGTACTTCTCGTATTTGTCAATGTCATTGAAGAGTAAACTGTTGATACGCTTCGGGTTAGATAGCATCGCAACTTCGTACCGCATGAGGAAGCGTTACGCCTATACGGCAAAGGAGGCAGGCCTGAGAGGCAACACAGACTCACAGAAGGCGAGGTACGATAAGCCTCCATTGCAAACCTTATTCCCTGAGTATGCACGGTGTCCAGCAACTTCAGGGCAGATCTACGCGCTGAGGAGTAAACGACACATCCATAATCTATCCTGGATAGAACCAGGGCCCGGTACAGGGACAGAAGCACGTCAGAGTTCGCACCCCACTGTATGTGTGCCATGCATTTCAGTACATTGAGCGACTGCTTACATCTTGTTACTAGCTGGGAAATGTGTAATCGGAAGTTCATAGTCTTGTCGAGTGAGAAATAGTACGGGATCTCTATGAGGCCTTCTGAGACGACAAAAGTGCATACAAGCCGTCTTTGCCTCAGAGAATCACCTCTCTCTCCAGCCTCCTCCTCTTCCTCGACGATGGTAATCGCTTCTTGCAACCTTCTCGTTATAGAAGGGATGGTATCTCCTGTTGTGTAGATTGCGAGATCGTCGACATACAGGCAGCAATCAATCCTGTGATCTCGCTAGATCATTGACGGCTATTGCGATTAACGCTCAACGTCGAACCCTGTGAAATACCATTTTGCAGTGTATGCAGCTCGGAGAAAAACGATCCGACGCGAACCCTGATCCTTCTGAAACCCTACTCATGCAACTTTCTTATGATTAGATATCTCCAGGTCATATCGAAAGCCTTTTCTATATCGAAGAAAACAGCGACCATATGCTTCTTTGACAGGAAAGCCTCCTGAGCTGCACTCTCGGGATGAACCAGATAGTCGACCGTCGAGTGCCCTCTTCTAAACCCTGCTTGGTGCTCCGCAATTAATCCACGGGTCTCCATGAGTCTCCAACAGTCTTGTTGAATCCATAAAAGAACGACCCTCCACCTCGAATCTGCGTTGCCATTCCAACATAGCATCCACTCTGATATGTGGATATGTGTCCGTGTAGTATAGATTGATGTTGATGATCTCACGTCAATGACCTCTTCCTGCCAGAACATCAGCCTCCTCGATACCCAGGATACTCTAGTGGCTGGACTCCCAACACAGAACAACTGCACCCCCATCCGCTTCCATTTCTCTTATCTGTATGCATATTGTCACAACCCAGTGGTTTGTTTTAACTATCGTTGATTGACTGGTGATGGACTCGATAGCACTCATCGTAGGGCTCTATGTATTGCATATAATTCCGCCGTGTATATCGACGCTAGCCCTGGCAATCTACCCGACTCTGAGATATTAATCTCCGGAATGTAAATCCCGAAGAAGACAGATTGAAGACTCTAATAGGGAGCCGTCTGTATATGCCTCTGTCAGATATCGGAGAAAAGCACCCCTGAATTCCTCGAATGCCTTGTTAATAAGCCAGTCGGAGTTGGCGAAATCTTCTTTGGACTCCAGATTCATCTCGACGCGTACCAAGGGTGGCTCAGGAATTGGCGGATCAAAGTCAAAGAAACCAAATCCAGCCATGTCACTTTCACCCTCAAAAAGGAACCTCCAGCCATGTCACTTTCATGGTCTTGTTCCTGGATCACCGACTCACGTGGAAGAAGCACATCGCAACCAAAAGGAAGCAACTGGGGATCAAGTTTGTAAAATTGTACTGGCTGATCGGCAAAAGATCTCCACTATCCCTCGACAACTAATAATTTACAAGACAGTGCTAAAGCCGGTGTAGATGTACGGCATCGATTTCTGATGGGAAATCGTTTCGCTCCATGCTTGTTATTATGTTTTTCTGTTTTTGTTTGCTTTTTTTTCTGTCTATGTCCAAAAAATATTCAACTTATTGCTAAGAATTGTCAGGTTGTAAATTTTTGAAATATATACAAAAAAAAAGAAAAGTTATAATTTCCAAGAAGCGTTTTAGTTTTGTATTATTTTATGTAAATGTACCTGCAATATAACTAACTTAAAGAGAAAAACCCTTTAATCCAAATTATATTGCAATGCAATAAAACTTTTGGGGAATTTCCCTTAAATTTTGTATAAATCTATGATAGCTCCAAAACCTAGAGAGATAATTAATCCTGAATGTAGAATAATCTTGAAAAAAGTAAAAAATTATTCACAACTACTAAAAACTCATAGAATAAATGAAAATCTTACCAGAACATGTTATATATATCGCTGATAATATATTTATTATTTTTGTGTGATAAGAAGTATTTATTCAAGGGTGACTCATCATCAGTTCTAGAAATTAATGATCTAACTTGTTTTAGTGTAATAAATTAAATTGCGTAATATATAGTTTTGTAACCTATATATACATTACATCAGGAGTCAACCAAGCTTTTTGCACACAAGAGCACATGCTGGAAAGCCGGTCGGGCGGCGGACACCATTTATTTTTTTCAATGTAAATTTATAGTTGGACATAGTCAATAATACACATAATGCACAAAAAATATTTAATTCCGCACAGCGGCGGGCACACGTAAAATGGTCGGCGGGCGCCACGAATTAGAAATATCTCATTGTACAAAAATGTAGCTAAATGCAAAATGTTTTGATATTTTTAGAAATCAGAATAGTTTCATATAACTTTTTTTGTTTTATAATTCACAAGAAGCGTTTTATTTTTGTATTATTTTATGTAAATGTACCTGAAATATAACTAACTTAATTCAAAGTATATTGCACTGCAATAAAACTTTTGGGAAATTTCCCTTAAATTTTGTATAAATTTGTTTCAGGCAAAAGTCATGTTTTCCTATAAATTTAATATTTTTTTGCACAATAATTATCAGTTCAGTTGTGAAAGCCTATGAGAGTGAACGTAAGTTTTTCAGTAAATTATTCAGATGGGTGCCACATCCCCATTTATAATCATTAAATTGTAGCTAAGCATACTTTTTTCTATAGGCAACTTTAAATTTTATATAAAATAGGCAAAATCAAATATTAATATCTTGAATTTTGTTATCATGTAATATATGCATGCATATTTCTATGATTTATATTTGATACCTGCATGTTTTTGAGTTTTTACCTTGTTTACCTAAAAATACACATATATTTATATATATATGATTAAAAACTATATGGGTTTCCAAATAATATACAGATTAATGTTAAAGTTTTATTGTATATTCATGTTATACGTTAATGCATTAATTTGGAAGCATTTAAGCTATAATGAAGCAGCATTTAAGCCTTAATTGTGCTGCATTATTCCAACACCAAGATTTCGTATTCTTCGTATTTAATTTCTTCGCCTCCAAATGGAATGTAGCAACAACCGTGGGATGGATGTACCTAAAAAAAACAAATGAATTATTGAATGATGAAGATGTAACAGTTTTTAACTATTTACTTTTCCTACTGTGTGGGAACCCTCGTGGTGGACGCGACCTATGTAAAGTTTTTCTCCATCGCATGTCCTTCCACCTTCAACAGCTCCATACGGGACATCACCACCATCATGGACTTCCCATCTAAATCTTTGTTCGCACAATATCTGTTCATTAAAAGTCATTTGATGTTAGTGTTGCTATTATTAGTGTTATCTTTAAACTTACATCAAATTCAGTCTTGGAATGTTCTTCACCACCATAAGCAACGTAAGCTTCGTTCCTATCGGGAATTACTTTAGCCGGAATGTAATCACCTTCGTGCTCAGCCCTTCCAACAAAGATAGTGCTACCATCCTGGTCCATTCCTCCTTTCACCGCATTGTTTGGTACTCCGCTGCGGCAGTTACCTCTCACCCAATAGTATCCTATAATTAGTTAAAAGAATCATAATTAAGTTCAGTGCCGTAGTAAAGTGGTGCTGAGTGGGCAAAAAGCGCCAATAGTTTTGTTGTCTTAAAGAAAGGGGCGCACATTAAATATTTGGCCATTTTGATTTCTTAAGACGCGTGAGCAAATTAGATATTTGTCCATAGACACAATACTTCCTTCCTGCGGCTCAGATTATGCGATTAACAATATTTGCCATATGCTTTTGCAAGCAACCAAAATTGATGATTGTTAAGTGTAAAATGATAAATGAATGAAACTGAACATAAGCAAAATAATGAAGCGGATAAGAGAATAAACAAAGTTAACTTTTTGCAGCCAAGAGTCAGTAATCGATGGTGTTATGTAACAACGGTATTATATAACCATGTTCAGGTTAGCGTATCTATTTTTTTTGGTTTATTCTCCTACCTTTTCGTTTTTCGTATAAAAAACCAGTTGATTGTTGATGGTCATTGCATTCGGTTTGTGGTGACGGTGGATAACAGTGAGGGGGGTATGATAATGAGGGAGGACAAGTGTTAGGATCTGGTGGAAACAGTTCCGGATTAAATCCGTACGGTCTATCTATGAACAGAAAAAGATATGGAAAATATTCGCTCAACAAGAAGAAACTACACGATTATACACTTTATGCTACACATGTGATGCAGGAACGAAACAGCTTACCTGTCATTTTATTAATATAATGGTTGAAATAAGTCAGTAATTTAAGTACTTATATGTATCAACGATTCAGATAAGTCTTATCTGTAATATACAAGTGCGACACAATTTAACCAACCTTTGCCAAGCACAAATATTGCAAGATTGCATTTTATATTTATTTTATATATACAGAGAGTTACAAATTAATAAAATTAAGGTCTTGGGATAGAGGCTACGGTCAATAACCCTTCGTATTCCATAAATTATTGTATTTAGTATTTTTTTTTTTTTTTAAAATCCTATTAGTCATTACATTTGAATCATCATTACTAATGTACACTATCAATAAATCAATATTAATAAACAAATTTATATACTTTTTTTTTCACAAAAATACTGTGACGAATTAAAATTAACAAAAGTATCTACAAACAATTTTAATTTCATTTTATTGCGTATATAACACTAAAACCATACGGATGGATAGTACCAAGTCGACGTATGTTTAGGTCAGGGTTTCCCAAACTTTTCCTGTAAACATCTCGTAAATCCTGAAATTTTTATTTACTAATTATTTCATTCCTAGATTTCACGGAACACTTATTAACTTTTGGGAAACCCTGGTTTAGCTCATGTTCTGTGGACTAACAACCACGATTGTTCTCGAACGTCTCGATCGAACGTCTTAATAATGCGAATAAAATAGCTGACTCAATAAAATAGAATCAATTAATGTATTTTCAGTTTATACAAAAACCGGTTATCAAATTTTTACTTTTCTACAAAACCGGTTTTCTAATTTTCACAAAAAATATAACAAAATAAAATCTCATGAAACAAAACTTAAAACACTTATAAACACATAACAATCATTACACGTACAATCGTAATCAATCATCTTTTTCATATAAACAAATGCATATGATTTTGTCCCGGTCTTATAAGAAACAAAACCACCAAGGCCGAATCCCGTGGGAACACTTAATCATAAATATATACAAACCCTACTCCCGATCACAAATCCCGCCCCGTATTAATAAGAATTAACTTTGTAAGTAGAATAAGTATTTAGAATTAGTCTCAGTAAAACCTTAATAAGATGAACATAGTTTTATAAGAATCTTAATCTGATGAGCATAGTCTCAGATAAATCTTAAATCGACCAAGTAACGAATAAAGTTATGTAAAACCAAACGAATTTCATTAAATTCCCAACTATTGAGACTCCACAATGACAATACCCGACAATATTCCACTGTGTCCAGAATTCCATCCCTGGGACACAACACTTTTTTGGAGAAGTGTAATTGAAGAAAGAATTTGTATTGTGTAGTATTAAATTAGGGTCTATATCGAAAACACGATATTCGAAATACCGACAGTATCAAAATCCCAATAACCATAATTTAGTAATAATAAAAAATTTCTTCATACTTGATACTTTCGGGTTTATGGTTGTCTGGATTTTAATACTGTCGGTATTTCCAATGTCGGCAATTCGGTTGCCATCGATTTTATTGGTTGTTAGCAGCTTACGCTGTTTTCCGTTTTATGTTACAGACAATTTTATGTATATGTTTGTTATTAATAAAAAAAATCATTTACTTTCCATTAAGTAATGAGGAAAGTGGGAATGAGGGAAATTTTGTGAAATTTTTGACCTTCTAGTTCGGACATTGAACATAAGGAGCGCTCTTCTTCGATGCGCCCCACCAGCAAAATCACCCCAAGCAACTGGTCTTTAGTTCAGGTAGTTAGTAGAAGTTGGTAATCGCAAGAATAATCATCTGCGGAACGAAATTGCATGTTCGTCAATGCAATAACACAGACGCAAGGTCACATTGACAAATCGAGAGCGAACTGTACGATTTGTATCCAAGCAGAATTTATTCTGACCAGGTGAAAGCTGCAAGAATCATTTTACCATTCGCGTTCGACCGTTAAAATCAAAATGGCGACAGAACTGTAAGATCGGTGCGTGTCTGTGAATAAGTGTTGTTATTGTTGTTGTTTTTTTTTAAACAATAAGGTGAATTGTAGAATAACAGTGTGTTTTCGAATTAACGTTTAAGCTGCAAATTGTAATTGAAACAAATAAAAAGTAATGCTTGCGCTCTGAATATTTAATTACGTTTTAATTATTAATCCTAGAATATTAAAAAAAAGTGTATATCAACGTACACTTGAGAAGTGCAAAGGAAACTTAATACTGCAGTATTATTTTATCGAGCTCGAAAGAACAGTCTTTGTTATTATTTTGGAAGACTTTGATAAAATATGGGTCGGAGAAAATCTAAAAGACAAGCACCGACAAGGAAGAAGGCCATCGAACCGCTCGATCAGCAGTTCAACTGTCCGTTCTGCAATCACGAGCAGTCTTGTGAAGTGAAAATGTTAGTTTGTTCGAATGAAATGTGCGAATTGTATCAATAATAATTACGTCCTTTTTTTGTAGGGACAAGGGAAGAAATACGGCCAGGATATCGTGCAGAGTTTGCATGGAGGATTACCAAACGACTATAAACATGCTCTCTGACCCTATCGACGTTTATAATGATTGGATAGATGCCTGTGAAACGGCTAATTGATTTTGTGATATTATGTAAAATAAATATTGAAATTTTAACTTTATTTCTTAAGTGTTTAATTTAATAATTAACGTGTTCTTTACTTAGTGAATGTATGTTCATATTTATAGTTGTAAAGTTTAGTTAGTTAATAAACAAACAATAATATTTTGAATTATTGTAATGTATCACACAAAAAAAATATTTCTTAAGCAATTAATTTAATAATTAATGTGTTCTTTCTTTAGTGAATGTAAGTCATTATTTATTTATACCTCGCATAGTCCGGGTAATCAAATATACCAAACTGTTTGAAACCCCACAAATCGAGAAACTAAATACATACAGTAAATAAACCGGAATATACGAGGTATTAATAATCATTTTAGTGACTCAAATGTAAAGTTTTTTTTTAGTTAATAAACAAACACTAAACGACAAACAATAATATTTGGAATTATTATTATGAATCACAAAAAAAATGGAATTTTAACTTTATTTCTAAATCAATGAATTTAATGATTAATCTGTTCTTTCTTTAGTGAATGTAAGTCATTATTTATTTATACCTCGCATAGTCCGGGTAATCAAATATACCAAACTGTTTGAAATCCCACTTATCGAGAAACTAAATACATACAGTAAATATACCGGAATATACAAGGCATTAATAATCATTTTAGTGACTCAAATGTAAAGTTTTTTTTAGTTAATAAACAAACACTAAACGACAAACAATAATATTTGGAGTTATTATTATGAATCACAAAAAAAAAATGGTATTTTAACTTTTAATAATTTTAATAATTAACTTTAACTTTACTTAGTGAATGTAAATAGCCTGGGTAATCGGTTCCGCCAATATCCTACACTGTTTGAAACAGGACTAATCGAGAAACTAAATACATACATTAAATAAATCGAAGCCGGAATATAATCGTTTGAGTGGCTCAGTGTAAAGTTTACTTATTTAATAAACAAACACTAAACAACAGGCAATAACCAATGGAATTATTATAATGAATCACATAAAAAAATGGAATTTTATCATTCTTTCTTAAGCAATTTATTTAATAATTAACGTGTTCTTTACTTAGTGAATGTAAATTATTAATTAAATATACCTCAATAGTCTGGGTAATCGGTTCCGCCAATATCTCAGACTGTTTGAAACCAGACTAATTTGAGAAACTAAATACATACAGTAAATAAATCGAAGCTGGAATATAATCGTTTGAGTGACTCAGTGTAAAGTTTACTTAGTTAATAAACAAACACTAAACAACAGGCAAATAACCAATGGAATTATTATAATGAATCACATAAAAAAATGGAATTTTATCATTCTTTCTTAAGCAATTTATTTAATAATTAACGTGTTCTTTATTTAGTGAATGTAAGTTATTATTTATTTATACCTCGCACAGTCCGGGTAATCGGTTCCGCCAATATCTCAGACTGTTTACATACTGTAAATAAACCGAAGCCAAAATATCGAGGTATTAATTATTTGGATGATTCAGATCTAAAGTATTAGTTAATAAACAAATACTAAACAAGCAATAACATTTGGAATTATTATTATTACTCACTTAAAAAAAAAACTAAGTATTTTTAAATTTAAGCCCATATTTATGTTTACTACAAAATAATTATTTTATCTTGTGTAAAGTATATTTACTTATTTATTTTGGAACCTAAGTTTAATGTTATTAAGTATAATGAACAAATGCTTCCCAATAATATTTATTTGGAATTGTTATAACAAAAACTAATATTTCCATTTTTATATATCAAACATAATATGTTTACTTTAAAATTTCACAAGTAAATCTTCAATTCACCTGATTCTCAACAAATAAATTATACAAATAAAAATAAACGAATACAATAAAATTTAAATAATTTAAAACTAATTAATGCATTATAATTTAAGTTAAAAGTTAGAACAAAAAATACTTCCAATAATATTTGGAATTGTCATAATGAATTATTATTATACTATATTATTCATATAGAATTGGTGATGGACACCTAAAATTATTTTACGTTTGCTAATAAAACAGGATTACTTAAAATTCACTAACCTATGCTCTTTTTCTGTTTCTTTTTTGCTTCGATGTATTAAACCTTATTTTCCTTTGCTACATCTTTTGGTGGGTTAAGTTCAATGATCTTCGGTTTAGTTGGTCGAATCATAGCTTTTTTTTCGGTTTCTAAGAAATATAATATTGATTTATTCATGAAATTCTTTACTAGAAACAAAGTTTTTCACGAAAGTAAAATGTGTAATTCGTTTAACTTTCATCGATTTTAATTTAAATGTTTTATAGTAAAAATAAATAAAACTACTTACCATATTTTCGGTAGGAATAACTATATAAATCTGTTGGTTATTTGTGAGGAACGTCTGCAACCTATCCACTACTTTTGTCGACTGTTTCCCTTTTTGGAATAAGCATCATTTCCATCCCAATGCAAAAGACATTTATCAATGGAGAATTTTCTCTGCAACTGTAAACATTTTCATCCACCAAAATATTTACAATATTTATAAGCAATACCATGTTTTTGTTTTTTGCAACCATTTCGTATTTATATTAAAAAACAATGAGTTTATTTTATTTCGATTCTCTACCTATAAAAGTTTGAAATGGTATATTTTTTAGTAAAATTATCTTTTATATTTCGTTTCCAATAAAAAATCATTTTTAACAAAAAAAACACGACGACTAGATCAATATAATTTCATAGAAATGCTAGTTTTGACATAAACAAAAAAAATAAATCAATACATCTAGATAGGTTTTAAAATTGTATTTATTTGTATTTGTATTTCTTTGATACCAAGAAAAGTTAGATTTTATTATGTAGAATGTTATTGAATTAGGGAGATCGTAAAATTTTTTATAGCCCTAAAGGAAATTTTATCTATAGAGAATGAATTTGAGAATGAAATGATTAAATAACGTATTTTTAGTTATTGTAAGTAAAATTTGTGTAAAATAACAAAAGAAGTACGTGCATTGTTAATGATTTTGGGAATTTTTTTTTCTTGACCTACGAGAAACTTTACTACCTGTGTAGTATTTAAAGATATTGAAGCAAAAGAAAGTATTCACTATCAGTCCTGTCTTGCAGGCGAAAGTATTATGTGTATTCAAGAAACTATGGATACGATGTGTTCAGGTGTAGAATTTTTTGACTTAAGTCTTAGAAGTCCGGAGATTCAACCTATAGATATTACTGTTGTCAATGACAATAATTCTAAAGTTGAAGAGGAAATAAGTATGTGTATTCAAGAAGCTATGGATACGATGTCTTCAGATTTAGAATTTATTGACTTAAGTCTTAAAAGTCCAGAGATTCAACCTATAGATATTACTGGTGTCAATGACAGTAATTCTAAAGTTGAAGAGGAAATAACTATGTGTATTCAAGAAACTAAGGATACGATGTCTTCAGATGTAGAATTTATTGACTTAAGTCTTAAAAGTCCGGAGATTCAACCTATAGATATTACTGGTGTCAATGACAGTAATTCTAAAGTTGAAGAGGAAATAACTGTGTGTATTCAAGAAACTAAGGATACGATGTGTTCAGATGTAGAATTTATTGACTTAAGTCTTAAAAGTCAGGAGATTCAACCTATAGATATTATTATTGTCAATGACTGTAATTCTAAAGTTGGAGAGGAAATAACTATATCTGCTACACTTCGTAACATACAACATGATCATACCTACGCGAAAAGCCCATTTCCTAACTACCAATGTAAGTTGGTAAGGTCTAGGACGAGAAATAGGCTCGAATGGAGAAGAGTTCCTTACAAACGGATATAAATAGATAAAAAATAATTCTAGATTTACATTTAGAATTTATTTACTTTAAGTTAGTTTACATTATTTATTTAATTTTAGTTTCATTAGTATTAACGAACATGTATGTTCATTATATGTTTGCACCTTATGTACTTTATGATAAGATAAGGAACGTAATCAGTTTTGATTTTTGTTTTTTGACTCATGGATAATTTCCACAAGTCGGAAAGTTGTGAGGAATTGGCACATTCAAATCACCGGTCTTGAATACCATCATCATTCCTAAGACGCTGTGAAAGTCAACGTGACAATGCATCAACCAAAAACCTAAAACAAACAAAAGTCTTAAATGTGTTCTCTTTCTTATTTGTTTATACCAATATATACAAATATAATTATGTTCTTATTACTCTAAATTATAGCATCGGAAAAAAATTATTTACAAAAACTACCTGATTTTAATGAAATTGCATAATCCAATGTTCCATAATTTGAAGACTGGAAAATACTCGTTTCTAAAATATTATCTTATCTATACGAAGAATGCATTGAATCAGTACATCGAGCTACAATCAGCATTTTTTTCGCATGTCGGGCTTGCGATTGCCTGACATACCGAAATACCGTCAATGAAAATCCTGACTTTCGAAATCCCGACTATATCAAAATCCCAACTATATCGAAATCTCTATTATTATAATTTCTTTTTCTTTCCGTTATAATGAATAAAACTTAAGAATAAGAAATATTCTATAATAAAATTAATATTCTATAATAATATTGGTAGAAAGCTTATGGTAGTCGGGATTTCGATATAGTCGGAATTTTGATTGTCGGGATTATGGTAGTTGGGATTTGAATACAGTCGGAAATTCGAACGTCGGGATTTCGATAGACGGTATTTGAGTTGTCGAGCTTACGATATAGACCCTATTTTTTTATGTCGGATTAGTATTTTTTTTTGAGAGATTTATTTCTACGACCTTTCGTATCAGATTTTCGTGATACAGGCGACCATAGCCACACGGGATTAGTATTTACAAAACAATATTTGTGCTTATACGATTACCTAATTTCGAAATATCTAGATTCTAGATTTATAGTAAACAGGTATGAAAGTAAAGTTGCATACACAGCAGTGGCGGCTCGTCAGGTAAAATACAAGTTTCTGTTGTATTATCACGAACCAGAGCCATCGCTACGACCGGTCAATTGAAAAATTTCTAGGATGTCACCCTTCGTCCCTCATATTTTTTTGGATGTCACCGCCTCGCTACCACTTTTTTTCCAGGATGTCACTCCCCTCACTGTCACAATTTTGTTTTGAAGTTGTCCCATTCATGCATATTTATGCACGGGGCCTCAAAATCCAAAGGACCTGTCCACCTGTCGTGGACCACTAACTTTATGAGCCCTTGGGCTAACACTGTTTGTGGTCTTGATTATCGCTGTTTGGTGCCCTGGACTAACTCTGTTTAAAGGTCCTGGACTTGGTTTATCTGCGTTCATTCTTATTTGTTTCACCGTGAAGAAACTTTTTGATTGAACTACTGCGGCCCATGAAAACTATATCTAACTCCACCCCTGTAGTGATCAAGCAATTTCTTGCAAAGCGCAACTGATCTACTGTAAGCGTGACTAGAGTAAAAAAAATGTGAATCGGTATCCCTTATTCAGCCACTGTTAGTTCAAAAAATGTTAGTTCCAATTGTATAACTAGTTGTTGGTGAACCTGACATTTAAATATCATGTCGTTTATAGCGTTTATACTACTTAATTACCTGGATTATCTGCTCTAAATCTGACGATTGTGTAACCACCATCAGCAACAGCAACGGTATCTTTAATAATTGGCCTATTGAAGTTGCGATAAAGCAGTCCTTTTCTATCTAGCTCTTTGACTTGTTCAGCAGTTGTTCTTGCACCAAGCTTATCTTGTCCGATGACGTAGAAGTGGTAACCATGCAAATGCATGCTGTGCACCAAGGTAGTACCCTGTCCCTCATCAACGTAAACAACTTCGATCAATCCATTGTACGGAAACTATAGTTAAAAAAAAAGGTCTGAGACTTAATAGATAAGCAAATGCAAGAACTACCTCAACGATGTGAACGCACTCACAAATATTCAAATCTTTATCGCAGTTTGGAGAGTCTTTTGAACTGCAGACATTACTAGGATTCGGATTCAATAGTAAGGGAGTTGATGGTATTTCCATTACGATATTGTTGAAGTGCGCTGAGATGATGCCGGTACTATTAAATCCACTAGTAGTATTATATCCTAATGGTTCAACTTTGAAAGCCACGTAGTATTGAAAGTCAGGACTTCCAGTTAAATCTCGAGGAATGCGAGTGGTCGATCTCAGATCAGTGTAGCTGTACACGTTCGGTGCTTTCCTCGGCATGTTTGGATTAGCGACTCCCTAAAAATAAACCGGGCTACAAGAATGCATTCAGCTCATTGAGAACTAACCACGAAATCTGGATTTAGCGCGTCGTATTCGTAGGAGACCGTCGCAGTTTTGGCTCCATCATAAACCAAAGCTGCAACTGCTGAGAAACTGCATAGAATTGAACCGGTGAATCTGATTGCGTAACTGGAGATCCTCTGATTCGTCTCAACAACAATATCGAATCTTTCGCCATTCGAGATGGAAACGCTGTCTGTTAAGATTGGGATTATGTCGTTGCCATCTGTGCTTACAACATAGAACGAATGGTTGTCGATATTTATTTTGATGGGACACGTTTCGCCTCCAGCGTGTATAATCCTAAACCTATACCTGAAACCCTGAGCAATCCTAAAGGAGACGAATACAAAATTAATCAGATCAAACCTGCTTTACGAAGAATCGCTTCGGAGGAATGGTATTGTTAACAGTTGACCCAAACCCGTTCACGAGTATCGAAGATATTAAATCGGTGTAGATCTTTTTGTTTCTTACTTGCTTGTACAAATGAGTAATTGGCAAGTCTTTGAACCAATCGTTGATTATCACAATGTGCTCGGATAAATCGAACGTGCGTTGAAAAGTTGGTCTTCGGATTATGAGAGCACCGTACGCTCCGTTCGATCGTTGAACCGCTGCAACGTTTTAAATGTATCCTAATCTCTCTCTCAAAACACTTCAATTTACAAGAATGCGAATGATACCAATGCGTCCCAACTTGCGATGCGTTGAACGAATATCTGAAGGTCGTCCGAGGAATAATAGCGCAGTGTGAGACAAAGGAAATTCCGTCCATGAATTGAGTTCCCCTTTGGTGCATCCCGTGCCAATGAATAGTCGAATCCACATCCAATAAATTGTTGGTGAAATCAACAATAATTTGATCACCTTCGCAGACCTAAAACAATTTTTTTTTTACAATAACTCAAAGCATATTATATTTAAAGTAAACCTCGATTGATGGTCCAGGCATCATCTTGTTATACACCTCGATGATTCTGTTATTACCATCAGCAATTACGCATTCTCGAGACAAACAATCTGTATAGTTTCCAAACTCGCAACCTAAGCAACTTTGCTCATTCGAAAGCATACGTTCAATAGTTAAGTGATAATAACAAGTCTTCGGCAACTCGTGGAAATTACATCTTCTCTTGCAATAATGATCGTTGTAATCTGAAAACCATCAGTTATTTGTAAAATCAATTTATGACTTCAATCTTTACACCTTCATGAATCTTCAAATTGGCAAAAACCCACGGGATTGAAGCAACGAGAAAAATCACCAATTTAAACATTGCTGGTAAGAATAAAACTGGATGGTTTTAATAAAACTTATATATTTGTGGATTTATCAATTGCATAAATTTTGTATGTTAAATTTTAAACGACTTCAATAAGCGATACATGCATTATCATTATCGCTTTGCGCTGAATTCACAAAAAAAAAGAACATTCATTCTATCAACGAAAAAAATCATAACTGCAATTAGTTTCAGTTCATTTTGTATTTATTTTAAATACTAATTTGATTTTGTAAATGCTTCACTTTCAAGTGTTTATTAAATTATATGTAATTGGTTCTATTTATAGATCAAAGATTATAATTTGAAATAGATAAATTAATAGTATTTAAGGAGCTGTTAGTTAATAATATTCAATAAGCAAAATGAAGTTCATGTTATTAGCTTGTTTCGTTGCTGCTCTGAGCGCCGTTCAGGTATCAAAATCTGTTTGTTAATTCAAGTTAGAGGATTCAATTTGTAGTAATGATTTCAGGGCGCAGAATTGATTGCAAAGCCTCATCTGTCCATCCCTGATCCAAGGATCGTCGGAGGAGCTGAAGTTAAACCTCACTCAGCCCCTTACCAGGTAATATTTATACAATAAAATTTTATATAAATTTTTTTATATAATTTTATATAAAAAAATATTTAAACGAAAAATTTAAAGATTTGGTACTATTATTTTTTTCCATTTTTTAGTTTTAACTTTTGTATGTGATTTTCCATGAAGAACCAAAAATCATTTACAAGTTATAAGATAGAAAATTTCTATATCCAATATTTTATTTCTAAACATAATTTCCATTTTTTCAAATTTAACTTAAAAATTAATAATGTAAATATTTCTGTATATCTTAGGTGGGACTTGTGATTGATGGCAGCGGTTTCTGCGGTGGTGTTCTTATTTCCGAAAGTCTCGTCCTCACCAGCGCCAGTTGCGTCCAGCAGTAAGTTTAATTATATAATTTTATTAGCAAACATATTGCATTTTTTTAATTCTAGTGCTAAAACTGTCGAAGCTGTCCTTGGGGCGCACAACATCAATGAAGGAGAAAAATCACAAGTGCGCGTCGACGCCGGAGAAATAATTGTTAATGAACAATGGAACCCCGAACTCATCATTTACGATGCGGCTCTATTGAAACTCTCCTCGCCTGTGAAATTATCCGGTAACTATAACTTTATGATTTCCCAGAAACTACCTATGTTTATGAGAGTTTGAATTTTCTTTTATTACTTTCATTTATCAATTTTATACATAAAAACAGTATCCACACTGTCCGTGACATGAAACATATGTCAAACATACCAAAAACTATTTGCAGATGTTTGTAAGTTATGAAACTAAAGGATAAATAGGTACTAGTAGTTGGTATACCTGACAAAGTTTCCCAATTTTAACTTTCAACATTGGGCGATGGTCTCTCAATGAAAAAAGAATTTTTTTTCTTGGAAATTACTGAAATAAGAGAAATATGCTTTTACAAATCACCTTTGTTATTTTCAACTTTTCCTGCTATACATTTCGTTACATATTCTTAGAATTTCTAGTATTATCTATTATTATTATCTATTCTTAATATTTCTATTACTTTTATATTTTATTTATATTTTATAAAACTTATAATTTTTCTAAAAACTAAATATTACTTTATATTTTATAATATATGAAAAATCCAGTAGTTCAATGGTTTTTTGCTCATTATTGACTAAAATTTGTCAACTTATATAAAAATTATAACGTATAATTTTTTATGAGTATTAATATAATTAATAGTATAAATCGAAATTTGATAAAATTGCTTAATCAAAGTTCTCTACATTATTTTTATATTGATTTATAATCTATAACCTCTCGAAATCATGGGGAATTTCCGATTTCAATGATCTATTATTAATTTCGAATTTTCTGGAAATTTCTTACTTTTATTTATATAATTATATTATATACCTGTGTTATAATAATCTAAAGTAATATTTAAGTATACAATTTCCTTGAATTAATTAATATGTTTTTGTTAACATATTTGTTTTATTAAGTTACAATATCTGTAGAATTCCCAACATTAATTATGTTTTTGTTTGTGATTTTCCTTATAAATAGACGATATCAAACCAGTATCTTTGCCTGACCCCGACGATAAATTCAGCTATAAGAGGTTACTAGTAACTGGATGGGGAAAGGAATCCGACGCTTCGAACTCGTTGAGTCCCGTGCTGAAAGGCGCTTCTCTGAGGGTCATCACCAACGAAGTTTGCAAGCAATCTTATCCAGGTGTTTACTTTGTCAATATTTGCGTGAAGGCAGATAACGGAATCGAAGGAGCATGTGCCGGAGATGCCGGCGGCCCAGCCGTTGACATTGAGAAGGGCGTCCTCGTAAGTTGCTCAAAAAAAATCCCCAAAAATCTGCAAATTTTAATCAATAATTACGTCATTGTAGGCCGGTATCGTTTCATACGGATCAAGCAAAGGATGCGAAGCAAACTCACCGACGGTCCTCACCCGAGTCACTTCTCTGCTGGATTGGATTTCCGAACATAAATAATTTAACAGTTCCAATATTTACACACACACAAAACAGATTAATTAATAAACTGGTTTATATTTCTTCATTACTGAACACCGAATCTCGTAACCTTTATTTGAGAAGCAAGTTTTAGAAAACTTTATCCGGTTTTATTGATATTTATTTACTGGAGTACGCATATTGCTCATTCAGTGTCGATTACGAAGTTGAAGCAAGATGTTCATCTTCGCGCTGTGTTTTGCTCTCTTCACTAATATAGCTGTGGCTATTGGTAATAAAAATAATAAAGTTTCATTAATAATTACATAATTCGATGTGTGTTTAGAGGGGGACTTGTGCTTGCAGCTTGATAACAGTTTCGGTCGTTGCGTTAAAATTCAGGATTGTCCTAGTGCCATACAACTAATCCAAGAACACAAACAACCTATTAGATGCGGGTTCGAAGGACAGCAATCTTTTGTTTGCTGCGATAACAAGTATAGAAAGAAGGAGCGTAAGAGTGTTGAATGTAGGTTATTGAACAACGTTTTGTTATATTAATTGCAAATTAATAGTTAATTATAAATAGATTCAAAAAGTTAAACAAATTAATTAACTCTATATTGGTAATGCAATAAATAAATACAATTTTTACAGATTGTGAGCAACAATATCCACTGCAACCTGGTATTGTAGGTGGAGAAGATGCGACTGCTAAAGAATTTCCGCACATGGTACTTTTTTTTTGTTACTGTAAAAACAGTAATTTTATACCAACATTATTCTATTTTAGGCTGCATTGGGATTCGGAACAATCGATAATATCAAGTGGCTTTGTGGGGGAACTTTGATCAACGAGAAATACGTCGTAACTGCCGCTCATTGCATCTTCACCAGAGAATTGTACTAATACAAACATTAATTAGCTTTAATTTTTATATTTTAAATTTTAGCGGACAAGTGAAACTCGTTCGTCTGGGTGACTTGGATCTAAGCAAGGACACGGATGACGCGTCTCCTAAAGATTTCTTAGTGAAGCGCGTTATCAGACATCCGGAATATAAATCTTCGTCGAGGTACCACGATATAGCTTTGATCGAATTGAATGCAACCGTAGAATTCAACGAGTATATGAAACCAGCTTGTCTGAATGCAGCAAAAACTACGAATCGTGATGTTAATTACATTGCAACCGGCTGGGGTTTGACTGCATTCGCTGGAGAAAAGAGCGATATATTGCAGAAGGTGGAACTGCAAGATGTTCCGATTAATGTTTGCAAGGAGAAATACCAGTATGATAGACGTTTGCAGTCTGGAATTGTCGAGGATTGGCAGCTGTGCGTTGGAGCGCCGAATAAAGACACCTGCCAGGTGAAATATTTTTTCAGATCGTCGTTGTTCAAATAATATCAATCTTGTGTTTGATTTAAGGGCGATTCTGGTGGACCTTTGACCTCGAAGGAGTCCAATTATCACGTTATTTATGGTGTGACTTCGTTTGGGAAAGCCTGCGGTTTAGCTGCAGGAGTTTATACCAAGATTGTACATTATTTGTCGTGGATTGAAGACATCGTTTGGCCAAACCCAATATAAGTTTATTTTGGTTTAAAACATACAAAATAAACATCGAATACTTTTATCATTTCTAAAATATATAAAAAATCACAATTTTAATAAAGACATTCCTCAGACTTAGTATATAAATTATTTCATCTTTTAAAGACCTACATTTCTTGGATTTCATGGATTTGTAATTAGTTTCATATTTTTGGTGAATCTACCAAATTTATTTCAAATTTGAATTTATGATATTCTTCGAATAGTTCTTCTATTAGTAAAAATATTCTATGTTTTTCATTATATATACAAATGTTGATTCATTATGGTAACATGAAGTAATTTGTAATTGAAGTATTATTTACAAATATTCTGAAAAAGAACAAAACAATACCTTGCGGAACATCAAATTTAATTCGATGTAAATTAGTTTATTCATCATAAAAAATGAATAACTTCAATACTTAATATCACTAAAATATGTGTTATTAAAAACGAGAGGAATAAATCATTCTATAAATATGAATTGCACAGAGAAAATATTGGATTGGCGTAGTAACATTCCTTGCGGAACGTATTTAAGCACTCTGAACACGTTTATCCTCAATCATTCCAACAACATGTTTCTTCCAATTATCGTTTTTGTGTCAATATTAAACATTTCATTCGCTGAAGGTAACATATTATTTTATTCTATTAAACAGAATATTTATTGTACAAAAAAAAATTTTTTTACTTACAAATGTTGTTTCTCTTCAGGTGATCAATGTAAACTTCTGGATGGAAGAGAAGGCCAATTTATGAAAGAAATCGATTGTTTGAAGTTAAAGAATAATCTGAAAATAGATGAAAATAATACTTGCGAATCCGAAGGATTAAATTCCATAATCTGCTGTGATAATAACAGTAATTTAAAGCCCGGACAAAGAAGTATAGATTGTATGTTATTAATTATTACATAAAATATAATTTATTTTCAAGGTCAAAATAATAAATTGAAAAAAATAATGTAAATTATTTGTATCTTTTCAGTTGAATTTTATAATAATTATTCTTTTAATATTTGTATATAATTAATGAAATGTTGTAGATTGTGATGCTTTTTATCCAATAGCCAAAGTTATTGTCGGTGGACAAAATGCGCTTGGTAAGGAATTTCCTTACATGGTGAGTGATTTAGATTTGTTTTATTGACTAAATGATATTAGTAAGGAAAAATATGTTAAGAGAATAATGTAAATATGGATTTATTTAATAGGCGGCTTTGGGATTTGTGCAAGACAATAAAGTACTTTGGAGCTGCGGAGGAACTCTAATTAATGATAAATTCATATTGACAGCAGCGCATTGTACTAATTCCAGAGATTTGTAAGTATGAGCAAACATTGTTTACAAATCAGTAAATATATTTTGTTTAAGTGGACAAGTGAAGTTCGTAAGACTTGGTGACTTAAACTTGATCCTGAACACGGACGATGCTTCTCCTCAGATGTTCGAAGTAAAACGGATTTTGAAACATCCCAAATACAGATCATCTTCGCATTACCACGATATTGCTTTGATTGAATTGGATAAAACTGTAAAGTTTACTTCTTACACGGAACCAGCATGTTTAAATACGCCGATCTCGAATCGTTCGAACGATAACTTTATTGCCATTGGTTGGGGTCACACTTCTTTTGGTGGTGATACCAGTGATGTTCTTCAAAAAGTTGAATTAAAGGAAAAAACTAATGATGAATGTAATCAAAGGTATAAGACTAATAGGAAACTTCAATCGGGAATTGTGCATGATTGGCAGCTCTGCGCAAACGCTCCAAATAGAGATACTTGTCAAGTATGAAGTAATATTTGGAAGTTGAGTTTAAATTTGATTATATACTTGATTCAGGGCGATTCCGGTGGACCTTTGTCTATAAAAGAGGAGAAGTATCATGTCGTTCATGGAATCACTTCGTTTGGGAAAGCTTGCGGTGTTGCACCAGGAGTTTACACCAGAGTTTCTAACTATGTAGGATGGATCGAGGATAATGTATGGCCTCAAAAATAGATAAATTATGGAAAAAAATGCTGTAATCAATTTAAATATAATAAAAATAAACAATTTAATATAATAGAAAACATGTTTTAATCTTTATTTATTGGATGTGATTTTAAAAGTGTATTCACTATTTAAATATAATAAAGTAAATAAACTGATAGAAATTTGTATATACAATAGGATGTAGACTACTGGTATGGTAGTGATTTAAAAGAACATCCGGTGATAAAAGGGCATATAGACCATACCATTAATCTGTTCTCTTCTTGGAACCTAGGGGAAAGTGTTAATGTCCCTATGAACACAAGAACTCGTCTTACTCATTAATCGTTTCACTTAAGTCATATATACAAACCGACGTCAGTTCTTTCCCTATGATGGGAATAGATCATCTCCATCTATTTTTTGTTACCCTGGCAACGTACCTTCTTAAATAAAAGTAAATTTAATAATTGAATATTTATATTTTTAAAAATTGCAAAGTTAAAATTATTAAGTTTATGGTAAATAAATAAATCGGAGATGACGTGACTGAATCAATGTGTGTATTTGGAGGTTGTCAAGTTAAATAAATTTAATAAATTCAATGGTTTATGTACAGGTTTGGTATGATATTTTTATATATTTTTTTGGCAAATCTATGTTTTCCATTCGATATATTTGGAAATTCTTGTGTAAACGCCCGTATGTGTTATCCCGTATATGATTTAATACTTCCTCCTGTGAATCGTTAAAGGTACTCCAGAATTACCATAAAATCTTGAAAATTATATCGAACTTAGAAACCACTTAATTTCTACTCACTTGACAAGTATCTTTCATGGCTGCTAATTCTCGAGTAATCAAATACTGACATTCATTGTTTGTTTTCCATTGAAGCAAAGGAATAAGAATTTGGTTCTATGAAAGATTCAAGCAAGCCAATTTGATCACAGCTATATTGTGATATTGGGAATTGGATTTGTATTCAGGATGGTTAACGTTAATGTTGAAATCTTGAAGACATCTTCATCCTAAATCTCCCAATCAAACGTATTTGACCGGTAAATTATAATTATCAGTTATAATATTCGTGTAATTAGGATTAAAATGAAGTATACTAAGGTATTAGTGCAAGGAACAGCCTTCAATACAAACCGTTTGTTTATTAGGTTTATGGCTTCTTTTGATCAGTTGAACGGTTCTCAGACAATTCTCATTTTTTTATATTTTCCACTGACGCCATTAGGTAATTAACAAGTTTCACCGACTAGAACAAATAAATCAAGGAATAACTAAATGTTCATTCTATAAATTTCTTTTTGTTATTTTACCATGATCCATGCCATCAACATTTTTACTAAAGAAGTAAAATTAAGACGTGCAGATATTAATCAATTTAGAGCTTAAATATCTTAACGTACAACAAATAATTAACTTGTAATTAGTCGTCTTCGGATATAGAAGTTTTAATAATCGTTTAATGCTGTTTTAATTTTACCTTCTTCTTTGGAATTCAATTTTTATCTTTGATTTCTGCTAAATTTTTAAACAAATGTAATAATTAGTAAAGAAAAGTGTAATTTTATATTATAAATCATATTGATTTATTATTATTTTTTTTCTCTTTGTATTAGAATTTACTTTTTTTTTGTATTATAAATATAATTTTGACTTCGCTGTATCTGGTTCATAAAACTCTATTATATTCAGTACTAATAATAATAATAAAAACTATATGTGCAACGTTCTTATCATAATATATTTAAATAATCAACAAAAATATAGAAATAAACAGACGAATATTAAAAATAAATACATTTTTCTCTCAATAATTAAATTAGGTAAAATTCGTTTTAAGACATTTTACGGAGAACCAATAAACTCTATATTTTTATGACATGCATATTACGACCCCTATTTACGGTAGTACAATTATATTCCAGGTAAATTTAAGAAAGTAACTAAAAATTCAGTAGACTTTCTATTTAAATACAAAACTAGTATGAAGAGACAGTTTGTATTTGGCATACAGCTATGATGTTTCGTTGCTTGCTAATGTTGTCTTCATTGGCAATTACCTGCAAAGCTCTTGAAGGTAGGTAAAACTTCAAAATTTCCAAATGGTTTAAGTAAAAAATTATTTCAATACAGTTGATGATGCGTGTAAACTATCGAATGGCAAAAATGGAATCTGCAAATTGGTGACAAAATGTCCAAGTGCCATCGAGCTAATCAAGAAGAGACAGATACCGATACTATGCGGATTCGAAGGATTGACATCCATCGTCTGTTGCGATAAAACTAGACTGTTGACCAAATCTCGAGATTCACCTGGAAAGAAGAGCAAAAATTGTGAGTTTTAAATACCATGAACATTAGTAGATTATAAATAAAAAAATAGCTTAGTTTTGCAAACTAACTTTATGTTATTTTAGATTGCTTATCCACATATCCTCCAAGGTTAGCTGCGGTAGGAGGTGTTCAATCTTTCGCAAAAGAATTTCCGCATATGGTAAAAAGTAATAAATGTTCGTGAACAAAAATTTAATTGTTTTTGAGTTTTTAGGCTGCTTTAGGTGCTATTAATGGAGACGAGGTTAAGTGGTTGTGCGGAGGTAGTTTGATCAACAAAAGGTATATAATAACTGCAGCGCATTGTCTCATATCAAAAGATTTGTAAGTATTTAAATTAATAGTGGACAATACAAATGAATAAAATGTATTTGTTATAGTGGAATTTTAACGCACGTACGTTTAGGTGATCTCAATTTGAAGTTGGATACAGACGATGCAGAGCCTCAAGATTTCGGAATCAAACGTGCCATCAAATATCCAGGATATATTAGAACAAAGTCGTACCACGATTTAGCGTTGCTAGAATTGGATCGAAAGGTGAATTTTACGGATTACGTGAAACCGGCTTGCTTGAATGTTGAAAAGAATTCGACGAATGGTCAAGTTTTGACTGCAACCGGTTGGGGCAGGACGCAATTCGGAGGTGATACCAGCGATCATCTGCAGAAAATCGAAATTTTCGAAACCAAAAACTCCGACTGCACATTGAAGTACAAATATGATCCGAAACTGACGTTGGGAGTCGTAGATGATTGGCAGATTTGTGCAAGCGCTCCAGGAAAAGACACGTGTCAGGTAATGACAGATGTTTTAATTTATGAAAATATAACTGATATGTGATGACAGCTAATATTGTTATGTTTTGATGTTTATTACGTTGAATTTTTTATATGTATGAAAGTTGAATAGTTTTAGTAACATGTTACAAAGTTTTATCATAAACACATCTACTTGTTAGATTTTATTTTTTAATATTCTTTTAATTCAAATTTTGTTATAAAGGGTTGCATTTAAGGGGTCGTAAAACTACTGCTGTCACTCAGTGTCAAAAATGTATTCCTGTAAACAAAAATATGTTGAGTCCTATAGAAAAAAAGTTGACATATTTTTTTTTGTAAATTTGTTTTTTAAGAAAAATTCTAAATTTTTATGTTTTATTTGCAGGGTGATTCTGGTGGACCACTTCAGAAAAAATCTACCTTCCATCACACTATTTATGGTGTAACTTCGTTTGGTAAAGCCTGCGGATTGGCTAACTTCCCCGGTGTTTATACAAGGATTTCCTATTATATTGATTGGATTGAAAAAATTGTTTGGCCTAATGGCATCCACGATGGTCCTGCTTAACTAGAAGAAATAAAAATTCTTACTAATGTTCTATGAAAAAGTATAGCAATATAAAAAAAAATATATAAAAAATAATTAAATTATAGCATACAAAATAATACATGCATCAGATAATTGATTCAATTCCTTAAAATCCGCACGTTCTCGCTTTATGGCTTTGACTAATAAAGTAAACGAACGAACGAAATATTATGAACAAACATGTTGCATATCCAAAGGAAATACAATGATTTACATGAAATTAACTAAATTAGATCTAAATTATCGTAATTGGATCAATCTCTAATATATACTTTAATTAATGCAAAAATAGAGCTTGTTATCTGTTTTTATTTTTTTTGTTCATAGATAAATAGCTTTATAAAATACTGAAAAAAATTAAGTGTTATAATTCATACAGATTTAATTGTAAAAAAAATATTTATCCATCATTGCAATAAATTTAAAACGGGAAGGAAAAATAGATTTTTTTCTGCATCCTCTATATATAAATACGAAACTGGGTTGAAAACAGTTAGATCTTGGCACGCATTCGTGATGTTTCGTTGTCTGCTAATTTTGTCTTCATTGGCAATTATCTGCAAAGCTCTCGAAGGTAGGTAAACTACTAGCATTTCCAAATGGTTTAATTAGTAAATAATTTCCATATAGTTGGTGACGCTTGTAAATTATCGAACGGCAAATATGGAGTATGCAAATTTGCAGATAATTGTCCAAGTGCTTTGAAGCTAATCCATAATAGACAGATGCCGATACTATGCGGATTCGAAGGTATGATGTCCATCGTCTGCTGCAAGAATCCACCTGGAAAAAAGAGTAGAGATTGTGAGTTTTAAATATTATGAAGATTAGTAGATTTTACGTCAAAAATAGCTTAGTTTTAGAAACTGACTTAATAACATTTTAGATTGTTTAAACATGTATCCTCAAAGACCCGGAGTGGTGGGAGGTGTTAAATCTTTGGCAAAAGAATTTCCGCATATGGTAAAATAGTAGTCAATTTACGTGATCAAGGATTTAAGTTTGAGTTTTTAGGCTGCTTTAGGTGTTATTAATGGAGACGAGGTTAAGTGGTTGTGCGGAGGTAGTTTGATCAACGAAAGGTTTATCATAACTGCAGCGCATTGTCTCATATCAAGAGATTTGTAAGTATTTAAATAAATAATAAACAGTATAATTAAATAATATATTTATTATAGTGGAATTTTAACGCACGTCCGTTTAGGTGATTTAAATTTGAAGTTGGATACAGACAATGCGCAACCACAAGATTATGGAATCAAACGTATGATCAAATATCCAGAATATAACAGGAGACAGTCGTACCACGATTTGGCGTTACTCGAATTGGACCGAAAGGTGAATTTCACGGATTATGTGAAACCTGCTTGTTTGAATGTTGAAAAGAATCCGATAAATGATGAAGTATTGACTGCAACCGGTTGGGGCAGAACGCAATTCGGAGGTGATAACAGCGATCATCTGCAGAAAATCAAAATTTTTGAAACCAAAAACTCCGACTGCACATTTAAGTACAAATATGATCCAAAACTGACGTTGGGAATCGTGGATGATTGGCAGATTTGTGCAAGCGCTCCAGGAATAGACACGTGTCAGGTAATGATAGATGCCTTAATTTATGAAAATATAACTAATTTGTGATGACAGCTAATATTGTTATGTTTTGATGTTTTACATTCAATTTTTTACATGTATGAAAGATGAATAGTTTTAGTTACATGTTACAAATTTTGATATAAAGCGTTGCATTTAAGGGATCGCAAAATGACAGCTGTCACTTAGTCTCAAAAATGTATTGCTGTAATCAAAAAAAGTTGAGATATTTTTTTTTGCAATTTTTTTTTAAGAACAATTCTAAATTTTTATGTTATATTTCTAGGGTGATTCTGGTGGACCACTTCAGAAAAGATTTTCCTACCATCACACTATTTATGGTGTAACTTCGTTCGGTAAAGCCTGCGGATTGGCTAACTTCCCCGGTGTTTATACAAGGATTTCCTATTATATTGATTGGATTGAAGAAATTGTTTGGCCTAATAGCAATCTCGCTGGTCCTGCTTAACTAAAAGAAAGGAATAATCTTAATAAAGTTCTATAAAAAAGTACTGCAATATAAAAAAAATACAATTATATAGAGTAATAAAATTAGAACCTATAAAATAATACATTTCGTACATATCTAGGTTTGCAGCAGATAATTGATTCAATTCCTTAGAATCCACACATTGGTTTATGGCTTTGACTAATTAAGTAAAGGTTACATACAACGATTTAGAAGAAATTAACCAAATTAGATCATGAATATCGTAAAGGATATAAAACAATTAACCTATAATTAGTGTCTTTGATAAAACAATTACAATTATATTTTGAATGTATCTATTGAGTTTTAATAATATAAAATAAATCTATCTATAAATCTACAATGTTTATTTCATAACATATTTAAATAATCAACGAAAATAGAAAAATATGGCATCGGTGTCTTCTTTATAAACTTTTCTTTCTAAATCTCCCACCTTACCTCATCAGCATCATCAAAAACCTCCTTAATAATCGTTCCCTTAAAGTTAAGATCCGCAATTCCTTCTCCAGTTCCTATTACCCGCTTCAGGGTGTCCCGCAAGGCTCCCCTCTGTCTCCTCTGTTATATAATATTTTTTGTTGTGATATGTATAGCCCCGATCCTAATATCTTTGATCCCAACCTCTATGTACTCCAATACGCTGATGACACAACATTGATTTCCCACGCCTGTTCCATTCAATCCTCTATCTTAACTATCTTAACCTTCAAAACCTCATATCCTCGACCATTTTATGGTTCAAAAAATGGCGCCTCAAAATTAACCCATCCAAAACCAAACTCCTTATTCTCTACCATCGCATATCCCCTTCGTCTCACCATGTTACATTACATAATCATTGCATTTTACCATCACTACTTGTTAAATACCTTGGAAACCTTCTTCATCCTAAACTCAATCTCAAACAACTCAAATAGAAAAATTAAATCTAGATCCCGTCATTTTTATTCCTTAACCTTCCGTAACTCCGAAATATCAATAAATATACAAATCAATATGCCGTCCTATCCTTGACTACGGTTTCCCACTACTTTCCCAATGCCGGAATCCTGTCCTAAAGAACCTGTCCGTATCCGAACGTTCCGCTCTTCGTATCCTCACCAAAATACGACATCCTAATAATCCTCTACACAATCCTCCTAATGATCTCCTTTACTCCAAAACCAAAATAGTCCCTCTCCTCGACCAATACCTGGACAGGGACATCTCCTTGAAATTTTAATCCAAACAGTCCAACATAGCCTCCCTCTCTAAATTCTGTGTCTCTCGAAACCCAAATATCCTTCCCAAATTTAAATATCCCACATTATTCCTATTCCAATACATAATGTCCCTCGAATGATACACACTTGTTCCTGCTCCGCTGCTTTTTTTTTCTTCCTTTATTCTTCTGTTTTTCAGGTCGGAAAGACCTAGGTCGTTAGCCCTTTGGCCAGCCTATTAATATATTTTTTTAGAAAAATAATCAGTCGAATATTGAATTTAAGAAAAAATATATTTTTCTCTGAAAAATAAATTCAAGTGAAATCCGTTTAACGGCGAAGAAAACAATTATACATTATTATTATTAATTGTTATTACAGACAGATTTATTGGTAAAAAAGTTATATTCCATCATTGCAATAAATTTAAAACGGTAAGGAATAATAGTTTTTTTTTCTGCATCTTCTGTATATAAATACGAAACTCGTTTGAATAAACACTTATATCTTGGTACACAACCATGATGTTTGGTTGTCTGCTAATTTTGTCTTCATTGGCAATTATCAGCAAAGCTCTCGAAGGTAAGTAAACTACTAGCATTTCTAATTGGTTTAATTAGTAAATTATTTCTATATAGTTGGTGACGCTTGTGAACTATCGAACGGCAAATATGGAGAATGTAAATTTGCAGAGAATTGTCCAAGTAATTTCAAGCTAATCGATAATAGACAGACGCCGATACTATGCGGATTCAAAGGTGTGATATCCATCGTCTGCTGCGAGAATTCACCTGGAAAAAAGAGCAGAGATTGTGAGTTTTAAATTTCATAAAGATTAGTAGATTTTACGTCAAAAATAGCTTAGTTTTAGAAACTGACTTAATAACATTTTAGATTGTTTAAACATGTATCCTCAAAGACCCGGAGCGGTGGGAGGTGTTAACTCTTTGGCAAAAGAATTTCCGCATATGGTAAATTAGTAGTCAATTTACGTGATCAAGGATTTAAGTTTGAGTTTTTAGGCTGCTTTAGGTGCTATTAATGGAGACGAGGTTATATGGTTGTGCGGAGGTAGTTTGATCAACGATAGGTATATCATAACTGCAGCGCATTGTCTCATATCAAGAGATTTGTAAGTATTTAAATAAATAATAAACAATACAAATAAATAATATATTTATTACAGTGGAATTTTAACGCATGTTCGTTTAGGTGATTTAAATTTGAAGTTGGATACAGACGATGCACAACCACAAGATTACGGAATCAAACGTGCCATCAAATATCCAGAATATAATAGGAAATCGTCGTACCACGATTTGGCGTTGCTCGAGTTGGATAGAAAGGTAAATTTCACGGATTACGTAAAACCGGCTTGTTTGAATGTTGAAAGGAATCCGACGAATGGTCAAGTTTTGACTGCAACCGGTTGGGGAAGAACACAATACGGAGGCGATTCTAGCGATCATCTGCAGAAGATTGAAATTTTCGAAACCAAAAATTCAGACTGCACATTGAAGTACGAGAATGATCCAAAACTGAAGTTTGGAGTCGTGGATGATTGGCAGATTTGTGCAAGCGCTCCAGGAAAAGACACCTGTCAGGTAATGACAAATGCTTTAATTTATGAAAAAAATAACTGATATATGATGACAACTAATATTGTTTTAATATGATATTTATTACGTTCATTTTTTTACATGTATGAAAGTTCAATATCTTTAGTAATATAGTATGAAGTTTTATCATAAACATATCTATTTGTCATGATATAAAGCGTTGCGTTTTTAACGGGTCGCAAAATTACAGCTGTCACATTTTGCAATTGTCATAAATTTTATGTTGTAAACAATTTGATACAAACAAATATGTTGAGTCGCGCTTCATGGAGATTGAGAAAAACTGGTCACATTTTTCACCTGCAAAAATTTATTTTATTTTTTATTTGTAGGGTGATTCTGGTGGACCACTTCAGAAAAAATCTACCTTCCATCACACTCTTTATGGTGTCACTTCGTTCGGTAAAGTATGCGGATTGGCTAACTTCCCCGGCGTTTATACAAGGATTTCCTATTATATTGATTGGATTGAAGAAATAATTTGGCCTAAGGACATCATCTGGATGACAGGAAAAGTGCTATAATATAATAGTTTGTGAAACATTTTTTTTTATTATTATTCCGCTGCTTTATAATAATGCCGTCAACACAAAACGTTTGTTTATGCAGGTCTCTCTGCAATTCCATGAAATATAGTTTAAACTTAATGCAGCTTGGATTAAGCAAAAGGTTTGATCAATAGAAAACTGAAGAAGTAACCAATTAACCAATGATTAGTCGCCTTCGAGTAAACTAATCTATTTAATAGGAGGATTAGTAATATTGTTTTAATCACAGCCTTTTCCTTCTTTTTTAGAAAAAAAGTATAATTTATATATCAAGTACTAATAATGAAAAACAACTCCCTTTACTTTAAAATGTTTATATTATTATATATTTAAATAATCAATAAAAATACAAAAGTAAACAAGCGAATATTGCAACAGCACATAATTATATTTTTCTTTCAAAAATGAATGTTTTTAAAATTCCATAGATTCTATACATTTTTATTAAGTGTATATGACCGCCCGATTTGATGGTAGTAAAATTTTATTCCGCCATTGCAATGATTTTAAGAAGGTAACGGAAAATTGGCCTTTCTGTTTTCTTTTCTTCAGCCTGTATATATAAATACAAAACTGGTTTGAAGAAGCAGTTCGAAATTGACACGCAGCCATGGTGCTTCGTTGTCTGTTAATTTTGTCTTCATTGACAATTATCTGCAAATCCCTTGAAGGTAAGTAAACTATCTAAATTTCCAAATGGTTGAAATAGTAAATTATTTCTATTCAGTTGGTGACGCGTGTAAACTGTCGAATGGCAAAAATGGAGACTGCAAATTGGTAACGAATTGTCCAAGTGCCATTGAGCTAATCAATAGAAGACAGACACCGATACTATGCGGATTCGAAGGTTTCACGTCCATCGTCTGCTGCGATGAAACTAGAATCTTTACCAATTCTCGGGATTCACCTGGAAAAAAGAGCAAAGATTGTGAGTTTTAATTACTATAAAGATAAGTAGATTTTGAATAAAAAAATAGCTTAGTTTTAGAAACTAATTTTATAACTATTTAGATTGTGAATACATAAATCCTGCAACGATATCTGCGGTAGGAGGTGTTGACTCTTTGGTGAAAGAATTTCCGCATATGGTAAAAAAGTAGTAAATTTACGTGAACAAGGATTTAACTGTTTTGATTTTTTTAGGCTGCTTTAGGTGTTATTAATGGAGACGAGGTTAAGTGGTTGTGCGGAGGTAGTTTGATCAACGAAAGGTTTATCATAACTGCAGCGCATTGTCTCATATCAAGAGATTTGTAAGTATTTACCAGCACAAATTAATAAAAGTAATGACGAAATATATTTGTTATAGTGGAATTTTAACGCACGTCCGATTAGGTGATTTAAATTTGAAGTTGGATACAGACGATGCACAACCACAAGATTACGGAATCAAACGTGCCATCAAATATCCAGAATATAATAGGAAAACGTCATATCACGATTTGGCGTTGCTCGAGTTGGACCGAAATGTGAATTTCACGGGTTACGTGAAACCGGCTTGCTTGAATGTTGATAAGAATCCGACGAATGGTCAAGTTTTGACTGCAACCGGTTGGGGCAGAACACAATACGGAGGCGATACTAGCGATCATCTGCAGAAAATCGAAATATTCGAATCCAAAAACTCCGACTGCAGTTTGAAGTATAAGGATGATGCAAAACTGAATTTGGGAATCGTAGATGATTGGCAGATTTGTGCAAGCGCTCCAGGAAAAGACACATGTCAGGTAATGACAGTTTCAACTAATATTCTGATGTTTACATGCATGGAAAATTTAACAGTTTTACTTACATTGTACAAAGTTTCAACAAATCTTTGTTAGATTTTATAGTTTAATGTTTTCTAAGGTCAAATCTTGATATATAAAGCGTTGAATTTTTAACGGGTCGCAAAATGACAGCTGTCACCTTACGGCAAAACGGCAACAAGGTTAAAAAATAATGGTTTATACTCTTGCTGAAAAAAAGTTTAAAAAAAATCAAATTCGGTCAGCAACTATTTTTTTTTTTATTTCGTAGGGTGATTCCGGTGGACCACTTCAGAAGAACAACTTTTTCTATCACACCATTTATGGTGTAACTTCGTTTGGTAAAGCCTGCGGATTGGTTAACGTCCCCGGTGTTTATACAAGGATTTCCTATTACATTGATTGGATCGAAAAAATGGTTTGGCCTAATGGCATCCACGATGGTCTCGCTTAAATGAAAAGAAAAAGATCTCGAAAAAATTGAAATGCAACTGTGCTAAGTTCACTCTTGCAAATAAACATTTTTTATTCTTCTTTGTTTTACTACAACTTAAAAATATCATTTGTATATAAAATATATAATAAAAATACTTTAAAAAATGTATTTTCGTTTCATTCTACATTTTATACTTTAATGATGTTCCTTTTTTGCGGGCAATTCATTTTTCTTGTCCAGTCTACAACGAAGGTCGGCGACAGAGCGCCAGTATTCCTGGATCCATGATCTTAATGGGGGCAGTAGTGCGTTGACATTCGTTCTGGTTTCAGTTGAAATCTATGCCAAGCTTTTTTCAGCAAATAAATGTACATAGTCATGATATTTTTCATTAAAATTTGATTAGTTTTACTTTTTTTTAAATATATATCTTCCGGCCCTATTCTACTCCTTTCGGATGGCTGTTAACATCACAATTATTTATTGCGAATCGTATCAGATTTTCGTAATACAGGCGACCATAGCCACATGGCTACCGCCGCCCTTAGTTTTACTTTGAATATACTATAATATTTGTATCTATTACCATTTTTGTGTAATAAGTTGTTAAATTGTCTTTTATACTTTAAAGACAATATTTTTCGTTTTATTGGACGACACATGATAATCAGAAGTGTAATTGAAGCTTAATATGAGTATACTGGCAAATTTGTGCATTTTAGAATTTATATATAATGAGCTGTCAAAACTGTGATTACTTCAAAAACAAATTTGATGCCTTCATAATTAATCGTTTTACTGAACAACGACACACGATAATTATAAGTGTAAATAGTCTAATTAAGTTTAATATGCACGCTTTAATATGAGTATACTGACAAATTTGTGAATTTTACCATTTAAATGTAATGAGCTGTCAAAAATATGAATACTTAAAAAAAAATGTATTGTCTTCACATCTTATCCTATTACAGAACAACGACATTATAAATGTGAATACTTTAATTAATGATTAATATATACGCTTTACTATAAGGTTATTTTTGTGTAATAAACTGTTAAAGTTGAAAAAGATATGATTGCTTCAAAATAATGAAAAATTAGTGCCTTTTCATGTTTTATCGCATTATGTTAATTATGAATATGATATTTAAATATTATCATATTAGAATGGAAGACGTAAAAAACTAATTGTCATCAAAGTACTTTTCTTAGCAGTCGTTTCTAAGCTTAATTCAGAAGTTAAAAAAATACATATCTTTTGCCATAAAAGCACTTATTTTATTGATCTGTTTATGCAGACCAACTTTTTTTTTTGTGGCTGTTGTCTAGTCACTAAAGTCTGGCGACAGTGCTCCAGCGTGCCTGGATCGAAGATCCTAATGAGGGCGGTAAGCTGAAATTTTCCATTTGAAAAATGCTCATTTCTAAAAATAAATTAACTTTTATATATAAATGTAAATAAAATATATATTTTTTATAAGCAAATTATATTAATCTGAATAATAATAATAATTTATTGACTAGACATCAATAAAAAAAAGAATAAGTTCTATAAATATATGATAATAATAACAATTGTTAAAACAAATAAATAAATTCTAACATAAATAAAAATAAAAATTATATATTAATAGGCTGGCTAAAGGGCTATCGACTAAGGTCTTTCCGCCCGGGAGCATAATTTAATGAAAGAACAATACAAATATATACATAGCAAAGTAATGAGAGGAAAAAAAAGAAAACAGCAGAGTAGGAATTGGAAGTGTTTCAATCAAGGGATATTAGGGATATTTCAAGGGTTAATGTGGGAATTTTAGATTTGGGAAGGATATTTGGGTTTCAAGGAGCACAGAATTTAGAAAGGGAGGCGATGTTGGACTGTTTGGATTTAAATTTCAAGGAGAGGGACAGGTATCGGTCGAGGAAAGGGACTATTTTGGTTTTGGAGTAAAGGAGATCATTAGGAGCATTCTGTAGAGGATTATTAGGATCGTATTTTGGTGAGGATACGAAGGGTGGAATGTTCGGATACGGACAGATTTTTTAGGACAGGATTCCCGCATTGGGAAACCGTAGTCAAGGATAAGATGGCATATGGATAAATGGATGTTTGGCCATACAGATATTTCGGAGTTACGGAATGTTAATGGATTTAATTTTGAATCTGAGTTGTTTGGAATAGGAATTAAGATTGAGTTTATGATCAAGAAGGATTCCAAGGTATTTAACAAGTGGTGATGGAAAAATGGAATGATTATTTAATGTAACATGGTGAGACGAAGGGGATATGCGATGGTAGGGAACAAGGAGTTTGGTCTTGGATGGGTTAATTTTGAGGCGCCTTTTTTAAACCATAAAATGGTTGAGGATAGGAGGTTTTGAAGGTTAACAATAGAGGATTAAAGGGAAGAGGCGTTGGAAACCAATGCAGTGTCATCAGCGTATTGGAAGGTAAAGAGGAAGGATCGGGGCAAATCTGAATATATTACACATATTTTCAAATTAATTTCACAGAAATTAAAGTAATACTTTTATAATAATTCAGGAAATTATTTATTTTTTGAAATATATTTCTTCTTCTTCCTTCCTCATCTTCATTTGGCTTCCGCATAACGCGCCAATAAGCCAGCCCCTGTCTGTGTTCTTCGGATTTCCTCTTCCGTCCAAATAGTTAAGGCAACCAGCTTCTTTCAATTACACCAAAAATTTCCCTCTTCAAAACAAATAATCAAAATAAACGATTTCTTCTAACGAAACTAAAAAATAACTATTAAATCCAACTTAAACTAACTTCTTTAAAATATGTACGTAGGAAAGAAACGGCAAGACAGGTAAAAACAATAAAGGTAACGGATCGAACACAAATATATAACGAATTTCGAACCGGGGTCTCAGCGGTTCAGTACTCAGGTTCTTGGAGAGACCTCGGAAAGGTATAAATTAGAAAGGTTGACACGTTAAAACTATATATAGGCATTAGATGTTTTAAAAAACTTTAGTATTGCCCTGTAAACGTAAACGGATGAGACACCGTATGTGAAATATATTTAATATAGATTTTTAAATATTACTCCCTCTGTCCGAAAATATGGTATACATTTGTATGAAATTCTTAGATTAACTAGAGTTTCGAAAGCAACTGTCAATATTCATTATATTGGTATTGTTTACATTAATAACTAAATAACATAACATATTTGACAGTTGTTGCTTTTGAGATAAGTTGCAATTTGAAGACCAAAAATTAGTTTTCTAAGCAAAAATATAATAGTCACCGCTATAATTTCAAAATAGAAAATTTTAACCCAAAAAACGTGAATTTATAAATAAAAGATGCCAAATCGAAGAATTTGACTAATGAACAACGTCATGGTATCTGGAAACAGCTATTACAATGTATGAAGAACAAATAAAAAATAGAACACGGTTCTACTTATGGTTGGATTATTCAATTTAAGTCACAACCACTACCGATTTAAACGTTCTCGATTTGGGTTTTTTACTCTATCTAATCACTGCAATATGAAGCTTTGCCAAAAACAATTGATGAATTCATGGAATGTGTTCAAGATGCATTCAATAAATTAGAAAGAAATACTCTCGATAACGTTTTATAATATTACAAACGTGTATGGAATCAATTATGTTAATTCCAATAAATTTCTTCATATAAACTTCGCCGTGAGGGTCAATTTAAATTAATATATATCAAAATAATTATGATTTTATTTTAAAATGTTTGATATTATTAAAGATGGTTTATTTATAGTAAATCTAATTAGTTGATGTTGTTACCACGTATTCACCTCGAAAGACGTTTATGGTTAAAGAGTTTAAATAAAACAATCATAATAACGTGTGATGTGAATTGAGGTGTCTGGCGTGTCGTAAGCAAGGTGAAGATGATAATGGTAATATGGGCGGCTTCGATTTCACAACATCGAACATGTAACGAGCTCCATTGTTTCGCGAAATAAACTAATAGAAACCTATTTAGCATTCGTTTAATGTATACAAACGCAGTCCACAAATAGGAACTGCAAATTATATCAATTAACAAAAAAATAGATAACGAAAAGTTTCAGTAAAATAGGAAAACAACAGCACGAACACAATGCATTAAAAAAAAAAAAAAGGCCGAAATGCTGTTAGAAAATTCTGCTCATGCCGTATTTCAACGTATATAAATAGTTATCCAAATGACATGTGACTGCGCGTGGAGTAGTAGTATAGCATGGTTCTCTTCCTAGCGAACTGACTATCGAGTTTAGTCTTTCACAGAGAAGCGAAGAACACAGGTCTGCATTTGAAACAGAACTTTGTTGTTATTGAAATAATAATAATAAAACACACAACTAGAGATGGCAAAATTAGCTGGACTACTCGTTCTCTGCCTAGCCCTGATTCACACAGGTGAGATGAGTTTTAACTATTCGAAAAGAGACGCGTCTCGAGTCTCTTCATCACTATTTTTAACTAAACTTTAAATAACTATGACTTAACATTTTAAAACGTCAATGCGAAAATCGCGTATCGATGCAAAGTACACATATGTTAATTTTTTCAATTTTGCAACCATTTAATTTCGCGATTATTTTAGAAAAAAAATTAAATATATATTTGAGAGAGAAATGGAAACGACGGTGCATTTTTTTTTGAATATTTATGATAAATTCGCGTGCATTTATACCATTTGCATATTCCCTATATAAATCACATTTCAGATGACGACTTTTATGTATTCATTATTTTCTTGCGGACTACTAATGGCACGTTATCAACTTCAATTGATTTCGCAACTTTTTTTTAACGAAAACAAGAACCTTTGCTCGATGATAGCTAAAACCAAGATGATCTCATCCTTGCTGTTTTTATTTGTCTCATTCTAAATCGATATCTAGTGCAAAGATGTGTCATAGAAAATTTTCCAAGTTTAAAATATTTTATTCTTATATAAAAAAAAATACATGAATGTAATAGAATCCCACATAAGTTTTGCAATGATCATTTCATTCTGCTCATCGGCCATGACCATTTGTGCATGACATCACCGTTCCAGTATGCTAAAGCCTAACATTTCTCTGGTATTTTCCTCTGTTGTGAATTATTCAAACAACAACGATTAGCGGTATTGCATTTATTGATTTTCAACATTAATGCTAATCAACTTATGTTTTCACATTGTTTTTGATCTGTTTTCGTTGCTTCCTTTCAAAAGTACAGTCGCGACAACACAAAAATTATTAAATTAAATTAAATTGAAATAAATTGTTGTTTACTTTCCTCATAACTTTAATAGACGTGAACAATGTATGCACAAACAGGTTCCCAACAAACAATGAAAACCGCATCGAATGGAGGAAATCACAATTAAGCTAATTTAGTTATTATTACATTTTCATCGCGTAAACGTATTGAAAATATTGTTTTAATAAATTAATATTTATATTTGACAAACGAAAGTTAATCAATTTGAATGGGTGACCAAAGTATACATTTCTAAAAAATATAATACATTAAATTGTTTTATTTTACAAAAGTTAGTTGACTTTTTATTATGAATTAAAGTTAGCCAGTTTTGAGACAAAATTTAGTTCTTAAAAAATATGTGTTATTAAAAACATATTTTTAATATTATTAAATATACAGATTAGTCATATTTTAATTTTCATCGTAAAATACGAAATTAATTTTGGCTTTGATTTGTTTGTATAAGGAAATGCGCGCTCTTCAAAATATAAATATTTACGGAAGATTTGAAAATGAAGCAAAAAAACGCGATATTTTACAACTAGTTCATGTGTTACCTTTGCGCAATGTAAATTGCAAAATTGAAAACAGATGTTTGTTTGGATTTGATTTATTTTTTGTTCTTCCGAAACATTAACATTATATATAATTAAATTAGCAGAAAGCTTTGATAATTTACAAGACTTGTGATTCTCCTACGCTGTTAAGCAATAAACCAAGCCTTCAAAGACTACTACTATATTCGATTACATCATTTATTATATCTTTGCATGTGTAAAGTACATTTATTCAGTTTGGTTTTACTTTCTTTTACACATTTTCTCATCTATTTTTGGAAATAGATTTTCAGTGAAAAAAGGATTAATAATGTAGTGAATCAAATGAATTAACTTTAACATTCTGCATGTCAATACAAAGAATTAACATTTTTCTTGTCTGTTTAAACATTTTCTTGTCGTAATTTTTTTGAAAATTACTTTTCAATGTAAGGAAGAAAAATCATTATAAATTAACTTTTTCATTCCCAAAGACGAAAAGTAATCTAATGAATCAAATTAACTTTTTCATTGCCAATTCCTCATTTATTTTTTGTAAATTGATTTTCAATGCAAAGAAGAAAAATTGTCTAATAAATTAATAAAAATTACTTTTTCATTCTCAGCATTCCTATTTTCCTGTCTATTACTTTTGGAAATTACTTTTCAATGTAAAGACAAAATGTTTTAAGTAAATTAACTTTTTCATTTCCAATTTTGTCTATTTTTTAAAAATTGGTTTCCAATGCAACGAAGAAAAATTGTGTTATAAATTAATTAAATTAAGTTTTTCAATCCGTTTTCCCATTTTCTTGTCTATTTTTTGTTCAAAATTGCATATCAATACAAAGAAGAAATATTTGTCTAACGAATTAATTAAATTAATTGCATATCAATACAAAGAAGAAATATTTGTCTAACGAATTAATTAAATTAACTTTTTCATTCCCAGTTTTCCTATTTTCTAGTCTATTTGTTTTTTTAGAAATTGCTTATTAATGTACAGGAAAAATGTATTAAGAAAATTAAATTTTTAATTCCCAAATTGTCCATTGTTTTGTCCACTTTTTGGAATTACATTTTTCAATGTAAGGAAGAAAAGTAACCCAAATAAACCAATTTTCCCATTTTCTAGTAAATCAACTAAATTAAACTAAGCGACCTGGTTTATTGCATTTTCTCTTCTATTTTAGGAAATACAATTTCAATGTATGTCTGATAAATATTGAAATAAACCAACTTTTGAAATATACGCAGTATTTTTTACCGTACCAGTTGCATATAATTAAAAGATAAAAATGGAATAATGTCGCTGCTTTTTCTTATCATAGCAATTTCATAATGCATACATACCATTAACGTTGGTAATGAACTAAAGATTTGCAGGATCACCTAAGCAAGGTGATAGAGTTCTAAAGAATATATAACCATGACTCACCTATTTATATTGCTGAATGCCATTGTAACTTATTTGGATAAGTTTGTAGGTGTATTCTTAGTAATAAATTTATAAAATTTGGTTAGATCGAATAAAAAACGGCTAATAAGAAATGTAACAAACCTGTTCTAAAATGCATAGGTATAAATATAATTTATTTATAGTTCATGAACTAATAACAATTTCAGTTATGCAAATGCTATTCCATTCACGACATTTTAATAGCGGTCTAATTCGACTACGATAAATTAATGTTTGAGAATGTGTGTACTGTAATTTATTTTTTCCTTTTATTTCTCGTTGAGTGGAAAATTGGCTGGAAAATAATCGCATGTCTAATGGTAATAGAATATTTAATCAATCGGTATGATTAGATTGATGTGGAATCGATTTCACGGCAATTACCATAGAAGAAGATCTAAAAACAAAAACGAAATAGGCTGACTAATCCAGTTTCTTGTAATACGCAAAAGTCTTGACATTTAGCTTTTACCACCCTACTTTTGAATGTCTTTTAAATGTCCCGAATCCAATCTGTTTTGTACTGAATTTCGTTAATGTTAGTTATTTTTTTCTAGGCTACGCTTTGCAGTGTTACAACTGCATTTCGAAACCTGACAGCAAGATGTGCGATGACTTCTCCGACGAGGCTCAGATCAAGAAAATTACTTGCGGAAAGGTAGTCGCCGATCAATTCCAGGCAGCTTGCATCAAGAAAGTTATCAAAGGTGGGTTGTTGTTATTTTAAAACATGATTTTCAGCAGAACAGCAGCAAAGTACACGCTGTACTCGAGATGCGATTGGTGGAAACCGTTGCAAAGATCATCGTAACATCGGGTTGTTGTGCAGTTTTCGCTTTGGTAGGTGTTGCACATGTTTTCGGCGTTCGCGATTTGCTCGCAATATCTGATCACCGCCCGAACGAAGCTCCTTTTGTCAGAGGTCAGCATCGTCTTCAGATCGACTTTGGCGCAGGACCCTTTGTCCGTGCATCTCACCTTCTCCAGCTTATCGACTTCCGGTATCATGCAAGGACTCTCGTCCTTGAAGTCCTTGCACGTGTAGCAAATCAAACCTAAAGAACGGATCATCGATAATCAGCGATCGAAGCTGAGCAACTCACCAAAGGACATTTCGAGATTGACTAAAACGACGAGGACCAGAATAGCGACGTTCATCAAGCGGCAAAAACAACAATTTAGTACGCTCGACCTTCAATCATTCTCTCCTCAACGTGACTGAAATGCTCAATCCTCGTTAATGACGTTCAATTTCAGTGACAAACAATGCCAACGTTATTATTTCATTTATTTATATTATTATTTTTCGTTTCAGATAAAAACACGGAAATGATGAACGTGACCAGGGGTTGCGTTCAGATTAGGAAAGATGGAGACACCAAAGCCGAATGCAAAGCTCCATCCGACAAGTACGATGTCACCGCGTGCGATGTCTGCATGGACGACCTTTGCAACGCCTCAAATCAAATAAACTTCAACCTTTACACGTTCATCGCATCCGTGACGATGTTATTCCTAGTCAAATACCTCAATTAATTTAAATAGTTTCACACAAGTAGAAAACTAAATTCAGTAAGTAACATCATAGTGTACTTAAATGTTCTTGTTGCAACTTTATATAAGATATTTGAAGAAAAATTTAATTAATTAATACATATTCTGTTAATTCTATTGAAGTTTACCATTTTGTTTTTTTTTTTCATTTTTTTTTGTATGTAGAGCTTTTCTTATTGTTGAATAAATGTAATTTAAAAATATAACCTGTTTAATAATAACGCAGCGATAAAAGTTAAAATCTGTAGATTTATCGTTGTTAACTTAATGGATCCGTTGCATAGGTCCTTGTTGCAGAAGAATATCGTGCAAACGTCAACGTTTTCGTTGATCATCGTGCAGGATTCGTCGTTTATCAATGGTAGAGAACAGTACCTCATGACATGTCTCTCGTAGGCTCTCGTTTTTCTATTTGTGAGTTTCAATCTCACCTTCATGCAAGTCTTTGGACTATCGCATTGAACTGTCGGAGTATCCTTGGTCACATTCAAACAACCGTCACTCGATTCACTGTGACATACGTAACATCTCTTACCTAATGAATATAACGAAACAATAAATATTATATAATTATAAACATACGTTATTTTTTCTCACTTTTTGGAACCTTCTTTGCAACCAATGAAGACATTAGTGCTATAATTATGATGCAGATTACAAAATAAATGAACTTCAAATGCATGTCAATGGGTTTCAATTAAAACATTGCATATGACACTTTTTTTTAATAATTAGCTTGTCTAGCTGCCTACATTAATTTTCCAAAAACTTCAGAAAATGTTACAAATTTATTGAAAGATATTACACATTTTCAGGATTAATAAATAATAAAAAAAATAAGTGTATCTCTCTATTAATCAAGTATTAATCTTCGGATTTGCAAGTGTTGTAGCATGGAATTTATCATTTCAATTAATTAAAAAAAAAATCAGAAAATATGACAAATTTATTGAAAGCTAGTACAAGTTTAAGAAATGATCTTTGAAAAAGTTAATTGAGTGTATCTTTCTATTAATCAAGTAAATCAGACATACATTAAGAGTTATGTAACTGACATATCTTCGGATTTGCAAGTGTTGTGGCATGGATTTTATCATTTCTATTAATTTTGAAAGCTATTACAAGTTTTCAGGATTAAGAAATGATTTTTGAAAAAAATAATTAATTGCATCTCTATAAATCAAGTAATTCAGAGACACATTAAGAGTTATGTAATTACTACTGATATGTCTTCGGATTTGCAAGTGCTATGGAATGGAATTTATCATTTCTATTAATTTTCCTAAATATTACTGAAAATGTTACACATTTATTGATAGCTATTACATGTTTTCAGCATTAAGAAATGATATTTGAAAAAAATAATTAAGTGTATCTCTCTATTAATCAAGTAAATCATATATACATTAAGGATTATGTAATTAGCACTGACATATCTTCGGATTTGCAAGTGTTGTGGCATGGATTTTATCATTTCTATTAATTTTTAAAAAATATTTCAGAAAATATGACAAATTTATTTTCAGTATTAAGAAATAATCTTTAAAAAAATTAATTGATTGTATCTTTCTATTAATCAAGTAATTCAGAGACACATTAAGTTATGTAATTACTACTGGTATGTCTTAGGATTTATAAGTGTTGTGGCATGGAATTTATCATTTCTATTAATTTTACAAATATATCAGTATTCAGATTTTGTATTAAAGAAATAAGAAAATTGTTGAGTCATAGATAACTTATAATTTTCTGCTTCTGTTTTGTATATTGAGTCATGGTATTGAGCTATTGTCTGAAAGTGAATCGTCGAAATTAATCACAATTGTTGTGGCAAACAGTTTATCACATTACAATTCTAAGAAGTATTTATGTAATTTCAATCTTATATAAACAAATTATTACCACTATTATTTAAGTCCCACTATTACTTCAAAAACATCAAATATTTAAATCAAAACTTATGAAACAAAATATTTGTTGTCCAATCAACAGAGGTTCTCGTATTTTATGGACTAATTTGTGTTGTTATGAAAATAATTAAAATTTTATATAAATTAAGAAATAATCATTATTTTACAAAGTGCAAATTATTAATATCATCATTATTAGTAAAATTAGTATAAACTATAATATATATAAACGAAAATGCAAACACGGCACAACAGAGCAAGTAAACAGAATAGTAAATACCATCTACCAAGACCTGGAAAGTAAAAGATACTGTTCGGCTGCCTTTTTAGACATATCTCAAGCTTTTGACAAAGTTTGGCATTCCTGACTACTATACAAAATAAACAAGAACCTGCCATATAATTAATTTAAAATAATAAAAGCATACCTCGATAATAGAAAGTTTCAGGTAAAAATACAAGACGAATACACCGATTTATATCAAATAGAATCAGGGGTGCCGCAGGGAAGTGTTTTAGGACCACTAAACTAACAATACTACGATTGCAACATTCGCTGATCTTGCAATCTTGGCATCAGATGAGAATTCAGCAGTGGCATCCAAATATCTACAGGAAAATTTAGATAAGCTACAAGAAAGGCTTAATAAATGGAGAAAAGCAGTTAACGAAATGAAATCCGTGCATAGCACATTCATGCTAAAGAAAAACACTTGCCCAATTATAAGACTTAATGGACAAGATCTGTCCAAACCAACAAAAGTCAAATATCTAGGCATGCGTCTAGACAGAAGACTTAACTGGAAAGATCACATTCAGGCTAAGAGGGAGCAATTAGAAATAAAGATTAGAAAACTCTACTAGCATCTAGGGATAAAGTCGGAATTATCAGTAAAATAAATTACTTATATACAAAGTAATACTGAAACAAGTATGAACGTATGGTATCCAATTGTGGGGTGCGGTCAGTAAATCAAATTATACAAAGGTTCCAATCAAAATGCCTAAGAAATATTATTAGGTCCCCATGGTTCGTCAGGAGTAAACAAATACACGAAGATCTTCATATAGATATGGTCGAGGATACAATACCAATATTTAGTAATATATACCAAGATAGACTGGAGTCACATACTAATGTTCTGGCTATTGGCCTACTCGACAACAGTGGAACCACAAATAGGCTGAAGCGTTGCAAATCACTAGATTTAATATATAGATTTAAGTAATTATTAATGTTCAAATCATCATAATGGTAAACTATCTACCGGGAAAGATTTTCCAATTAATGTCAACCGCAATCTTAAATTTACTCAATGTTCACATTGATGAACATACGACATAAAATATAAACAAAAGAATTTGTTCATGCAAGTATCTTTATTAACGATAATAAAATAGAAATTTCTGTTACAGAAATAGTACATTTTTTGGTTCATATTTTAAATAATTTACTTTAAAAACGAGTTTCATTAAAATTTGCTTTTTTTAATTTTCATACTTGACTTTAATGAATCCGCACTGATTGAAGCCGTACTTTACGAGGAATTACTGTAAATAAATAATGTATTGAAAATAATTGTAAAAATATATTCTATTTTTGCAAGTTTATCCAATTTTTTTTTAGCAAAACGATTTTATAAAAAGTATTAAAACATCTCTGATTTATGAACATTTAATTTGATTAATATCATTTTTATTACAGAGAATATATGGAAATTATGAAGTATATTATGATAAACTTAACAGTGTTTCGTGATGTGAGTTAATTTAGTCATAGGGGACCGACTGGAATTAATTGGTCATTTGAATCGACAGGTCAACAAAATTAACCTTTTACACAAACGTTCTCCCATTTATGAAATGCTCAAGTGTGTTTCTTTTTAATCCCAACGAACGATTACATTAATATCTATCGATTATAGGCAGTTCGTTAAACAAGGTAATGCATAGTTAAATGGTTGAATAATTGTTGATATATGTAGAATTTTATATGAATTTTGTAAAAATTGATATATAACCATTTTGTTAATGCATGGTTTAATTGTTACATAATATGTGAAAAAATTTGTAATAATATGAATATGATTTGAAGTAAGTTTGACTTATTTTTACATCAATATTTTTGTTGATAAAATTGTTTTATTTGTTATCATAAAGTATATGATAACAAATGAATGAATTAAGTAACGTTAGAAGGAATTTGTTGAAAAAAATATTGTAGACAAATCAATCAACAAATGATGTAAAAGTGCTAAAAGGTTATTTTGCTCTACTCGTAAACAATAAAAAAAAAACAACATCCTATAGTCAGACTGGAATGCGGTTTTGTTTATATATAGGTGTTTCTGTATTATACTAGTAATTCATATTTTTGCACGTCGATTGTGTTTACGTTTTCTTCTTTTTTTTGTACAATCTCTAATGACATGAATATGTGCTAGTTTCTGTTTAATAATAATCGTGAGTTGTAAAGTGGTCGTCCTGTCTGTATGCACGATCTTGTGAAAGAAAGAGAAGCAGAAGAAGGGAAAAAAGGTGAGTCCGTTGGTGGGGCTAATAAATATTGAAATTATACAGTTGTTGTATTAATGTTACAGAGTTTTAGTCTCAGTTGTCACAAACCGTACCGGACGCTCTCAACATTTTTCTAAAGTTACCTCCGATACAAACATAATGGCTCGTTACCAACTACACCTTCTAGTTCTTAGTTTAATTGCATACTTTTCTACAAGTAAGTCAACTTATATTTTATTTATTACTAATAAAACAAATTTACTTTTTTAATCATTTATTTAATAAGTTTGTAAACATCAATATAAGTAAATTATTTTAAGTATTAAATACAGCAATACCTCGGATAGTGCGGACTGTTTCAAGAATTAAATATATACAAAAATAAACCGCACTGAAAGAGACTTTTGTGTACTATTTTTTAGAATTTATTTTAATTCTGAAGAATTAAAATTTACCTATATTTTTTTTTAATTTTCAAACCGGACTATAGTAAACCTGGTCTGATCGAAATCACACTATGCGGGGTCTATTGCTCTACAACATTGATTATTATTTACTTGAAATAATTTATTGAAACAATAATAAAATTTCGCAAATATTTACAAATAAAACGAGTATTAAAAACTAAAAAAAACACACTTGAATTGTTGCGTTAATATAAATTTTTTACTTCAATTTCAATTTTTACTATGTTTTTTCTCATTGTATTTATTATAATGAGGAAAACTAATGTGATATAAACATTGCAAATAAACATGTAATTATAGATAAAAAAAAATTAACTTTATAACTTTTTACTCAAACTTCTATTCTTTGGATTTTAGTCTAAATTAAGGCTAATAAAAAATTGTAAATTAATTAATCCGTTCGTTAAATCTTGTATTTAATAAGATTTTTCTGATCGGTAGGAAAATTTACCATAAAAACAAGTATTCAATTACGTGAAACATTTGTTATTGCAACTCCTTCTTTTATTTTGTTAATTCTCAAAGCAAATTAATTTGTTTTGCAATTACATTTTTCCTTTGAATAATGTGAGAAAATTATCTTTGGTCAACGTCACAATGAACAGCGAAAGAGGAAGAAAAACATACGAAGATTAAGTATATAAGGATGGTGATTATTTTGACCGCAACTGGGCGTACGCTTCATTGTTTATTCCAAAATTGATGGTAATTGACATCCTCAGGTTTGCATGTCAACACGTAAGACACCAATTTCCCGAATGATGTAATGCATATTTAATAGAGGTTGTCCTCTTATTTAATTACAACCTGCAATTGCATAAGGAATTTGAATATCACGATGATGATATCATGCTATGTTCTCACTGCGCACTTTTATTTTTTTCTATATGTTTAGTAAAGTTTAACAAGTTTGTTTACTAGTACAATTTTTCATAATGTACTTACAATTTTGCTTACTTTTATTATTTTTCAATGATTTATATATCTTACGGGAAAAGTACATAATTTTGAACATAAAAGTACAAAAATACTTATTTTTACCGTAAAAAATTGGTATAAGTATAAATCTTACAGTTGATTCATATATATACTTTTACCGGTAAATGTAAATAAAAATAATGTATAGATTTACCGGTAATGTACTTATCGATTATGTACTCTTACCGTAACATATACATATAAATCAATTGTAAATTTTTAATAGATTTAAAAGATGAAAATATTACAAATTAAAATATTAATTTTTATTGCTTCATTTCTTAATATAGAATTCTTTTGCATATATTATTTGTTATAATTAAAATGTACATGTAAACTTTTTGTCCATACAAAAGATTGTTTTAGTAATCTTTCTTGTATTAGAATACAATTGTCTTGGAATAAATGGAATTTGTTTGTTCCATTGTAATTATTGTGAGTGCAATTAGTGAATTGAATCATATCGGATCGTGACTAAAGCGGTCTAGAATCTTTCATAACTACGCAGCAAACACGCTTGGTTACATCACAACAATGCTGTCGGCTTTATTTATTTACGTCCTTTTGTTTATTTACAAATTTTCAAGGTAAGCCAGAAATTCGCAGAGTTTGTTTGTATATAGAAAAAATAACATAAATAAAAACATATAGATAGATAGATGAAATGGATACAAACTGAAACGAATTTCATTGCCTTGTTTACAATTATATCATTCCGTTTTCTCCTCGTCCATTTGGGACGATGTTGCGTAAAGGCGCATAACGGGTTCTGGAGGCTTTCACTTCAGCAATGCGTTTACAAAACGCAAAACTATTTTCGAATCATTGATTTTGTGCTCATTAATTTTTCGTTTCCTTTTTTTCTCTTCTTATTGCAGGCGATGCTCTTAGATGTTGGTCCTGCTCTTCGGACATGGATTTACCATGTTCGGATTACTTCAACACGACCGCGCTGAGCAGACAATACAATCGTTACGGAAACGCTCCTCAGCTGACGGAATGCACACACAACAATCAGCTCACTTACCAAACGGGCAAGCCAGTTTGCTCCAAGAAAGTACAGACATGTAATGCATACTTCCTCTATCCGTGAGATCTTCAGATGTATTCATTTCAATTTGTTTTGTTCTTTAGCTTATGGAAGAACGACCTACATTCGCCAATGCATGTATCTTCACGAGCAGGAGAAAGTTGGTCCATGCCCAGCTGAAACCACAACAAGCGCAACGACTATCGATTTCTGCGAGTATTGCGACTATGATGGTTGCAACGGATCTTCGAGCCTGAAGAGCGCTCTCCTCCTCACCATTATCTCACCATTGCTTTATTTCTTCTTGAAATATTAGATAACATTATTATTAATTACGTTTATTTTAATTTTATTTTGTTAAATTTTTAAATTGCGTTTGTTATTAATTATTATATTTTTTTTTTGTTTGTTGTTGTAAATAATACTGAGAGTGTTTTATTTAGAATTTTATTTTCTGTTAACATTTTGGGTTTAGATTGTATTTAATAAACAACACAACTATTGTATAAATGTAAACAGGTGTGATTCATGCTTCGCGTTGTTATTAAAACCTTGACTCTAATTCAAGTGTGATTAATGAATGTCCTCTTATTTTGTCTTCTATTCCGCACTTGCTGGAACGTTTATTGAGCGAAACATTTTACGTATTCAAAACTCATATTTGTCGGACAATCTACACATGTTAATATAATGTCGATTGTATCATCAAATATTTAGAGATATTGTGATTTCATACTTTTTTCCTTAAAGTTGTAAATAAATTATTTACCTTGAAAATTAACATAATCATTTTTTTTGAAACTTTTTTCGTTTCATAAACAATTGTCAACTTCAATTAGGATTAAGAAATCCTTGGACATCTTGGATTATATCGTAGTTATGTCGTTGCGGAGTCTTAGAGGGGTTTATGAATATTAAATGCAATATTCTTAATTAGTTTTATTATACACATCGAAGTTTTATTGAGAAGTCAACCATACAATAGTTGATCTCAGGAATAATTGCTAAGAGTTACATTCTCCTCTTAAGTTAGTATTTATGAAGTAAGTGCTCTTCCTTGGATTCTCCCAAGTAAGACCATGTTCTTCGTTGGAGTCTCTTACTAAGACTAAATTATATAATACAAAAATGTGTTCATTTCAAAAAGGAACTGTGTGGGAGTTAAGGAAATCAGTTTTGAGCTTGTGGAAAATACAACCGTTTCTTTATCAAAGTTTTAAGATCCTACCCAAATATTTAGGGGCGGATGGAGGCTGTTAAGTAGTGATACAATAGACACAATAAATAATCACGTACAAGTATCCGTTTGTATATTTGATGGATACATGAAATATGATTTGTAATAAATAATAGGAAAGTGGTAGACCTAACAAATATACATATTAGTTATACAATAGATGACAACAAAATGGTCGGAAACGACAGTTTTATGCACTAGGTTTAGTGTTTAAGGCCCATAAAAAACTATTGGAAATAGTATTAAAGAATACAAATTTTGTTGTTAAATTTGATTGTCTGAGGTGTCGAAGGTGTAAGAGTACTGGTGCTTAGGGTGTACAACAACCTTAATGTGACCCTGTCTATAAATATTATTATTTTATTGCATTATTAATCAATGATGTAATTTTGGAACTGTATGAAAATGACATCATTTTGACTTAAGTCATAAACAGTAAAATTAATAATGACGTAAGTTATTTTTCACATACTATTAATATTCAAGAAATTTAAAACTTTTAAAGTATTTTTCATAATTGTATTAAAATTTAGTTAAATAAATCAATCGAATGGAAACTTCAAAACACGCCTTCACTCATTATTTTACTGTTAAAACGTCTTCTAGCAATGGTATTTTTTATCGTTTGAACTTTCTCTTCCGCCTATTTCATAATTTATACAAATCAGGTAGTAAACTGTTGAAGAAATCGTGATCGGCTGTAGATGTTATATTTCTGCGTGCGTTTATTCATTTGATGATATTCTCATAGATGATTTTCTTCTTTCAAATGTTTCCTCATATATATCTTGATTTTATATGATTGTGACTCCAAAAATCCTATTGATATTCATAGGTCTCTGGATCCGATTGATCTTGCACATCCCCTGCAATTTACATTTAAATTTGATTTATGGAACGTTGAATTGCCTTTGCTAAAATAGTTTCAGGAGATTTACATAAACAGCAATCAAATGTTTCAATTTCTTATACTGTACAATGAATTTTCATAATTTTAAATTTAAATACAGAGCAACATTTCATGGAATTGTATCACGAAAATCTGATACGAAAGGACGTTGGTTCGAGTCCCAAAAACCAATAAAATTTGTGGGGGCTGTTAAACCCGAAAGGGGTAGAAACAGGACCGAAAGTAATTTATATCAATAAATACATTGATATAAATCTCTTTAAATAATTATAAAAAAAATCATGGAATTTACATATAGGCATTTTTACTTACTAAACATAAAAAATCCCGGTGGCAATCAAAATCCGGACGTTCGAAATCCCGACAATCAAAATCCCGACATTCGAAATCCCGACGTTCGAAATCCCGACTGTATCGAAATCCCGACATTCGAACTCCCGACTATATCAAAATCCCGACAACCATAATCCCGACTATATTTTCTATAATTTCGATACAGTCGGGATTTCAATAGACGGGATTTCGGTTGTCGGGCTTTCGATATAGACCCAAAAAATCCATATAGATTCTTATGATATCACTTTTGTAATTTATTGCCTAAAATAATGAATAATTTTAAAATTATACAACAGATTTTAATTAATTGAAATTGTTTGTAAATTTGGTTGCATACATTGTATACTTATAAATTGTCTTATCATTAGTAATTATTATTTAATTAAATTTTTGTTAATTTGTACTTTCTGTTTGTTAATTACATTAATTGTAACAACAAACTATTTTTTAAGCATTATTGCATTTCTATTTTGAATAAATATACATTAATGTAATAGTAGAAATGTATTTGTTGTTATGAAATTATTTGTTAAAAAAATAATTTTTCAAAATAATTATTATATGATTTTATTGTAGAAATTACTAATACTTAAATCTTCATGTTTCCAATTAATTTCAAATGTCCCGCCGAAGTGGGTGTAGCCCAGCACTCCTCGTTAACTGGTCATCAATGGTCATTTTAGATATTTACCAACAAGCCAAAAAAAATTAGTTTTGTTTTTGTTTGAGTGATTTTCTCCACAAGAGATCTTAAAATGAAATATATATTAATTGCAATAGTTTCTACATTATTTGTAGCATCAAGTAAGTATTAAATAATAAACAATTGAATAAGTTAAGTACATGATAACTTAAGTATGCAATAACCAAAAATTATAGGTGATGCTATAAGGTGTTACCAGTGTGCCTCAAGTGAAGATGGCAAAGGCGAAGACAATTGTGGAGCCTACGTCAAGTTTGATGTGGATAGGAACATTGCTGTTGATTGTAACAGCGAGGAAAGTAAAATGCCAGGCACATTTTGCATGAAAGTCACACAACAAGGTCCAATTGGGTTCATATGTAAGTGGAATTAAGTTTGAACAATATTTGTTATTTGTAACAATTCAATTTTGTAGGGGATGGTAGATGGAGACAAGTGATTCGGAGATGTGCTTCAGTTGCTGACACTGGTGTAACAGGTGTATGCAATTGGGGTGTTTACGAGAATGGAGTTTACTGGGAGGAATGTTATTGTTCCAACGATGAGTGCAATTCAGCAGAATCAAAGACTGTTTCCATGACATTGCTGGCATCTGTTTTAATCCTAAGTTCTGTAGTTATGAGGATTATTTTATAGAATCAACAAAAGACTACTTTTATAGAAATTATTTTTCATGAACTCCATTGATTGTGATAAATATTCCGTCCAAAATATTTTAATTATACAAATTATAACGTTTTTGTAGATCTGCATGTATAAAAAGTATTTTAAATGTTTAATATAACTAATTTTTATATATTTTTTTGTATTGTTTTGCTTACATCAGGGATGAGCAACCTTTATACAACAAATTTAAAAGTTTCCTGAAACTGTTTCATAATATGAACACTAAAGATGATAAACATTAATTATTGTAATTTAATGGCCTTTTTTTGGTATTTAACAAGTCAAAAAGTAAAGATTTGACGGGCTGCACGAAAAACGTATGCAGGCCGCAGCTTTCTCATCCCTGGTCTACATTGATTAGGAACTGTACAATTAAAACAGAAATCACATGTAATAAATATATTTTTTTTGCCACATTTTAAAATATATATATTTTTAAACATAATTTACATTAACATACTTTTTTTTTTGTAATATTATGGAACACATTTATTTACATCCATAGATAATAAGTGTATGATATCGCAGGGCATTCCACTTTGCAGAAATTATTAATTTCATCCACAAAATCAACGTTAATGGGAATTCCCGAAAAAAAAAAGAAACGGTAAGTTCTGGATAAAACTAAATCATTTCGTGAACCAAAAAAAGAAACAAAAATAAGTCTAAACAGCAAAAATTCTTACATTTTAATATAAAGATTGAACTGTGCTTCGTAACGAAAGGTTAACTCATCCTATGATTTTATATATTACGTATTAGTAATAACTGATACTTCGTTGTTAAATCTGTCGTTTTTTATTAATAATATGTCTTTTTTTCTTCTTGAAAGTAAAACTTGAATATTTGTAAAGATCTGCGTAGAGTTAACAGTTCGTTATGAAAATCGGTTCAATCTTATGAATGCATTATTATAAAAATGTGATCTTGTGAAGCATTAGAACTAAACCACATTTTACAATGCAATCTAATACACGCATTTGTTTTCTCTACAACCTATCTCGTATACAACAATCAGATATACTTTTAACAATGAAACATTTATTATAGTAATATATATATTTGTATGATACTATTCATCATCACGCGTAACGATAATATCTTTGGTTCAGATTTAGTATCGCCTATATCTATGCATCTTATCTAATTGTTATTCTATACACATTTAGTCATTAGATATGGAAACTAATCGATACCAAAACACAAACGAAACAAAAAAATTTAAGAAATTTTGCACGGATCGAGTCGAATTTAATGAGCTGCGTTGTGATGCACGATTTCAGACCCATTTCTATTGGTTTATACAAATATTGTCGACCACCGACTAACTCCCACTCTTACAATAGTAGTAATAGTAATTACATAACAATAGGTTTACACCTGTTTGAAAGACCAAGTCCAAGATGCGAGTACGTATGTACAAATCAAATGGATTCAATTATGTAATTTGATTATGGAATGTGTAGTTCATTCATCAAATCAGAGTTAATTTATAGTAGTATTATCTTAATGTTATGAATTAATATTATTGTTTATTTATTTAGAAGAATGTAGATTGCGCCACCTGAGACGATTCTTCGAGTTTTACTTTAGAATTCCACTTTGTTTGGAAGCAAATCAGGTTGCAATTTGTTCCATTTAAACAGTAAAAACTAACATCGCAACACCATTTAAAAATATATTCATCAAATCTTTTATACAGAGTTTACGATAATTGTTATTATTTTTCAGGAATTTTATACAGGTCGATTCAAAATACAGTGGAACATCGCTTAACGAGCACCTCGCATAACGAATTGTAAGAAAAATGACTCGCTTAACGAGCGACGTTTCGCATAACGAGTGACGATGAGAAGAGAAGACCCGGATTGCGCGATTGCTACATCATTTTTAAAACTTGTGTACACATATTATGTGTATTTTTCAATATGTTTCACTATACAAGTAAAAATCCAGAAATTTTGGAACGAATTAAAATCGTTAAGCGTGGTTCCACTATATATATAATTTTGCGAATAACGAGAAAAATGATTTGTGCAACAGTTTTAGATGTGAATCCATTAAATCTCTTAATTTAAGTCTTTATAAAAATATGATTATTGTTAGAATTAAATAATTTAGAGTCAATTTATTGTAAACTCTGTATAAGATATAATAACTATTTCATATATATACACATATAAAAGCATTACCTATTCTATTAAGTTTTCCTATATCAAAAATCAGTCATTATATGTTATATTTACATATAATTTATTTTAATGCTCACACCAATCTTCACTACTGAACCTGAATGAGTTGTCCTTTCCTCATGAAACAACGAAATATGACTAGGATCATTCGAAAATAAATATTGTCAGGTCGATTATATTATTTTTTTTGTACACACAACTAAACATACAACTATTATTATAAACTCGGTATTTTCACGTTTTCTCAATCAACATTGAGAAAATGCGATTTTTTTTTGAAATACCTGAGTTGAGACTACTGGTTTTAAAGCGTGCTTTGGATTCCCATTTGACTATTCTGGCTATCATTTCTGGAATGGCTTGCGAATGAGACAACTATACATTACAATACACATGACTTAAAATCTGACATATAGGTAAATCTAGATAGACATGCATTCGAAATAAATATCACAAAATGAAGGAAATGAGGAGGAAATTGGAAATTCACAACTCTTCGGTGACTTTCGAGAGCAGGCATCCCGGCTTCGCGGTCATCGGACTCTGCATTGGACCGGCCAGGCTGCTGAAGTAGCTTCCGGGTTTCGGTTTGATGTGCCGGTTGTTCATCTCCATGTGCACGATTTTCATGAATTCTATTTGCGCGGCAAGCTTCTGGATTTCTTCCTGAAAATAAAAATAAGATGTTTTTTTTAGTGGAGCCAAGATTTATGTTGCGGAAGGATAACCTTTAGCTCTTCGTTCTCTTGGTACAAGTCTGGTGGATCTTCCGGAACTAAACCGATGCCGTTGAGGGAGAACGAAGCAGTCACTCCTCTGGATCGAGCCCTGTTATCCCATTGATCGCCCTGACCTTTCAGCACTCTTATTACCTACGACGAAATGAGTGGAAAAGTATATAGACTTGATTGATTTAATGTATGAATTTACCTTAGGTCCGAAGACGAGAACTATGGTGACTGTGGTCGATAGCTGCGTTCTGACGAAGCCAAGTAGGTACTTGATGTCCGGACCTGCTTGAGGGAAAATGAGCAAGCTGAAATGAACGAGACACAATTAGCATTAACGAGTGAGATGTGCGAGCTGCGAATGGGCACTGACTGAAAAGCTACCATGGTGCAATTAACGAGTGCTATGTTGTAAATGGCGTAGCTTATGAGTCGGGCTTCGTTAAACAGGGACTCGGCGTTCCTAACGTTATAGCAAACTCGAATTCCCCAAGCCAAGAACAGCACTTCTCCTGCAAAATAAAACGAAAAGCTCATTATCAGCTGAAAACTTGTGCATAGGAATTCGTATACCTATCGCCAGACTGTGATCCCACCAATTGTACGAGCATTGTTTGAACTTTAAGCTCTCCTGGTCTTCAATTTCCTCGGCGACGGGAGTCGCGGATAACGTCCACGTGCTCAGATAGATCAGCATTACCAGCAAAATCGGAACCATCCACTGCAGAAGCTGCTTATCTGTTAGCTTCACTTTATGCGCGGATTTCACACGATAAGTTAGAGAAACTCTGAAATTAAAAAGTTTTCTCTTTATTCGGCTTAATTTAACACCACCAAAACTTTTTTAATATACAAAGCTTATAGACGCATCCCCCCAACTACACGCACGTCCATTCCATTTAGATTCACAGCAAAACATGTAGAAAAACAATGTAATTATGTAATCCAATATTTTCAATAAAAATATCATATCAATAAAGAAAGATCATAACATAATTTACTTTAAACGAATTATGTTGCAATTCAGCAACAGCTACAATATTGCAATTTAATCCTCGCGATTCGCCGAGTTTTACACTTTTTTTTTTGATGTTTCGTAAATGTTTTCATTATTGGCTCTGTTCGAGAATTACTTAATCAATTTCCACTCGATGAACGATTCCAATAACCTTTGCCGTATCAACGGTGTATTTTTAAATTAACTGCCGGTTCCTGAAACCAATAAATGTCACTGCTTCCGAACGTTCGCGTAATAGCACAATATAAATGCAATCTAAAATCTATTTGTACATTCTTTTGCAACTGAAGTTTCATTATTACTTTTTCTTACTTTTAATATTAAATTGTGATATACAAAATTATGCATACAGAAAATATGTAATTATAATCGTTACATAATTAATACATGGGTATCAACTATCAAAACTCGTAAACTGTAAATTGATGTTTTGTAGTTACGTTCATATTTATATCACTGGAAATAATTGATTTGAACTTTCGATCAATTTTATGTCTTTATTCGATCATCAATCTGTTGAATTGAGATACGAAAAGATACATTAATGTGTTAATAGTAGAATTATACGATTATTTTATGATGTTCAATGTTACAAAGATTGTATTAATTGGAAAAACGAATCTGTACAATGGAGAAAGAAATATTGTCGTTTTTAAAGTATTAAAGTAATAACTTCGGAGAATAATCCAGCTTTTACGGTTTGTCGGTTGGTTGGTCGGTTTAATAATGAATAAACTTTGATACTAACTTACTGAACGTTGTTCGCTATTAAGCATTATGGCTTCGGAACTGCAGGAGTTGAATAACGTGCTGTTTCGCCTGCAGGCTTATGAGATTGTTTGTAGTTCACTTCAGATATAATGATTTTGTTTGTTATTTAAAAACAAACAAAAATAAGAGGAAACACCACCATCAAACAGCAGCATATCATTTTTTTTTCATTCAAAATATGATACATTTTATTTTTCCTGTTCCAAAAATTATTAATTTGGATCACAATTAATTGAGCGCTAAAATTATTGATAATATAGATAATTATTTGTATATAGTTTCACCGGCGCATCCACAGAAATCTGTAAATATATTGTATTAATTTATTATTAAAAAAAAATGAATTAAAAATGTAATTAATTGTGTTAATGATCCAACAAATTTATTTGTAGCCTACTGCAAAGAGTATTTCATCAGTTCCTCGCTTTGACACAAGGTGACAGCTGTCATTTCGAGTTATATAAAAAAGTGTTACTCAACATTGCGACCCATGGGTTGAGAGACACTGAGTATATAAATTTCTGAAATTTTTGTTCGAGCTTGAATGGAATCAAAATTCGTAACACGTGTTGAGGGGTTTGCGTCGCGTGCGATTATATAAGTATGTGGACAGGGTACGGTACCTCCAAGTTTTCATTAATAATGCGGTGTACGTGATGCAGAATCCGAGGTGTCTGGACCATTTTGTTGCTATGCAGGAGTACGTATCCAAGACGGGAAAGATTGCAGCCATCTAAAAATATTCGACGATGATGTCTCTCGTCCCCTCGGTAAATTCATTTATAACCACCCCAACCCCCGCACACACACACACTCACTCACCTCTAAATACATGGTGGCGCAACCGAGAAGCGTGATCGAGAGGAAAATTGGACTGGCCACTTTGAAAACCTTCAACTTTCTGTGATTGAACATGTACATGATGAGGATCACCGTGCAGAAAGCGCAAGTAACGCTGAACACCAGAAGAGTTATTCTGGAATTGATGGATATGGATGGGTTAAGTTGATTTGTAATCATTTGTTTCGAAAATACCTGAAGGGCCAATGGTAAGTGGCTAAACACGGCTGAGGTCCATGGCAGAAGCTGCAACCCGGAGCGCACTTCAAGCACGTGAAGATGTTCTCCAAAGCCTTGCTGTTGTTCTGAGCCCAAGCAACTGGAATACAAATAATTAATAAAATATTTTGATCAACTTAAATTAATTTACCTTCAACAAGAGTTCCATTAAATATTCCGCCGTGATGCGGGGAATAGTATCCGTTCCTGCACTGACACTGATACGAGCCTCTGCTCCAGCTGATCTGCGACAATTGAGGACGATAGTAACACTAGAAACATAAAATAACCATAACAACGCCATAATCCAAACTAAATCCACATCTTTACCTTTGAAGTAACATTGTCGCATTTATGGGAACCGTGGAAGACCACGATTTGCGATAGGGATGGAGAATCGGCCTTGGGTTCGCACTGGTTGATCTGCAACGTTGATACGTCGATGTCTAAGCTCAGGAAGCCCTTGAGGCTTCGGAGGGGGATAATTAGTAAAATTGCTGCTGCTTTTGATGTGTGATAGGTATATTACCCGTGTCTGCCTTGCGATGGAACTGGAACGCTGTAGGAAATGAGCCATTTTGAGGCCCCGCAGGAATAGTAAGGATACGTCCACCAGCCTCTGTAAGATAGATTCGCCGGGCTTTCCATAAATTTTGGTGAACGCAAACCCGGACTCGAATCCGCATCTTCATACCTGTCACAGTTACAATCATACATTCAATTTACAATTCTAAAAGATTTGTTCAATTTACACATCTTGAAACAACTAAAAGTGTATTTGTTCAAAAATATTGTCTAAATTTCTTTCCTACGAATTGTAAAAACAGATTATCTTATCTGTACTAACCTCCCATAACTACACTGACTTATCCTAGCATATTACCAAGCAGAGTTTCTCAATGAATCGTCAAAATGACAGATGACACCTTGTCTTAAAACGTCAAAAAATTTATATTTTATATAATTGGGTCGCAGTACAATTACAAAACAAAAATGTTCTAACCTTAGTGAACCTTAATTTAAATTATGAAAAATAATCGAAATGAATATTTAAAGATTTTAAAAATATTGTCTAATAAAAATATTCACATAAAATAAAATTTGAATTACAAATTAGTCGATTATATAATCTGTTCTAACCAAAATGACAGCTGTCCTCTTGCGTCAAAAAAATATGTAATAAATAATTGGGTCGCAGCTCAACTATGGAACACATATATTATGTCGTGTAGCAAAATAGTAGAGAAACGCTGATCTAAACTATCTTAACCTTACTATACTTAATCTGTATTGATGTACCATAGCCTATCTTAAAAAAATATTGTCTATTAATAAACCTTAAAATAACATATGAATTATAAAATAGTCATTTATTTAATCTGTTTTAACCTCTCATAACTATATTGACTTATCCTAACATATTCTAACTTCTCCAAACTTAATAGTAAGGATACGTCTACCAGCTTAACATATACTAATCTTAATTTAAATTATGTAAAAAATCATAATTACGTAGAGATAGTAACAAATGTAATAAAAAAAAAAGCAAAGTAACTGCATGATCAGGGCCGCTGCAAGAATATATTGCGCTCAGGGCAAACCATCTAATTTGCGCCCGCATCTCAAGAAATCATAGGGACCAAATATTTAATTCGCGCCCCCTTCCTTTCATGAAAGCAATACTATTACCTATTATACTATGCCTTATTGACGCGCTGTCAATAAGGTATAAGGCATTATGTATTTATTTGGAAATTCAAATCAAACGTACGATACACGATTCACATGTGAATAACACGCAAGATCAAATAGTTATTATGTAATAAAATATCTTGTTTAATGGAAAGCAAACTTGTTTTAGTGCGTACCCAATTTGAGCGATATTCATTTCGGCAAGGATGAAATGGGGATTCAGAAGTTTGTTTAGATTTAATTTAATGGAAGGTATTAACCATTTTCCTGAAAGGGTCTATAGCCATCATTTATTCGATTACGTAACATATGCACATAAACCAATTAATACTACTAAAATATTTATATAAGCAACCCCACATATATTTAGTTATTATTTATATAATAAATGTTACTTTACTAATTGGATAAACTAGCGTATCTAAATTTTTAAAATTTCCATATTTATTAAAATTATTTACTTTAAGGCAATAAATTACAATATGCAAATTAATAAAATACATTGAATTTATTAAGATTGTTTACTTTGAACAGTGTAGCCAATAAATTGTAATAACTGGAAGGAACTTTATAGTGCACATATATTTAGTTATTATTTATATAATAAATGTTACTTTACTAATTGGATAAACTAGCGTATCTAAATTTTTAAAATTTCAATATTTATTAAAACAATTTACTTTAAGGCAATAAATTACAATATGAAAATTAATAAAATTTGAATTTATTAAGTTTGTTTACTTTAAACAGTGCAGCCAATAAATTGTAATAACTGGAAGGAACTTTAGAGTAAGTGGTTTTTTTTTTGCAGCGTAAGAGATACTGCTATTTTTCCCTGAGGTCATCGTGTTTCTTCTTTATATTAAAGAAAAAAAATAGGAGTGTAATCCCAAGCGGAAAGACTGGAGAATTTTTCCCGAACGTCCCGGTCTTGGCAAACAATTATGAATGCGATAACTGCAGACCCATGAATTATTCAAATCTCAACGAACTAACTAACTAGCTAACTCACTTCGTTTCTTAAATGAAAACATACTTCATGAAACGTTTAATTAATTTGAATTTTTACAAGTTTTCTTTTCTCAAACATTTCACATAAATATTTATTTTTAATAAGAATTTTATAAAATTATTTTTAATATGTTTCACATCGCAAAATGCAATAATATTACCTGCAAAAAGTTTTTTTTTGCATTCAATCAATAAAAAATTAAACAAAAATACAGTAAATATAGTGAAGTAAAAAGTTTAGAGCGTTGTCATTCTATAGTATAGAATCTATACTGTGACTTAAAGGCGATATAACACTTGAAAAAAAGTTCTTTGACAGTTTTGTGTTTAGTGAATCCAGTTATGTATTAGAGCGTTCCAAAATGGAGGTAAAAAGAGAAAATTCCATACATTCTTCAGTACCACTACGGAAAAACGGAGCTGGTGGCCAAAACATTGTGTTGTTTATGGACCTAATATAGTATAGAATGCAACAGCAAAGCGTTGGTCCCAATGCTTCCATTCTGGTAATATGGACGTCGAAGATGAGACACGCTCTGGTAGGCCAATCGTCGAAAATATATCATGGAATAAAATCATGGAAATCGTCGAATCAGACCGGAACGCGAGCACTTATTCCATTGCCCAGGAACTGAAGATTAGCCAGAAAACCTTTTGGAACCATTTGCATAAGGCTGGTCTCAAGAAGAAGCTCAAAGTATGGGACAAAACGCTCAGAACTTTTTACTTCGCCCATATAATTTATTTAGTTTATAAGTTTTCAATTGAATGTTGAGGGTTTTCTGAGAACGTTTCAATTAATTAATCCAAATAATATGTTGCTTAACTTTCGTATAAAGTATAATAAACTGAGCGCCATATATAGTTCAAACTTTTAATTTTGGAAATTAAAAAAAAATGATTGCAATTATTCAAATACGAATTCTCACAGTTAATAAATCACTAAATCAAGTCGATTTAAATTGATGGAGGCTTCACTTTATAAAAATATGGATTTTAAAAATTCCTTGCGACTTGATTTTCCGAAGATATTTTGTGAGAAAAGGTCATTTTTTGTTATTGCGTTTTGCCTCTGTTATTCCATCAGCGGAACAGATTCGAAACGGATTGTTATTGGAAAAATATTCAGCTATGCATGTAGATGACGTATATGAAAATGGAGGAAAATGTCAGAGGGTATGTACGCTGTAAATGTATGTGGGAGTACGTATTCGTCGGAAAATTCAAATGGAAATGCGAATTGTTTTCATATTTGTTTGCTTTTTATTTCATTTTTTCTACGAATATCAATTGATAAATGGTAGTAAAACTGTTTACATCACTTCGTTATAAGCATTTTTTTAATTGTTGTTCAAAAAAAATAAATATTTTGATTCAATTTCCTTTTGATGTTAAAACAAAAATATTCCTATTTATTCTATTTGGATCTTATATATTGTCTACATATATGTTTACAGAATTGATATCAAATATGACTTATTAATTTGCATAAAGGATGCGGGTAATTGAATTCACCGGAATATTGGGTGGATCAATACATAAAGGATGCATGCAAGGAATATTGGTTTGATATCTTGTACACGAACCAAGGGTATTCGGAGTACGGCCGTTGTCCTACTTCGGGAATGTTTTCAGTTAACTTCCTGGGACCGCCCATCTCCAATCCTTGCCTCTGCCACCAGGCGCAATTAGCTAATTGCCCGTTGGAGGCGTTTATTGCCAGAACTCTTGCGGACACGACACTCTGATCCGACACCAACAGGTTCCGGGATATGGCGTCCTGTAAACCTGCAACGTACAGATCTAATTATTATCACAAAACTCCTATATATCCTTCATTAATCCTCATTACATCATATCTCCTTCCTTTATACGATTATTTTAATGATTATTACCTAAAATTACTTCTGCAATTTCATATTATGATTACGTAAAATTAAAGATCTACAAAAGCGTTTCTCAACCTTTTTGTGCAACACATTTGTTTGTAGTTACACTACGATTACTACGACTCAATTGTGTGTGATATCGCCAAATCTTCGCTATTCTGTATTCTGACAGCTGTCATTTTGTAACCTATTAATAATCTAACCTATGGGGTTGCAGATTGAGAAACGTTGATCTACAACGTATAGCTATAATAATGAAAAACAACATATTTTTACAGAATTCCGACCTTATATCTTATTGTATTATGTTTACTTTTCATTGGATCTAAACAACTTCCCAGTTTTTAACGAAATGTAGCACATATTATTACTTAATCAATTAAATTTAAACAGTAAAATGTTAATAGTTTTTTTTTCACATTGATACATAAATTTATAACTATATTTGAAAATTCAGAAAGTTTCTCTCAATTAAATAAGACTACTAAGGTAGAGTGACCTTCAAAATATCTTAAAATATTGTAGTAAAATTAATATCTTCCAATAATTAATACATTCTCCGACAAAATCAAAACATAGCAATTTCTTGTAATTACAATGTCAAATCTTAAAAAAACGATCACTTTTTGTATATAGATTTAAACTAAATTGAAATAATAGATAAGATGAGAGAAGAAAAAAATAAAATGAAACGTTATTGTTTGATACAAAAATCGAAATTTATATTTCATTGTCGTTTTTTTAAATAATGAGTAATTGATTTGTGAGAAAATTTCAGAATCATTAAAGTCCTTGTTCAATGGTATCTAATCTAATTCAATGAAAAATAATAACACTCAAAAATAAATAAAATACTCATTTCGATATAAATATGCGTCATCTATTTTACAAATTGTAAATTTATCAAAATTTAATTTTAAAGAAATATTGTATTGAAAAAAATATGATAGTAAATTTCATGTAAAATAGTTTGTTTTTAATTAACACGATTATTGTAGTGATTTCATCGATGTTATTATTAAATTTGACTGGAATTTCATGTAATGAATTATTATTTTATGTATGGCTGTTAACATAAGTTCTGTCCGTTTCTTTACAAATTAAAAAATCCGCTCCAAAAGTAAAAACAATTGTTAAAGATTATATAAAATTAACTATTAATGTCTGTTTTTTTATTTTTTTTTTGCTGGGAAGAAGTTCTGAATAATAAAGGAGAATACATTGGAGTCGCTTATGTATTTTGTATTTGTTGTAATTTTCTATTGTTGTGTCCTCTTATGACCAAGTTATTCAATAACTTGTAATGAAGTTATTTCGCATAAATTGTACTACAAATTATCATCATGTCATCGCAAAATGTCATGTCACCTTATACCAAATATTGTTGGGATGTTTAAATTGAATACTTGATACTTTTTTATTTTCTTCCTTTTTATTAATAAGATGCAAGAATTTTATAGTGATGCCATTATTTTGACATTGACGTTCATTGAAGTTTGCAGTTTACTATTGTTCATGAGGTTTAGAAGTAATGTCATGACTTAGTATATTCTCGAAACTACATAGCCGCAATGCTGGGAAGCCCAGATCTATAGTAGCCCTGTTTAGGGCCCTCAAATGACAAAAAGTATCTGGGGCCCACGACTTTCTTAATGTGTCTCTCTGAGAATCAACATTCCACGCTCATCATAAATTATTTATAACTGTTGTTTAGGGTTATGATTTTCTGTATTTCAAATCAAAGGGGCCCTCGCATAAAAAAATGTCTGGTGCTATCTGAGTACCTCACTACAAAATCACAATCGATTTAGAATTTAATTGTAGATTTGAAGTTCTACCCATTCTAATCAAACATTACCTAACCTAACCTTTGATGTATTTATTCGATAATTCGTTGATATAGATTGTAGTTCGAAATACTAGATAATAAATCTATTGACATTGTAGTTTTCTTTTGTATTGTTATTTTGTGTTAATCTAATAGAACGAACCTAACCTAATAAAATATCTACTAACCTAACTTAACCTAAACCCCTTATGTCAAATATACAAGAAAATCAACGTGACTATGAAAGAAAACAAATGACGAAATTTGACATTATTACTATTAACACAATTGTTTGTTGTAGAATAATTTTGTAACAAAACAAAAGTACGTTTTTCCATGTGCAAAGTTAATAGTACTTTGATCGCAATCACCACCGAAATAATTTATCATCGACGGAGATTGCTGTATCATTATCTAATCGCAAATCATTATCTCAGATAACGGGACGCTATTCAAATCACTTTGCACAACTCACATCACAGGTGACCGAATCGACGGAGTTAGTTCGAAGGATTTTTTTTTCTCTCCCCACAGTTGGATAAATCAACTTAATTGTTTTGGTGACATGCCTCCTCATTGTGTGATTTAACATATTCTTTTCACTTCACGTAAGTTACGAAAAAAAAACAACACATATATTAATATAATAATATAATAATTCTGACAGTGACATTGACATGGCGAAAATAGTAAACAACTATTTTCGATAAAGAACTAGAGCATTTCTAATATCGATTTACAATATACTTGTTGATAATTATTAGGATTTTAGTTAAATATAATTATTTTTTTGTGTATTTCAAGTCAATAATAAGTATTTAATATTAACAAAATACAAATTTACAGTAATATTATTAATATTAACAAATTCGTTATACGCACGTAGTTTTAATTAAATATTAACAATGTTTTCATTTCATAATTAAATTTATTTTGTAAATTGCAAACAACACCGAATTATTAATGTAATGTAATCAACAGATAAATCATTCAGCAAATAATAAATTTAAAAAAAAATAGCAGATAGGAGATGTCACATTAAAGTATTGCGATTTGAGACAATCAATTCGGATTTAGCGATAATTCGTTGAAGTGTGTTCACTTTAAGATGATGCATGCCTCTTGAGATTAATACTTTATAACTATGTTTACATAACATCTTGTTCGCTTTGTCTTATTTATGTGATCTTTCAATACAAAATATTTTTTTTTAAGTAATCAAAATTATATGTAAATCGTATTATTGGATTATAGGCTTATTGCTGATACAAAATATGCTTGTCATAGTACATAGAAACAATATATTTTCATTTAAATATAAATTTAGTTTAAGATAAACACATATATTTCAAATGAATCAATATTAGTTTTGTTTTAGTGAAAATTAGTTATTTCTATAAAATCTATATGATTTAGATCTTAGATTTATTCATTTTACACAAGTTTCATATTATATACTGTAACTACAATGAACAAATAAGTAAAACACTAGTACCACCAATGGGTCAAAATGACCCATTTTTTAAATATTAAAAAAATTAAACAAATTATTATTTAATGAATTTAAAATCATTTAAATCTGTCAAGACAATTTTTTTGTTGAGCACATAGTACAAATTGGTTTTTTGCAGATGACACAGAACGTTGTTGTTTACTTCTCGCCTTTGCGTGTACCAAAATAAAAAGGTTTCTTTTGAATGTAGGTGTCTTTTTCATTTCACCTGCATGATATTTTAATCAGAATTCTAAAATTTCGGAGAATCTTTTCAGTACATATTCCATCATGCAAATATGGTTCAAACAATGCACGTTAGGTCACTTTGACCCGGAATACGCTCTACAAATAAGTAGCTCTCGTCGCTATGCTAAAAATCTATCTATCTATCTGACCCATAGGGACACGTATGGGTTAAGATCGAAAATTCTAACGGAAATAACGTTAAAACAGTGGACTTTCTTGAGTGAAATGAATGTTTAATATTCGATGATGTATTTAAATATTGATTATTTTCAAGCACTCTCCGAAAAAGCTTAAACTAAAGTAGACAGATCTATAATAGAAAGATCTATTATTCAAAGTTTTTTTGTTTTGTATTCCAAAAAGAATATTATTTGAAATTTTACTTAATCTAAATGAGAACTAAAGTTTTAAATTCAGTAATAGACGCTAAATTGTATAATCAATTATAAATATGAAAAAGTAGTAAATGTGAAGAAAATTTAAAATATTTATAAAAGGAAATTCTGTATAATGAACAATTTTTATAATTATAATGCATTTAGTGAATATCTTCGAGGAGACTTGTAGCTTTATAAAAGTTGTACGTAATTTAATAGGCTTTGCTTTTTAAAAGCATTTTAATTAAACTGAATACAGCCCCAGTATTATACTAATAATGATTTAATAATTTCAATTAGGACGGAAAGACTGAGATCAATAGCATTTTTTATGTACGTAGAAGCATGTGTATTATTAATAAATTTCAATTAGAAAATTAATTGAAAATGTATGCAATATCATCAAATTTGCAAAATAAAAGTGTCATAGAAGAAGCGTTACTATTTATTTTTGCTGTTACTTTATTTTTGTTGAAATTATGACAGATTTTATGTGATAGTCTACACTATAAACTATACACACTTATTTCAATATTGCTGATTATACTTGAAAGCTTTAGATAAACTTGATATAAAATAAAATACAATGTTTTTGCATTTCAGTACAATTATAAATTTTATTTCATTTCAATAAATTCAAAACGTGTTTAACAAAACTGTTTTGCCTGAATGCAATAAATTATTATTTTCTAATTAATTTAAATAAGAGAATTAGTTGAAAATGTTTCATAAAATTGGCATAATAAAAGTGTCATAAAAGAAACTATTTACTTTTGCTGTTATTTTATTTTTATTGAAGTTATGACAGATTTTATGAGACAATTTTATACTGTAACACTATACAAATTTATTTCAAAATTGCTGTTGAAAGCTTTATAAAAACTTGAAATAAAATATATTGTTAATGGAAATGAAAAATAACAAAAAATATGCATTTCCCTACAATTATAAATTTTATCCATTTCAATAAATTGAAACGTGTTTAACAAAACGTTGTGTCTGAATGCAACTGAAATCTATAAAATATATGAAATAATAATAGCTAAAATTTATAGCGCACATAAAAAAATATTACATTTTAAATATTTTCAATTTATTTGAAGCAAGTTTAAACACAACGTGAATTCAACCGAAATATACTTTATAGTTTATAAATGATTTAAGTTTTAGAAAAGTATTTTAATCTTATTATTCTATTGTTTTTTTCAGTGAATTATGCAAGCATTACAGCTACCGCACAAATTATTAGACATCCTGAGGTGTTCCTTGTGTCAGTCATATTTATCCTGCGGCCCGACGAAAATACTTCCCGGAGGTTACAGCGCTTGCGGCCGATGCGTTCAGCCGGACGTGTTCCGATCCATACCTTACGACAACATCGCCTGCTACTTCATATACCCATGCAACTACGAGAAGAGAAATTGCCCGGAAGCATACGTGTGGAACGAGGTAGCAATTCACGAGAAGGAATGCTCGTACAGACCGGGATGCTTCTTCTGCTGCCGCCATCCGTGCAATTACGGCAAAAGACCCATCAGATACGTTGGAGGTAAAAACAATAATCCAAACAGTTTTCTTAATAGTTAACTGTAATTATTATGGTTTTTAGATGAAGCCAAGGTGTGTGCGACTGAAGATATACTGGAAAACTATTTGACTTGTATAATTTGCAATGGCTACTTGATCACCGTTCCCATTTTCATAACGGTTAAGGGTGCGAGCGTGTGTCATAGATGCGGACCCATCATCAACGATTTCGAACTGAGGAGGAATTATCCTTTGGAAACTTTGCTGAGGATGTTCTACATCAAATGCTCGTTCCGGATCCGGGGATGCACGGTTTTCCTGCCGTTTGGTGCTGAGTTGGAGCAGCACGAGCAGATTTGCGAGCATCAGCACATCGTTAGGAAGCCTTCAAATAGGCCTAAGCTGCAGCAAAATCCGACGGATCCGCCTAAGAAGCAAAAGGGATTGGTGCCTACGCATAGAGGACAGATTTGGGCAACGGTGACTTCAAACACCCTCTACGCTCCGGATCCAACTCTTCAGAAGCAGTTCCTCAACGACCTGAAGGGTCGCAAGATCGAGAGCAATGCTATAGGAAATGATAGCTCTTCTGTAATTAGCAATTACTCCGACGAAACCGTCGAAGATGATCGTTCGGTGCATTCGATACCGACCAGAGAAGTTCAAAGAACCGATTCTCATCGGATCAGGAACCAAGTGGAACGGACCCTCTCCAACAGGGTAGCTCCCAATCAATTGGTCGGATACAAGAACGTCCTCGAGGAGTTATTGGTCAAACAGAAACGCTACTAACGTACTACCAAATATGCTTATGTAACACGCCAAGTTGTAATAATAATAAAGGACACTTATTTATTTACCATTGTGATGGGCTAGTCCTAGATCTTGGAGAAGAGTAGCAGCGAGATCGGCCTTCTGACGAGCCGGTTCGAATCTCGTCGCATCGATGGGTATGGGCAAGGATCTGAACTGCTCCGTGATGCACAAATCACCCAAGCTCTTCGTGGCCACATCGTGGATCACGCGAAGACTCTCCTCTATCTCGTCCTGCAAAAATATTTCCAATAAATTTTGTGACAAAAAAAATCGGAATCGATGAAAATTTAATAAGATACTAAAAAAAAATAATATCGAAGAGACGGGAAATCCTTTTTCCAACATTCCCTCAATTTTATTAAACTCTTCAAAAAATAAAATCTCTAATAAATTGAATTTCCCTCTGCCAAATTTTCAATTAAGGAACAAAATGGTAAAGAATTAATATAATAAATTGAAACAGACAGTTGCTTTCATTGCTCCCAGCTAATTTAATTAAACCCCGTGACATTTCCATGTGCACTACACTGTTTACCATTCGGCGGTCTAATTAATTCGCGATGCTTCCATGCATACAATTTCGGGATTTCGAATCGATAGTGACAATTTTCTGTGATAGTTGTGGCCAATTTAGCAACATGGAAAAACTCTTGGGATTATAATTTTTTTTCTCCCGAATAATCCCGCAATTCGTAAGTGAATTGAAAGTTCTATAACCGGAGGAAATTAAGCTTCGCTTTGGGGTTGCCTCAATGCTAATATAATTAATGCCTCGTCTTTAATCAGGATACCGTTGAAATGTTGTTACTGTTTCATTCGTTTTTTTTCTACAGAATTTCTTTTAATTCACTAAATACGATTATAAATACAAACTTTACAAATTCAAATCTTTAGTATTTAGAAAAATAAATGAAACTTTACAATATGAAATATATTTTTTTAAATTAGACTACAAAGTTATAAATGTCTTTGATAAGATTGTATTTGGGTGTTTCTGTAAATGTTCCATTTGAGGTATTTAGTTTTTGGTGGGTTTCAATTAATCGGTTGAGTTGTAACTTTGAATGTAATCGATCCGAGAATGTAAAGGAAGTCTATATAATGAAATGAATGTACCTTTGTAGTGGTTCCACTTCCTTCGGCGCATAGTATTGAAGTGATGAAGACTGCATTTATCAAGAAGTGTCTCGCTGGAAAGGCGACGTCCATTACGCATTTCCATTAGTCCTGAAACCGAAAACTGTGAATTAAATGAAAACACACAAGGGGGGATGTTTTATTTTTCTTCTCTCCTTTGCATTAAAAACATCGGAAGGAAACGCATTAAAATTTAACATAAAAGCGAGCGAGGATGATTTTAATATCATCATGTTTTTGTATTCAATGTTGACACAATTTGGAGTGATGATGATGATGATCGTTCGTCCGGAGGGCTTCGGATAATCTCGAAGGAAAATCTGTACTATGGATCTTTATGTTTTTTATACCCAAAGCGTTGCGGAGCGCACGAAATCCACCGTTTCAATAAATCTGTCAGAATTTTACGCGTTTTACTAAAATAAAAGTAATTAATTGCCTGTTGTTGTTGTTGTGTTTTCGTACATATAGATACTCGTGGGGCTTACGTACACGTTGCTTCAGCACAAAAGTCCCATTTCCAGACATATATTTACTTTTATGTTTGTAGAGTAGTCTGTCCTTCGGATATTCCCTGAGGAAAGTTGCAGATGCGACATCCTAAGACGTCTCCGTTTTACATAATGTGAACTACAGTGTGAAACTCGATATTGCAACACAATTCACAAGATTTTACATTGTTTTATGTACCGAATAAAGTACAAACATAATACGCAGTCTGGAATATGAGCGCTTCTCTTAAGAGAAAAGCAAGTTATGTTTCAGGACGTTTTTTTTTACTAATTTGTTCAGCCTTTTAAATAATTAATGGCGCATTTTGTAGCAAAAGTTTTTATTAGTTAAAAACTTTGTAAATTCTAGTTAAATAATTGATTAATATGACCACAGTTTCATGTAAACTAAAGAAAAAAAAACTTTATTATTAATGCCATTATTTTGTTTGCTTTTGCAAAAGAATAGTTTTAGAAATAAATAAATCATTATAAAAAATAAAGTATTTTAATCTGTATTAATTACTTGAAAACTTATTTAAAATGTATTAAAATCAAAGAAATCCAAATATTTTTGATAGGAATAATGTGATTCTCACGGTATTTGTTATGTGAATTATTTTTTGTTTGTTTGATCAGTTTTGAATGATTTGATCAATATACTTTAGTTATTTTGTGTATAGATGTATTTTTACTCGCATACAGAATATAGATTATATCAAGATGAAGCTGGCAGCGTGTGAAATGCAGGCACGATTTTATAAAAAAAATCTCGTAATAGGATTTTGTGATATGCCCGAAGCAGAAGTTTCGCTTTGAATGCAGTGTAATGTCCGGAACTAATCTGATCAATCTAAACAGTATCGCCGTGGGCGTATAGAACGCATTGAAGTATACAAGAAAACAAAAAAGTAATCGTGGTCGATGGTTTTTTTTTACATAACTTTACATGTATTTTTTGTTACTGTTACTTCTTTGTAACTAAAATGTTTAAGTATAAATGAAAGTAACAAATGAATATTACATGATTTTGTACTGTCTTACATGACAAAATTAATATTACATTAATGCTATGTACAAATTTGCATTGTATATGAATGTATTTGACGTGGGAATAGATTTCAATATTATTTATATATTTAAAAGTAATATTATTATAGGTGTTATTAATTCATTCATACTTTATTTCATATATATATATTTAATTTTTTCTAAAGGAAAACGATATGTAATCATATCCAGTTTTAAACCGCAGACTGATAACTAATCGTATTGAAGGTTACTGCATTTATATAAATGAAAATAATTTAAATAAATAAATAATATTTCCAAATAAAGTTGTATATACTTCGTGAAGTGATGATATATTAATACTCAAATAAGTAGTGTGTTCACATTTCATTAATTTTCACGAAACTATAATACATATAAAAAAAAGTAATGACTTCACAATTTAGTGATTTTATCAGAAACTATAATAGATAGAATAGATCCAAAAGATTTATGACAGTTGGATACTTAGGTTTTGTAAAGTGTATTCAAATATTGGTGTGGTTTTAGTCATCTGGCTGTAATTCGCTTACAAAAAGGAAGTAATGAAAAATTAACGTTTTTAAAAAGCAGTGACTTCACAATTTAGTAATTTACTCAAAAACTATACTAGTTGTAATGGATCTAAAAGATGTATAAGATAGTTGGATATTCAAAGTATGTTCTATTTCTGTAGATTAATCCATTTGCCTATAATTTGCATTCAAATGTGATCAATTGAAATATTAAGCACTGTCTTTACATGTTAATTTTCTCAGAAACTATAATAGATAGAATAGATCCAAAAGATGCATATGAAGTTGGATATTTGGATAATGTAACGTGCATTCAAATATTATTGTTGTTTTACCCGTTCCGCAGTAATTCGCTTACAAAAATTAAATAATGAAGAATTAGCGCTTGAAAAAGCAGTGACTTCATAATTTAGTAATTCTAAGAAATGTATAATATAGTTGGATATTCAATGTATGTTCTATCATATAAAAATTATCAAATTAAATATTAACGCTTAACAAAGCACAGTCTTTACATGTTAATTTTCTCAACTGTAATGCTATATATAATAGATAGAATATATCCAAATGATGCTTATCGTAGTTGGATATTTAGGTAATATAACATGTATTCAAATATTGGTGTGGATTCAAAGATTTGACTGTAATTCGTGCACAAATATGAAGTAATGAAAAATTAACGTTCGAAAGAGCTCTCTTTTCACAATTTAGTAATTTACTAAAAAACTATACTAGTTGTAATGGATTTAATAGATGCATAAGATAGTTGGATATTCAACGTATGTTCTATCATTTCTGTAGATTCATCCATTTACCTATAATTCGTATTCAAAAATGATCAAATGATCAAATATTAACGCTTCACAAAACAAACAAACCATGTTGATTTTCTCAGAGACTATAATAGATAGAATAGATCCAAAAGATGCATATGATAGTTCGATATTTCGGTAATATAACAAGTATTGGTGTGGTTTCATATATTTGATTGTAATTCATGTACAAAAATGAAATAATGAAAAATTACCATTCGAAAAAGTAGTGTTTTCACAATTTAGTGATTTTCTCAGAAACTATAATAGATAAAATTGATCTAAAAGATGCATATACAAATCGGATATTTGGGGAATTCAATTATTTCTATGGATTCATCAATTTTGCTAATAATAATAAAAAAATACGATCAAGTGCCTTCATAATTTCTCAAAAACTATATGGATTTAGATTCATGAGATAGTTGGATATTTAAGAAATTAAAAAGTAATGAAAAATTAATGCTTGAAAAAGGGGTGTCATCACATTTCAGTGATTTTCTCAAAAACTATAAAATATAGAATAGATGTTATAATTTCATTCAAATGGATATAATATTAATTAATGTAAGATGAAGTTATTCTAATGTTCTCGTTTACAAAGAGAAAGATGGAAGAAAAATACATTACTAGAAAGATAAAATTAAGAAAAAGAAACTGTGAAATTGTAAAATATTATTTCCATTGAAAAGGAACATCTATATTTATATAATTGAAGCAATTTCAAGTGGAGCTGGGACTTAATCTATATGCAAATGCGAGCGACCCTCAAAGCTTCGATATTATTCGTACACCCTAGGTGTTCCGAATGAAGTCAAAATCAATGTTCGATTGGTGTAGTGTGCACGTATATTTAGATGTATCCAGACTGATGTGATCATGCACAGTGTGTAAGCATCGGTATTATTTACATCGCCCTTTGCCTGGCAATGCGTGCCAATTGGTTCTCTGGTCTCTATAGTTCATCCTCTCCGCCCCTCTCAACCACCACTCTACAGATTAACCATAGAGAGGGGCCCTCTCTTCAAAAGACCTTTATTTATACAATTATATAGGTCACTAGTCAAACACTGGACGTTTCAATAAAAACGCTAAGAATAAAATTAATAATCGAGCAACACCTGTTGTGTTCTCCTTTTCGTTTTATTTGACATTTCGGTTACGTCAGTCGGTGATAAACTTTTTTTTTGTATCCTTATTATTTTCGGGATAATTTCAAGCGTTAAATCATTTTTATTGACTTCCCGCTTTCGGAACGCTGGGATGAAGAACATATTTTGCTCGAACATATTCAGACCATCCATTAAGATGAAAAGACCGCACAGATTATTGATTCTACTCTCATGCTTTCGGTCTCAATTTAACTAGACTAGAATAAAACGAGAGAGGAATGAGTTTGTTACAACAGGTTCATTTTCGTTATAAAAATCAATAGTCTTTCTTAAATTTATTTAGTTCTAAGTAACTAAGACATTTTTATTTAGAAATAGCTCAAATGTAATTGTACAAATTGGACCTAATCAGGGAATTCGGGTAACCCTACTAGTTCTGAGCTTCACAAACTGTGGACGTATTTGTTTAGGATCCTAAACTCATACAAACGTATCTTTGTTCAATCATAAACACGGCTTAGTTAATCAATATTATCATTACTATTACTGATTAAATCTAATAACAAAGCTAATGTTGCTTCTCGTTTTAATGAACTAATTAGTTTTTTGAAAATCTCATTAATTTAATTATACAGTAAGTCTTTAGAGCTTTTTCGATTAACGCGGTATAAAAAAGCTCTAAATTTACCTATTTACCAAGATGTTAAAGTATCTTCGTTCTACGCTGTTTCGTTTAGCGTCTGTTATCCAGACGCATTTCAATCGGTAAACGAGGTTTTAGTTTATTGAGTTTACTAATTTGTAAATATTTCCATACTTTTTTTTCATCAGACAAGATTAGTAATATTTTTTTTTAAAAGGCGAAAATATTGTGTTTAATATTTCTAATAAAATTTCAATTTTTATATACTTTTTAATGATTTAATATTTATAAAATATATACTAAATGGATTCGATGGAAAAATTAAATTGTGACGCTTTTTATATGAAATACTATAAATACATGATTTTGTTACAAAAAAAAATAACAAAAAAAAAGTTATATAATAAAATGTTGAAAGAAATAAATAGATCATAATAAAATATAACATATTTACTAGAAAATTGAAAGAATTACGCAATTTCAACAATATTTAATTAAAAATGTAAAAAATTGTGAATAACAGAATAAAAACGAAATAAAAATATTAAAAAGTTTTTATTATGAAAAATCAATAATAGTGAAATAAAAAATAATAATTTGATCAATTTTAAGAAACTAAATTTACCAGTGTTTGTATATCAATAAAAATATAGATTTGTTTCCTAATTGAAGCTAAATATAATTTTGTTTACGTAATAGCAGATTTGAGTTAAGTTAATCATAAAACTCACAATATGAGAATCAGGTTAAAAAAAATGGGCAATATCAAAGGTTTACGTGAAGCCAGATAATTGTATGAGAAAGTACAGCTGCGTTTCTTTGCTTTCAGATTATTTCATTCGCATTTGAAAAAATAAAATCTTTTTTTCTATACACATTTATTTTTATCCTTTCTTCTTTGAACCGAGAGGGAAAAACGGCGCTTGTTATATAAATTCTACATCCGCGCATGCAGCAGGACCGACAACCAGGAATCCTGGCGAGATTCCAGGAATGTCGATCCTGCGAACATAAAGGGAGGAAGTGCTCATAATTTCGCAGAAATGTGCACCAGCAAATAATATCTGAGTTTCTGAGTAATGCGTGATGTGGAAATAAATATAAATAACGAAAACAGGAAGTGGAGTCAAATGAGAAATGTAATTGGGTCCTGAACTCACTCGGGAATCGAGCTGGAATGCTGTGTCCATGGCGATGATGGCAAACGATGAAGACGAAGAGTGTTCCTCCTGCAACCAAACGGAATTTTTATTAGGTTCCATACGATTTCTGGGAATAGTTCCGGCTCAAGTGGTTCTTGCGATTTACCGTGATTCATTTATGATGGGAATACTAATGCGTACACACATATATAGGCAGGAAAATGTTTGGAAAAGCGGAAAACCTGGACCACTTGTTGAACGTCTGCAGGGGGATGATTTCCTAAGGGTTTCGGGTGTTCTAGTCCCTTTAGAAATCGATGCCCCCTCGACGACGTCGAATTGAGGCGTTTTCCGCCCTTTCAGCTGCCGCCGGAAACTAGCGGCGGAGAGGAAAAAGGGAGGAGAAATTCACGCTGCATGCATTTCATCTTTGTTTCGTTGGGAATGTTCCACCTCTGAACATTTCATCAAGAACTGGAACTGAATGATACTCACATTTCGCTCTATGCAATATTCTCGCTATGTAATTCCGCTGTGAGAATTAATAAAAAATATTTCGATAAACATGTTTATCTTTTTCTCAATGACAAATTTAACGTCACGCCATTTTATGTTCCGCGTTTAGTTCAATTATATAAGAAACAGAGAAGCAATAAAACCAACATCCATATTAAAAAATATTATCGAATAATTAAATATTACAGAAATATTAAAAATCAACTAGAATTCATTAATATTTTGCTCAATTAATATTTAGTTTGTTTTGGAATTTTGAAACAGGGCTCTAGTGATTCAGGACTAATCGAATCTGAGATAATTTAGTTTCATATTTATATAATTCATTTTTATCTTTAGTTGATTGGTTCTCACCATTAGAATCTGTTTCTATGAATTCCTCATCAGATATACTTTCACAGAATAACTTCAATAACATTTTACATTTTTTTTTGCAAGTAAATTTATTATAGAAGAAAAAAATGATTGATTATCTTTTTCTTCTATTATAAATTTAAAATATTTAAAGGTATAAGCTAAACATTTTACAATAATAATTGTCGCTATTTACTGAAATTGCGAAATTTCTAAGAAAATGGAATAATAACAGTTTCTTTTTTATTGAACTACCTGCTACCCTTTTTTTCGGAAAACTGTAGTAATGATTGTAAAATGCATTGGAGGGGATGCAAAAATGGTATAAAAGCATTTGCAAATTTTTACAAATTCATCAGTTTTGTTTTGTAAAGATCTGCAACAGTTGCTTAGAAAACTTCTGCAACTTCTCGAAATCTACGAAATGGCTAAGTTCGCTTGATAATACAGGTGATAATACCTATCATACAATATAAACAAGGTATTTCGAAAAATTTTCAAGATTTACAAAGTTTTTGAAAAATCTTGATATATGAACTATACTTTTTTTTATCATCAAGGAATGATATTTCATGACAACATATAGAAAAAAAATAAAAGTGTTTTTTTTTTGTAAAATTCAAATTTATTTTATCAAATAGAAAGAAAATAATATTTCTTAACATGGTAACTATTCAACAAAGATGTTGGAGTAGATATTTGAGATTCTGTGTGATTGTCGTACAGTGAAGGGAAGATTACATAGTTCTTCGGAACCCATTGAAATTTGTAGCCGTCACAAGGTACAGAGGAAGAGCAAGTCGAACTCTAATCGGTATACTTCTCATCAATATGCTTCATTTAATTGTTTAAAATGTTGTTAATTGAATCGCCACTATCTTCAGAATTCACTACACTTTCTTCGCTGCCAAATTTGTATTGAGACGCGTTCTCGTTGGTAATATCGGTGTCCCTCATTATAATATAGTCCTCGTAGAGGAATTGTAACATGTTCTGTTTTTAATTAAATTCATCCCGATCTTCAGTCCATTTGATATAGATCTTGTGGACATATTTAATCCTTTTCGCTGTAGGAGCAAGTTCGTGTCCACTGTATTCATCCTCAGATGATTCGCTTGATTCATCTGAGGATATTTCATTCTCTTCTTGAGGTAATTCATTTTCATCTGTTTCTGGGAATTCCTCATCATAGATATTTTCGCTGTCATCTCCATCGTAAGGGTCACTTTCTCTGTGGTCGGAATACGACGATTCCATATCTCCATCATAGTCGGACTCATTCTCACTTATATTATCTTCCATCAAGTCATCAGCGTCGTGGGACTTTTGCAATTCTTCTGTTGGGTAACTACAAGCGAACTTTGCCATTTTCAAGAAGATTTCGAGAAGTTTTCTAAGCAACTGTTGTTATCGTACTAATAGAGGAATTGCAACATGTTATGATTTTAATTAAATTCATCCTGATCTTCAGTTCATTTCATATTCAGTTCTTGTGGGAAAGTTCGTCACCACTGTATTCATCCTCAGATAATTCACTTGATTCATCTTCAGATGATTTACTTGATTCATCTTCAGATAATTTACTTAATTCTTCCTCAGATGATACATTTTCATATTCAGATAATTCAGTTTCTTCAGATAATTCGTTCTCATAATTAATATCTGTTTCTGTGAATTCCTCATCAGAGATATTTTCACTGTCATCTTCATCTGTGTTATCGAATTCTTCGTAAAGATCACTTTCCTAAGGCCGGAATACAACGATTCCGTATCTCCATCGTAGTCGCACTCACTCTCACTCACCGTCGTGGGTCATTTGAAAAACTTCTTTTGGGTTGCCATTTTATAGATTTGGGTTAGTGCCTCATTATCGTCGTCCTTCCAGAGACTCCTACATGAGGGCTTGTTCTATATGAACAAACACTTCTCAGCAGTAGATACCATTCCATCGCCTCCTATTCATGTGCCTTGCTCCTGGTGTCAGCAATTCACTCACGCAACGGACACATGTCCGAACAAGACTAAGTGCTCCAAATACCAGAGCCAACATCCGACAAACTGACGCTCTTCGCCACTTCCCCCCCGATGTATGGCATGCAACTCGGAGAGGCATGCTGCATTGTCTTCCAAATGTCCGAAGAGGCCAACAAAACCCATACCGGGTATACCTAACATCAAAGTAAGGCCACTTAATAAAAAGACGTGTGATCTACGTAAAGACCTTCAAGAAAACAAAATTCACAGGCCAATAACAATACATGACCACATAATTAACAAATTAAACTCGCTGCATCGCTTGAAAAGACAACTTCAATATTGAAACACACGTCTGCTTTTCGGGACATCATGTTTATGTTCTAATGTTTGATGTGGATGACCGGGAGCATGAGTCTCCTACGTCTTTCATAATGAAGGGTTGATATACCGTGTCCGAACGAATTTTATCATTCTTCAGCCGAATGATGCTTCAGAATATCTTATTATTTGTTTCATTTCGAGAAGATTTACTTTTATTTTGTTTAATTTCATCTTTTTTATATTTATATATATATATATGTACGTCTTACTATTTTTTTTTCAAAATACATTTTTTTTTGTATGATTTATTATGACAATTTATGTTTTTTGTGTCTCTGGGCGGAAAGACTTAGGTCGATAGATCTTTGGTTGGTTTTTTTTTTAATTATTACTAATGTAATGCAAATATTAAATTTATTATGTTTAGCAAGAAATTATTTGAAATTAATTTATTTGTTAATGTATTTTCTTTGGATTAATACTAAAAAACGAATTATATAATTCATATTAATGGTATCATTAACGTTTACACCAAATTAATGCGCAAAGACAAAATTTATGGTTCATTGCAGACCGCACATTAATAACTATTACTGTATAAACCGGACCACATTATTTCGATGATAAGCGTATTGCCATTCAATATTTGTTAATATATTTAGTGGGTAGATAATTGTCAATATATCAAGTTTAAATTTGACGATAATTAATCGATTCATATATAATTCAACAGCTGAAAACAATGACCAATAAATTGTGTATATTATATAATGTGAATTTGTGAATAATTTGGATTGTTTTCTTTGATTTATATTAAAATGGTATTAATTTGTACTATTTAGACAGAAATATTGCGGCTGTTAGGTCTTTAGCCCAAATTAAACACAACCAAATAATAACAAAGTAACTAATTTAATACAGTATTCGATTTACGAACTAGTTACATTCCAACGGGTTGTTCGTAAGTCGGGGGAATTTAAAAAAAAAATCAATATATGCTTATCTTACCACACTTTATCATGGTTTTTACTTGTATATATGTTAAATTCCGTATTACTGACTGCATAAATTTGAAAAAATAGATTAAAATAAACAAAATACTTACAAATACTTTTCAATGCAGTCATCACAATTATTTAATAAAAAAACGACAAAATATACAAATGCAACATCTTCCAAAAGTATTATATTTTATGAAAGAAATTGTTAATTTTTGTTTCGACAGTTAATTTGTTTTATCCTTGTAACAAGTTAGAGCTTTTAGCATTTTGTTCGTAAGTCCGGGAGTTCGTAAGTCGGGTGATATCTGTATTATCTAAACCTTTTTACCTAACGACCAAAAATATTAATTTGTACTGCGACACAATTACTAGAATATTTCACCAGTTTCTCGCTTTGACATAAGGTGACAGATGTCATTTTGCGACAATTTAACGCCAAAGTTCTGTCAATCAAAGTCTTCCTATCTATTATATAATATTTGTCTGCATTTATTTATTTGAAAATATTGAAGGTTTTCAAGTTAGAAATATCAAGTGGTCGATGACTTCTAAAGTAGGTCGTTTATGACATATAATTTTATGTATATAAGAAAAACACAACAAAAAATTGCATAAGAGAATACAGAAATTATATGTGTTTTACTCTAATATTATATATTTTATTAAATATGCACGAGCATGTTTAATAACTAATGAGATCATTAGTGCACATTTCTTTTGTTTGCGTTGTAGGATTAAAATTAAAAATAAATAAAACTCATTCATAAAATGAGATAAATGTACTGCTGGAATATTCCATTTAAATAAATCTGAACTAAAAATAATTTCTACATTTATAAGTAATTATTTTTTCAGTTTTTTTTTAAACCTTGTATGCGTTTCATCTGTGATGTGAACATATAAAAGGTATAAAAATAA